TGAGACCTCTAAGAAGGGGTAACTATTATATTTCATCCCATAAAAGAAGTATATTTAATGATTTCACTAGTTTTTGTGAAAGTATCTTTTATAAGATCATTGCATTAACTTGTAATTATAAAATAGAATATGGCATTAAAGTGTTATTTGATTAATACTGTAATTAATTATATAATTACATAAATTCGTGTAACTCGCCCAAATGGTGGCATCCTAAAGTAATATAAGTAAACTAGGCTTCAGGGGGAAGGGTTGGGGACAGGGGCGAAAAAAATGACCACTTCGAAATTTGTTTCTTCCATCTAGCTTTCGATCTTAAAATGACCACTTCGAATTTTGTTTCATCCCTCTAGCTTTCGATCTTTCCCTTGTGTTTGATGAGAGGAAGAAGAAGAAGAATAAGAAGGATTAGTGTTTTGATGAGAGGAAGAAGAAGAAGGTTTAAGGGGTAACTATTATATTTCATCACAGAAACAATTAAGGGGTAACTATTATATTTCATCATAGAAAACTAAGAAGGGGTAACTATTATATTTTATGACAGAACTCAAAGGGGGGGGGGTAACTATTATATTTTATCCCATAAAAGAATTATATTTAATAATTTCACTAGTTTCTGTGAACGTATCTTTTATAAGAACATTGCATTAATTTGTAAATATAAAATAGAATATGGCATTAAAGTGTTATTTGATTATTACTGTAATTAATGATATAATTACAAAAATTCATGTAGCTCGCCAAAATGGTGGCATCCTAAAGTAATATAAGTAAGCTAGGCTTCAGGGGGCAGGGTTGGGGACAGGGAGAAAAAAAAAATGACCACTCTCAGAGCCACTGCTCTCTTCTCTCCGTATAATCATCATCATCGGGCAGGGTTGGGGACAGGGCCGAAAAAAAATGACCACTTCGAATTTTGTTTCTTCCATCTAGCTTTCGATCTTAAAATGACCACTTCGAATTTTGTTTCTTCCCTCTAGCTTTCGATCTTTCCCTTGTGTTTTGATGAGAGGAAGAAGAAGAAAGAAGAAGAATAAGAAGGATTAGTGTTTTGATGAGAGGAAGAAGAAGAAGGTTTAAGGGGTAACTATTATATTTCATCACAGAAAACAAAGAAGGGGTAACTATTATATTTCATGACAGACCTCTAAGACGGGGTAACTATTATATTTCATCACAGAAAACAAAGAAGGGGTAACTATTATATTTCATGACAGACCTCTAAGACAGGGTAACTATTATATTTCATGACAGACCTCTAAAAAGGGGTAACTATTATATTTCATCCCATAAAAGAAGTATATTTAATGATTTCACTAGTTTTTGTGAAAGTATCTTTTATAAGATCATTGCATTAACTTGTAATTATAAAATAGAATGAGGCATTAACGTGTTATTTTATTATTACTGTAATTAATGATATAATTACATAAATTCGTGTAACTCGCCCAAATGGTGGCATCATAAAGTAATCTAGGCTTCAGGGGGCAGGGTTGGGGAAAGGGGGCGAAAAAAAATGACCACTTCGAATTTTGTTTCTTCCCTCTAGCTTTCGATCTTTCCCTTGTGTTTTGATGAGAGGAAGAAGAAGAATAAGAAGGATTAGTCTTTTGATGAGAGGAAGAAGAAGAAGAAGGTTTAAGGGGTAACTATTATATTTCATCACAGAAAACCAAGAAGGGGTAACTATTATATTTCATGACAGACCTCTAAGACGGGGTAACTATTATATTTTATGACAGACCTCTAAGAAGGGGTAACTATTATATTTCATTCCATAAAAGAAGTATATTTAATGATTTCACTAGTTTTTGTGAAAGTATCTTTTATAAGATCATTGCATTAACTTGTAATTAGAAAATAGAATAAGGCATTAAAGTGTTATTTGATTATTACTGTAATTAATGATATAATTACATAAATTCGTGTAACTCGCCCAAATGGTGGCATCCTAAAGTAATATAAGTAAACTAGGCTTCAGGGGGTAGGGTTGGGGAGAGGGCCGAAAAAAAATGACCACTTCGAATTTTGTTTCTTCCCTCTATCTTTCGATCTTTCCCTTGTGTTTTGATGAGAGGAAGAAGAATAAGAAGGATTAGATTTTTGATGAGAGGAAGAAGGAGGTTTAAGGGGTAACTATTATATTTCTTCACAGAAAACTAAGAAGGGGTAACTATTATATTTCATGACAGAACTCTAAGGAGGGATAACTATTTTATTTCATGACAGAAGTCTAAGAAGGGGTAACTATTATATTTCATCCCATAAAACAATTATATTTAATAATTTCACTAGTTTTTGTGAATGTATCTTTCATTAGATTATTGCATTAATTTGTAATTATAAAATAGAATATGTCATTAAAGTGTTATTTGATTATTACTGTGACCAGGGAATGCTAACCGCTGGACCACCAGGATACTAAAAGCAGCCCTAGACTTTGTTATATTTCGAAGCCGGATTTGGTAAAACGTTACTCTGACCACCTACGTGATACGGGTGGTCCCCATTAGAGGTTCACGGCGCCATAAGCTCGTTGAACAGGCTTTGTGTGAAATATAACAAAGTCTAGGACTGCTTTTAGTATCCTGGTGGTCCAGCTGTTAGCGTTCCCCGGTCACAGTCATAGGCATGTAGATCCACAATGAAAACGTGGATAAGATAAATCTTGATAAAATCACACGGGAAAAGGGAAACAACGGAGCACCTTAGCTTTCGTCTTTATTCAAGACATCTTCAGTTGCCTCTGAAGATGTCTTGAATAAAGACGAAAGCTAAGGTGCTCCATTGTTTCCCTTTTCCCGTGTGATTTTATCAAGATTTATCTTATCCACGTTTCCATTGTGGATCTACATGATATATATATATATATATATATATATATATATATATATATATATATATATATATATATATATATATATATATATATATATATATATACATATATATATATACATATATATATAAAATCAACAAGCTTGGCTATCCTTAAAGGCATTCTATTACCGCCCCAAAGAAAGTTTTATTTTATTTTCTGTGTTTCTAAAGGACTGAGTGGGTGTATAAAATCTGTTACTCATAGCAAACTGCAGTGTACACAGAGATAGCACATAAATACCGACAAACGCCGAAGTGAACTGAAAAGGAAACAGAAGATAACTCTTAAAGGCAACAGGGCAAGTTTAAAGCCAGAGCAGAGGGCAGCTAAGTACTGTTCTTTTTTTTCTCTTTATTTTTAAATAGGTAGATCTATACACAGTCTGCACCCCTCCCCAACAACAACAATCATGAGTATGATATGTGATTACTGCAGGGGGACATCGGATATGGAGGATACAGGCCTGACCCTTACAGCGTTTAGGATGTTGCAAACTGCCGTAAAGCATAAAGGCTGTTGCTGGTATTGTCCTGACTGTGTAGTCAAGGTGAATGAGGCGATTGCAAACCATAGGGGAATGAGTTTCCTAGGGACGAAAATAGATGAAGCTGGAGCCTTGCTAGTTGTCAAACTAGAACAAGTTGGGAAAGAGATCCTTGACTACACAGTCAGGGCAATACCAGCAACAGCCTTCATGCTTTATGGCACCTCTGTCCTCTGTTGATGAGCAGAATTATTCTGGACAGGAACACAGTACTTTATGAACAGAAATGTGAGAAAATTTGCCTTGAAATATTATTAAAAAAATTTCGCACAAACATGCATGCACAAAATGGTTGCCAATATTTCTATTTCAAAAAAATTTTCAACTGGTGTAACCGAGTACAGTGGTCCCTCAGTTAACGAACACAATTTGTTCCAGAAGGTTGTTCGTAAACCGAAAATTTCGTTAACCAAATCCATTGTTTCAATGGAATATTGGGTAATTGGTTCCAGCTCACCGAAAAGTACATACAAAGAAAAAAAAAAATGCAGTAAAGTACACTTACTTTGAGGTGTGTATGTACTGTAGAAGGCTCCTGGTTGATGATGATGATGGGAATTAGAAGTGGGGGTGGAGGAGAAGGGAGAAGAGAAGGAAGTGGGGATAGAAGAGAAATCACCCCATGCTTGATGCCGTCATTTCACTACAAAAAATTTAAGTTCACTAGGTGTAATTCAAGATTATTTTCTTTAAATCAACACTGCACTATATACTGTCAATATGTTAAATAAATTTCAGAATGACCAATAATTGTACTGTAAAATTCTAAAAATACTGTGTTCACGAGACCCATAAGCAAGATGTTTCCTCCACTGAACAGAGACACAAACTGACACCTTGGTGGGTGAGTCAAGTGGCTGATGGGCGCACCAAAAACTAGTTCCCTGTACTGCAATTATGTTAAATAAGTGTTAAAACGACTAATAATTTGAATATAAAACTTGGAAAAATATTGAATAACACAACCTTCTTGATATTTACTCCAATGGAAACGAATATAAGCCCTAGAACCGATTACTGTATTGGTGGACTAATCTTCCAGCTGGTGAGCAAGCCAAAACATGTTGACATGTTTACGTAAGAATTTCATTAACCGAATTGAAGATTCTTATGGAAGGTAATTCGTTAACCAAGGCGTTCGTTAACCGAGGGATGACTGCACAGTGCATAGGATGAACACAATAAACCTGCATAAATACAGAATAATTCCACCAGAGATGTAAATGATTCATGTACACACTTTGGGTACCAATAACTTTCATTCCTGACTACTTGTACTACACATTTTATCAACCAGTTTTTCCAATATGGCTCTTTATTCCTGCTTGTACTACTATACAGTACTGTAATTACAATGTTTTGCAATAAAAAAATATTCCTGCACTTTCCTTGTGACCCTCTCATTTGGCTAAAATTGCATCAGAAAAGCAAGCCAAACAGAACAGGATTTCACTTAATACTTTAAAACACACCACTGTTCAATCCTTGTAAATTCTTTACTGACATTGTTATTTTGTTAGAAAACATACAGATCATACAAGTTGTCATGTCAAGGATGAATAAAATACGGTTACATAGTTTTGCCTCATAATTTGTTTTCAGAATAATCTATGTATTATCCATGAGTTTTCCTAAATATACATACCCTAAGAATAAGGTGGAGAAAAATGAGAGGTAATTCCATCTTTGCTTCCACCACAGTTTTACATTCTCCTCCATCAACCCACAAAGAATAACCCTAAAGGCACAGAAAAAGGTGGTAAATTTATTTTCTCGACTCATGTTTACATCAACCATACATTATGTTATGAAGGTTAGCAATGGTGTAAATTCTGTTCAAGAGATCAGGTCACAGGAAAGTTACTTGCCAAAATTAACAACTCCCAAGCCACCACACCTGTACACACCCTGGTACAGTAAAGTGAGATATTCAATACAATATAGGCAAAAGTGCATTCCTCCACAAATCATGAAAATATTTTGCTTCAGTAAAAAGGTGAAATGGACATAGCACAGCTTTGCATAGCACATCGTATTTTGAAATACGTTGCAAGTTTGTTATTTTGTCAGTGGGAAATAGTATTAAGGATATACAAATATAAAGAGTCATTTAACAAAGTTTCAATCTGATAAATAGTCTATGACCACCTAGCATCCAAAATTCCATACCCTGCAATGTCCTCAAAAAAAATAAAAAATAAAAAAATTGCAAAATACCCTTAGTTCTTGATTAATACTCCTTCATAGAAATTCTAAAGAAATTACTTCTATATGATAAACAAAACAGGGAAAGATTTTACACAAACTTCAAAAACAATATCCTTTATAATACAAGGTCACCTACAAACAAATTTGTTTTGACAGAAACAAGTCATATAATGAGGAATGATTACTTATATTCAGTCACCAGTGCTGCTTAAAAAATCAAATGGCATATCAAATAGTGCTAAAACAACATTTTTCTCTCGATGTTACTGAAAGTGAATTACCATAACAAGTCTATAAAGATTTTGTTGTCTGGTTGGATAATAATAACTTAAGAGTGCCCCAAATACATGGTGTCCATGTTAGTTCATGGTACACAAACACCTACTTCTACACATGATAACAACATTCAAAAGGTTGGAGGACATAAACAGAACACTAACCAACATAAAACATATGATAAAAATACAAACAATAATTGTCCTATACAGTATAACAGTTCCTATAGTCTTAAACTACTTATAGATTTACTTGTATATTTACTATTATATTGTTTTAATTGTTTTTCACCTTACTCTTGCTGCGTGTCATATACTTTGAAGAGCTGCCATTTTTCTCAACTGATGCTTTTGTTCCTGTTGGACACTTGGGAACAATAGTAAACAACATTATATTTAAGTGATTACAGATTTCCAAACAAACTTCCCGGCAATACTTGATGAGGTCATAAATGACATATACCTGGAAAAAAGAGAGTTAATTAAATATATGGTGATATTTACAGTTCTATCTATCTATCTATCTGCCAAGTGCAGTACAGTAATGCTCCAGCACTTATAGCAAGGCAGTGTAAGAAAACTTACTGGACAAATACAGTACTGTAGTGTGCCATGTGTCAATGCTAATGATCTTTTTCCTCAAGTACTTGTACAGTAAAACCTTGATAACTTGGCACGTACAAAAATACAACAATAAAATATTATCGACCCATATACGTACACAGGGTACATGTAATTATTAATTTTATAAGTAACACTTACCAGCACTGAAGGTCAAGAATGAAGCATTATAATAGGCAAGAGGCATGGTAGGTGACACAGAGGCATTGTAGGTAACTCAGGGGAATGCAGGGGAATGGTAGGTGATGCAGGTGATGGGGAAGCAATGCTACATAAATGGTAAACAGTGTGGCACTTATGTATACTAGTACTGTAATTTGGTCACTTATACAAAATAAAGAATAAATTAACAAAAATAATTGTTTTCTCTAAGTATAATTCAAGTTTGAGTACATAAATAAACACGTAACTTATATCACTAAGGATATTATAATCCACTCTAGTAAAACTGTTTGCTTTATTACAGAGCAAAAGAGTAAATGTTATAATACTCTAATGTAGCTTAGAAATAAAGAAAATATAATATAAAACTATAAAATAAGAAAATGAAGAACACAGTGTGTGTGTGTGTGTGTGAGGTGAACGTATGTGAAGGCCACTCAGTGAGCTGTAATGCACGGCTGACTCACCCGCATCCCTCCCTCCAATGTGACATCAGGGCACACACATACACACACACGACTCAGTCAGCTGGTTGACTACATGGCTGAACTGTGGCATCACTTTGATGATGGTTTGAGTGTGAAAGTAGTTATTTTTTGTGCTATTGTATTTTATGATATGATATGTATGTATCAATTTAATTGTTTATCTGCAATTTTTGTTTAAGAAGTGGTTATAGCGCTACAGGTGTCATACATGAATAAATGACTTCAGTTGCTTTTGGATTGTTGGACTTAAATAGAATTTTTACCAAAGGGGACAAAGTTGGGATACCTGGAAGATTCAGATTCAGTACAGTAATGTTTCCGTTAGCCGAAATCCCTCAAACCCGGAACTCTCCGATAGCCGGAATTGAATTTTTTTTGGAAAATCATTCCCAAAACCAGAATTTTCGCCTTTGGGAACAATTTTCCGAGAGGCACATTTTCCGGAAAATTCTAAGAAAATTTCCCCGATACCAGGAAAATTCCAGGGATGAGGGAGTTTTTTTCTGGGTTTGAGATATGAAAATCAGGCACATTTTCTGGAAATTCTGATAAAATCTTTCCATTACCCGGGGATGAAAGATATTTTTTCGGATTCAAGAGATGATGTGATGGGCAATTAATTTCTGGAACTTCCAAGAAAATTTTTCCATTACCTGGAAAATTCAAAGGATGAGGGATATTTTTCCGGGTTCGAGAGATGATGTAATGGGCAATTTCTGGAACTTCCGAGAAATTTTTTCCGTTACAGTAGGATTGGGATATACTATAGCGACTTTATATAAAAAAATTTTTATATCAAGGCTACCAAAATTATCAACATTTTCCGATATATAGCGATAATTTTTTTCACTTTAAGAGGGAAATCGTGCAGGGAATATTTCAAATTTATCACTACTACCAAAACTATAAGCATTTTCCAATATACAGGTACTCCTTTAATTACGACCACCAGGACATATGACCGCCGCAGTAGTACCAAAATTGTTTTCAAATTACGTATTCTGGAGTCCCAACGTCAGTGATTGCGCTGTGTACTGACAAAATTTTTGTTTTTAATTCACTTTAAAATGGCTGGCAAGCTTAAAAGTGAGAGTTTTGTGGTGTTGAGAAGAAAAAGAGACCCCCATTTTAGATTTTCTATGTATTATTTTTGCATTTTCGACTTACGACCTGGATTTGGGTCCCTAACCCCGTCGTAAGTCGGGGACTGCCTGTACAGTAGACTCGCAACTTGTGCAAGGGTTACGTTCGTTGGACCTCGTGTAAAGCCAGAAGCACTCCTAAATCGCCCTTAAATCACTGTATACAGTATATATGTACATATACTGTACACTAGAACTCTTAAATCACTACTGTAATGTGATACAGGTGAGGAATTTTTATCTCTTGTGCAAAATATAAGACATTTATTATTCAAATTATCTGCTGTCTTGCAAGGATTCCAGCAATGCAGATTATATTCTGCTATCTTTAGTCTGTGACATTTTATAAGATCAAAACTTTAAGCCTAAAAACCACAGTCACTCTGACCATAAGTCAGAGGAGGGTTGATTTATTATGACAGCCGGGCCAGAGCCAGACAATAGTTACCTAGTGGTATTCATGTATCTGTCCTCTATAGGGGAAGTTTATGTTTTTCTCTTATAAAATGTCAATGAATTGACTTAAGAAAATATATAATTAACATTGCAGGAATTCTTGTAAGATAGTGATTAATTGGAATAAAACATGCTATAGTTTGCAATAGACAAAAATTTTAGTATAATTACTATATTTTATCACAAATGACTAAAATTTTTATTTCTTGTGCAAAATATATGATGTCTATATTCAAATAGCTGTCTTGCAAGGATTCCAGCAATGTAATTTATATTCTGCTAACTTTAAGACTGTGCCATTTTATGTCAAGTTTAGTCACTTTTATTGGCCTCCAGAACCTAACCCTATTTTCCCCATTGATTACATGTAATTATATATCATGATTTAGTGTACAGCGAACTTCCTTGGACCCTATCTCGCGATATATCCCGACCCTACTGTACCCGGAAATTCCGGGGAGGAGGGATTTTTTTCCGGCTTTGAGAGAGTCATCTCATTACCAGGAAATCTCTCATTCCCAGAAGTGCTCTGCACCAATTGTTCCGCCTAACAGGGATATCACTGTAATTGGAATTCAGATTAAATGAAATGCACTGTATATTAAATAAAATCTACGAAATTGGATTTACCGCAATAATGGAGACGATATGCATAAAGTGGCTGGCCTGTCATGAATGGGGGAGGTTGTTGGGTGTTCTTGGGTTAGTACTGCAGGAACCAAATTTTACCAGGGAGGGCTGAACATTAATTCTGGTGCCATAGATACTCTGCAGTGCAATGTATAGTACTTTATACCCAAAATATTGGAGTGCTTGTAGCACCCTCCCTTCCCATGTCCATGTACTGGGTAGAGTGAGCCAGCACACACCCGACCACATCAATAACAAACACCAGACCAAGTATGGAGTGCAGCACGCCGAGATTTTCCCGAGTTATTTTATAATAAATTCCGAGACCATATTCGTGCCAAATTATGTGAAATTCTGAGATATTGAATGCTGAGTTATCAAGAGTTTACTGTTAGTAAAATTTTATGACATTATCCATATTATCTCACAAGACAAAATTAAAATAAAGGTAATTTTACACCTCCACAGTGTAGCTAGAGTCAAGAGCAACATTGAGAAAGCCATCATTCTCTGCCAATCCTCTCTGAATCCAACTACAGAAGTGTTCTAATATGGTAATACTGATATATAAAGTTCATGTAAAGGGCTAACATGAAGTCATCCCCCCAAAAAGTATCATTAGATTTTCTGTTGCTACAATTTAAATTGCGAGATGAAATACTTTGATATGATCCCCAGTGTATCATCACCAGTTGGTATACCTGCTCGCCATATCAGCTGGAGATGGGGGAAGGATTGGAGGATGGAGTCGTCCTTGAATCACATACTAGATACTTCAGTAAGACAAGAAATCCATTAAGCTACATTAATGTACTGTATGTATCATTCAAAAACATACTGTATCCTCTTTCATGCTCAAAGGTCACAGATGTAGAACTACCAACCGTTCAGAAACAAGTGGAGTAACATTACTCAGAAAGCCTTGAATCAAATCGTCCCCATGGCTAACGATAAGTACTGTACTTTTGGGGGGACTGTACATCTTGCTTATAAACCCTGAAGAAGTTATTGGCTACATTTGCAATGTAATAAATCAAACTACCATTCTAAAATATTTGAAAAGGTAATTTTTCAATGTTACAATCTACAGTGATAATTTCTTTAGTGGCCCATTGAAGTCATGTTTTTTTATATTTTCACATCAGGTACACACAAAATATGTGATACATCCCTGATAATGTAGAATCACTGACTCAAAGGCATGATGATGAAAGAATTAATCAAAGACAAAAAATCTAACTTGAGTCATTTTCAAGATGAGAAAGTCTATTTGTTCTTGGTTCCAGGCACCCTGCACCTGCCACAGTGACCAGCAACAACAACTGCTTACCATCATAATATATTGGCAACAGGAAGTCAAGCTGGTACTTACACAAACAATATATAGTAGAATTTGTTCTGGAATTGGACAATTAAAGTACTGGTTGAGGAAGAGGGACCCAGGGCCCAGCAGTGAAGCATCGCTGTATGCCATTTCACTTTTTGTCATATGAGCAACCTGTGTGAGATATAACAACTATTAACACCAACATGCAAGGTCCTCTTTGTACTTCTTATGGCCCACTAGCTCTAGGACAGAAATGATATTAAACCGACATATTATAAGCAGTGATGTGCACTCATGATACATTTGACCTACTTCTATCAAGTATTCTCTCACTGAATGAAGCACTACCATTGAGTGGTCAGATAAAGTACTTAATGAAAACAAATTGGCTTTACTTAGCCATATACTTACAACTAGTCTATTGGTAATACGTGCAGATACACAGCCAAAAGTAAGGAGATATATAGTTGGGTTTTGTAGATAGAGTCCATCTGGGCTTTTCCAGGCTATCAGAATTGCAGGAGCCAGGATAAAAATCAGCGGTACAACTGGTGATAACACACTTGTACCCTGATGAGAGATTGCAAATTAATAAAACTGGTCGCAATAACATTACAAACATAAGTTTAAATAAAATTTCTACTTGACCTTTCAGCATGATTCATTGTTATTTTATAAGATGAGAAAAAATATAAATGTTAAGGTGAGTAGGATTAGTATTAATTGTTGTTTTAGCAGCAGTAGTGACACAACATTATAGTGGAGAGTTTGAGTGGAAAAACAGAATAGTAAGTGTTTTTAAAATTCAAAAGACTTAAAATTTCACTTGGTATATGGTACTGATATTAAAACTATTTAAAATTAAGTACTCATGCAATGAACAGTAAAATTAAATGATGTCTTGGATAATATTATGTGACAGAGTACAATTAGTTGGCATCTGTTGGGACAAACTTTCACATACTTTACAAGCTACACTACTAACAAAGCTCTCCCACATATACCTAACTCACCACACACATCCTTCCATTTGGAATTTTTTGGCCATGCTGGAGTTACAAATTATAAGTAAAATTTCTTCAAATAGTCATTGCTTCTGCATTTATTAACTCAACACACAAGTCTCAGGTACAACATCTACACACACACTTGACAAAGGGAAAAATAGGCACAGTCATATGAAAAATTATCATACAGAACTAAAGATATTACCAAGCAGAAAGCACATAAAGCACAACATTATACAAAACACTCATGTTACACTACATGCAAGCAAACTGTCATGCACAAGACAAACAATGCTAACCAGTAGTTACTGCCCGAGAATTTTTTTTATTCAAATTAATATATAAGACCTAACTTATTTACAGACAGTATTACAAGACAGAAAGACAAATATAATGCTCAGTAAACTGAATGTGACAGTTATCTACAGTATATGTAAACACACATCTGTATTGGTCATGTTAAACTGTACTGTGCCACTTAAAAAATTAAACATGTACCCTGTACTGTACTTAAAAAATATTCAGTTAATTCTGCTAATATCTTTCATTCTCTCCCACTTTTGCAAAAGGCAGATAGAGGTAAACAAAAACCTTGAATTACTACAAAAGGTGATGTTTGCCTTTGCCAAAATTTCAAAATCAAACATGGACTACAACTGTGGTCAATAAAAATATCAGGAAAATGCTGATTAATGAATTCAGTAAATCTTGAGAAAATTAATCTGCACACTAAATTCACTCAACCTATAAAACCTTTCTCAAGTATCTGGATTGAAAAGACAGACATGCAGATGTACTGGGGTAATCCTATATGCCTGCCACATTCTATGCCAGGGAATAAGTGAGGTAATGGGAGGGTATAGCAGTGCAAGAAAAACACAGGCAGTTCCATTCATATCAATTAAAGAAAGAAAAAAATCCAACAAAAATATACTGGACAAATATTTTGGTAATTTTGAGGGGTTCTCCAACAACTAATAAATTCCTTGGGTGTTTTAATTCAAAAGTAAAATTTCTCTATTTTAGCTCTTACTTCTGCAGGACAAGGATGATAACCTAAATAATAATGCAATGAAAGGTTTATCTTTGTTTATTGTACTGTACTGCTATAGCCCTGTCAACATCAAACTTTTCTTTTGTGTGTGTGGAGGGGTGATGGTTCTTAAGAGGTGTAAACTTAAAGTTGAGCTAAAAGCTATGCCATATACTGTACTCGCCAGTTCTATTCAATGTACCAGGTGTGTCAGGAAGAGCAAGAAGGGAGACCCCTGAGAAATGTCAATAATTCCATTTCAACCTACAGTACATCATTAAGTGAAAGTTGCTTTTTACGAGGTTAAACAGTACCCTGCCTGTAGAATTAGTTAAAAATATTATAATTATCATAATTATAATAGTAGTGAAAATAACATTTCCAGTCTCACATCTTTCTTGAATATTAAATATTGTTCGCTAAAGTAAACAAAAGAAAAATTAATAATTCATGTAGTAACGTCGTAGTTATTGCAGGTACTTTGTGATGAAAGGGGTGACCTTAAACTAACTCTTCTATCTGTAATGGTGGTGGTAGTTTTGTAACATTTACTGACACTCTAAAGTGTCAGCTACAGCTCTCACATGATGCCAATGATTTTGCAGGTTTTAAGAGAGTGCATTGTTTAACCCTCTTATGCATGCAATAAGTTTATAAGTATCAGTGACCCCGACAAAAGCCATACAGGACCACTCGGTGCAGTCTGTGGCTAATTCATCCCACAATTTTTTTCCGCATAATTTAAATATCACTACCTTCATTATTGTTTTGGCAAAAAATAAAAGGACTAGAAAACTTTTTTCAGTCCAAAAACCGTAAAGAAAAAAAAATTATTTGTGTTCCCAACATCTTATCTTGGATATTTTCTCAGAAACTTACCAAGGTACAGTATTATCATAGTTATAATAGTGTAATTGTATGAGCTTTATGAGCTTTCCAGCGGTGATTTGAACTTTTATACAACAGTGGGGTGGAGGGGAGAAAAGTTAATGGGACAAATGTGAACTATCAGCACGGCTGATGGGAGGAGACTGGTGGACAGCAAAACTCCATCTATTCTTTGGCACTTTCTGAAAGGTTCCCTCATGAGGTCATGCAGTCATCTATGACATGTGATTTGAAGCGATCATCTTGAAACTTTTTTTTTCCGAAGTGTTACTAATGCAAAAATGTTACCCAATGATTTGACATGATTTGCTTCAAAATGCATGAGAGGGTTAAGTGGCAACTCCACAATGAATCTATTATATATTTGTTTTTAATTATTTCAGCGGTTATGTTGCCTTATGGCAATTATTGTTCTAGTGTAATTTATAATTGTGAATCACCCTTGTTTGGATTTCATACCATTCACTTCATGAACAAACAAGCAGCAGACACCCATTACTTCAACCTATTATCACTTCATCTGTGGGTATGATGGTGGATTGCAAGTCCAGTGCAGTAAACACTGAGATGATTGATTGGTATCCAGTATGAGCCATAAGTACAGTAGTATAAATAATGCATACAGTATCCCACTGGCTTGTAAAAAACACCTAACAAGTTCCCAAACATTTAGACCATAGCAATATATATACTGTACCTACCCCATCCCAATCTCTCTCTGATATGCCCAGCCACACAGCTGATGTTGAAGGTTGATGCAGTATAAATAAAATGTAAATTACAACTTTTATCTATACTGTATGTGTTAATTACTTAAACCAACACGGTGGAAGGTGTCTGCCTTAGCCATACTGAGCATACAACAGTAGCTGCATATTAAATACTATCACGTCTTCATAACTACATACAAGAAGCTTAACATTGGTCATTATTAATCTCAGCTTGTTTGAAATACATAATGCTGTGGACAAAGACCTACATATTAAAAAAACTGCTGAAAAATTCTACATGACTTTTTGAGATAATCTAACAACATACTTATACAGGTACTGTATTTAATAAAAGCTTAATATGTAGAATCAGGTTGAAGCCATGTTGAATATAGCTTTAATGGCTTTTTAATGTCAAGACAGGATGCTTTACATATCTACAGTACATTATCATAAGTCACAAACAATTTTTTTTGTATACAGTACAGTACAGTACTGTACATACCAGTCAGACCAATGCTATTGCACTTAATATGTTTTAAGTATACGTGAGCTAATTACTGCACCCTTAATTCTTAAGACTCACTGCCACAGTTGAACCATTTTTTCCAGCTCCAGAATATGGAATTGTATGCATGTATGAGTACCCCAAGAAAAGTTGGAACCCCAGTATGGAGTACACTATGACGTACTGCAGCGTAATGTCAAAGTATGGAAGCTGGAGGGAGATACAAGAAATACAAAAGTAACAAAACCTGCCCTCAACACTCATAATGATGAGAAGGATAACCACACACTGCATAAAAAGTATGAGGCAAAAAAAAAAAAAAGATGAAAATCACAAACTTCAAGACAATTCAAAATACAGTACAGTAATCAAAAGATATGATAATTGTTACACAGATTGAAGACATCTGTAAACTTTATAAATTGCACCAACATCAGCAGGACACAATGTCTTCACACACACACACACACACACAAAAATGAAATTAAGAAAAGTACACCTGACTAAGGCTCAAGACTTGCTGGAGCCAAGAGCCAAAATACAAAACATTACTAACCCATGTGATATAAATGCATGGAATTTGAGCACCTGACAAAATAAGTTTTTGCAGACCTCTCATTGGGGTTCTTCATAACAGTATATGTTGCTTGTACTGTGCATGTGTGGGGTTTTAAACACTTATCAGTCATCACATGAAATTTCCTAAAGCAAAAGTTATATGCAAACCCATTAACTGTATCTTGTTCAATCACTAATCCAATACACTTCATAATGCTGTGTAGAAGAACCTGTGTGTGCAACAAGTGGATAAGTAATTTTTAACTGTATATTCTGAGCTAATCATACAGATATACTGTACAGTACACATAATTTATGCATTATCTTGGATTTTGCAACCTACAGATTAACCCAATGATAACTATGTGCTGTTTGCTCAGAGAAGTCATTACTCAACATTGCAGGGCATATAAATTCATAACCACACACAGGCTTAAATTTCTAAAATTCTGCTTTAATTTTTCCAACTAGTTGATAGATTGTGAATACAGTAATTACAATATGTACAATCAGCCTAGGAGGTGATGTCACTGTTGTAAATACGATTCTTTCAGATAGAAGTACAGGGTATCTGGCAATTTGGCGGGAGCCGAGCAAAATACTGACCACTGACTCGTGGGCTGGACACCATTCATGCAGCAAATTTCTCGCTACCTAACATTTTAATCCCTCATAAATTTTAAAGGCAAAACGCTTCCAAATGGGCAGTAAAAGAGCTACATATCAATCCCATGCTTGAAAGATGAAGATGATGTATGCAACCAGTCCAGGATGATACAGCAACACAAGCCAATAACACTTACTTCTATGGCTCATTCCCTTGTTTAGAAGTTGTTTCACTTTTAGAACAATATGAAAGGTGTTTATTGCTCTAAAATAATTATTAATTGAATAATCGCTCGGAAACGTTAGCAATTTCGTCAATTTACCTTTGTTCCTAAGTGAAAAATAGTTGCTAAATGGAAATGTTTTATATTTTATTCATTGGTGCTGAAAAATATACCTTCAGAGCATAATTTATGAAAATTTTCTTATAAATACTAGCAAAAACTGTAACAATAAACATTTATTTAAACATATAGCCTCTCTAAAGCATAAAGCTTTGTTTTATGAATGCTTTCCCTCCTTACGTTATACTGTAGTCCATTAAGGGAGTAAATATGGAAAATATTTGTTTACATACTCAGTAAATGTGGTGAGTATGATTAATACAGGTACTGTATTTCAATTATTATTTTTCATTCAATATTCATTTCAGCCTAGCACAATTACTGTACAGGAATCCCTTGAGATACGAATGGGTTAAGTTAAAAGAAAAAAAAATGTTGTAAGGGTATTTTTCGTATCTTGAACAGAAAAAACATGAAAAAAGTAGAGTTTGGTTCCCCAATGACAAAAATACCCCAATATCATACCCCAAAAACATGAAATCAGTTCACAAAAAAATAAACCCTACCTAACTAAGGATTAATAGTACACAACTACAGTACTGTAATTTACTACCTAACACATTAAAAACACTAATAAAATACTATCTATATAAAAATATGAAGCTAAAGCTATTAAGAAAAGTTAAATCAAGGCTTAACATAGCCACCAGTGATGCCATTTGCATAGACACTACTGTAGCTGCTCCAAGCGTGGTTACCCTCAAGTGTCGCCATAGCAACCAACCCGACCGCCCCTACCAACCAGCAACACTCCCTCCCCGGTCTCTCACACAAAGAAATGTTTATTCCCTTCATGTGTTTGGCCTTATGATGTTATTTCTTTTACTTTTTTTGCACATTCTGTATGTAGGATTGTGTGTGTGCATATAACTAAATGAAAAAAAAAATATATATATGAAGAAAGTTGGTTAAATATCTGAAATATAAGTTGAAAAATAGCCATAATTCCCACCCTAGCCTGGTAGGAAGAGCAGCTGGGGGATTGTGGCCTCCCAAGCTGACTCCTGAAGGTGTGCGATTTGAATTTTTGCCAGGACCCAAATTTGTATAAGTTGGGGAAAGCTTTTGTAACACAACAATGGTGTCAATTTAGGAAATTCATACAAATGAATTTTTGTATCTTGAAGGATACCTGTAAGGTATGTACATATATCAGGTATTCATTTTGACATCCAATTATAAATTCGTATATACAGTATTACCCCGCTTTACGCGGTTTCACTTTCCGCGTTTTCTCATTTACGCGGTGCCTCGCCAGAACCGAACTTTCACTTTCCGCGGTTCATCTACCCATATATGCGCAGAGTGTCCGGCTCGACGCTATTTTTAGATTCGCCCCACCCGCCTGCTCCCGCCTCCTCCCTCCTACGCCTCCGCCTGGCCAAGCCGCGCGGTAAGGTTGCGCAGTGCATGTCTGTTGCATTATCACTGACGTCATATGACGTATTGGACTGTGATTGGCCATGCATCCCTACCTCCCTCCGCTGCTAGCTGTAATTGGTTTAAAGTAATATGACGTGTCCACCCAGGGGAGGGAGGGAGGGAGGGAGGGAGGAAAGACGACGCTTGACCTAGCCGCGGCAGTTTCATCCCTCCAGGCCACACCGTGTATACGTGCATCCATTGTTCTGTGAAATGGCTTCCGCCGGACCACCGCCACCAGAGAGAAACCTTTCCTTACCTGGACCCAGCCGCCCTAAGCCAAAGAAGATACTGTACGACGTTCCCTAAGCTACGAAGTGAAATACCAGATAATTCAAGATTTGGAGAAAGGAACAAGTCAAGCTGATCTCGCACGCAAGCATGGAGTCAACGAATCTACGATTCGTACTATTAAGAAGGATGCAGCCAAGATCAAAGAGCACATGAGAATCACAAAGTCTGCAGGTGCTTCAATGATCAAGTATTGCCAGAACAAGGTGCTACTAAAGGTGGAAAATTTGCTGGTGAGTTACTTGATTCGTCAAGCGCGACGCAACATGGCGGTGGACACTCGATTCGTTCAAGAGTACGCACGTGAACTGTACGCAGCAGTGTCACGTAAGATGGGAATTGCAGAGCCCAAACCCCTCAATGCTTCCTCTGGCTGGCTGCATAGGTTTAAGAAGAGGAACAATATCACCAACATCAACATTGGTGGTGAAGAAGCGAGTGCTGACCGTGTGGCGGCAAGAGATTTTCCCCCGTTCTTATGTGAGGTTATGGAGGAAGGGCAGTACACTGACGACAAGGTGTTCAACATGGACGAATCTGGCCTATTTTGGAAAAAGCTGCCTACCAAGACCTTTGTTGTCCAGTCTGCCAGCAAGGTTCGGGGTCGGAAGTTGCAGAAGGAGCGCATCACCGTCCTCTTTGCCACCAATGCCTCCGGCACCTGTAAACCAAAGTTATCGGTGATTCACACAGCCCGCAAGCCGCACGCCTACAAGAACATGGACATGAGCAAGATTAATGTCCACTGGCTGACCGCACGCAAGGCGTGGATGTTCTCTGCTCTGTCACTCTCCTGGTTTGATGACTGTTCCATTCCCGACGTGAAGAAATTCTGCGAGCAAAAAAATGTTCCATTCAAGATTTTGTTGCTCCTTGACAACGCACCAGGACACTCGCCCCTACTTATGGATCATCACCCCAACGTAAAAGTGGTCTTCCTTCCTCCCAACACTACGTCATTAATCCAGCCCATGGACCAGGAGTTGATCTGCAATGTTAAAGCTGCATACTCGGCAAAGAAATTCAAGCTCCTGAACGACTGTACCAACACCAAGGATGGGTTGCGTAAGCTGGGTGACACCAACAGCGAGAGTAAAAGCGACGAGGACAAGGAACAAGAGGTGGTGACTCAAGAAGTTCTCGTCAAACAGTTTTGGAAGAAATTTAACGTCAAACAAGCTGTAGACTTCTTGGTGGAGGCATGGGATCAGCTGTCTATAGCTACGATTCGTCACGCATGGAGGCATGTGTTGCATGGCATACCAGGTGAGAGGCGGAGTTAACCTGTGACTGGTGAGGTTCAGTCTGTGACGGTGGCATTGGACCTTGCAAGAGAAGCTGCGCACAGTATTACAGCTGAAGGCTTCTCCGGGACCACCAACGAAGACATCCTGGAGGTGATCAGAGATCCTGAAATGACTGCCGACGAGATGTTGGAAGATGATAACGTCAGTGAAGAGGAAAATGGTGCGTCAATCCCAGAACACAAATTAATGCATAGTAATATTAAGGGTGCCATCGAGTGTGCAGAAAAATTACAGCTCTTCCTTTCCAACGACCATGACGATGACCGCTATGAAGTCTTCCATACCCGGCTGGTGCAGGCTATGGAGCCGTACATCAAGGTGTATCAAGAGAACATCAACACTAGCCGTCAAAAAAGCATTACCGAGTTCTTCGCCCACAACCCACCACAGCCAGCCAGAGCCAGTGATAGTGACTTTGAGGGATTTGTCAGGGAGGCCCTGACAACTATAACGGATAGTGATGGTGATTCACCTGGTGATGGTGATTCACCTGAGAGCCAGTAATCTGCCCTCTGCCTTGGAACCAGCCTCCATCCCCGTATGCCAACCCATCTCTTCTACTAACGTAAGTGTTACACCCAACCTTTAGTTTTCCTAACGTAACCTTTATTTTTCCTAACTTAACTTTATTTTTCCTAACCTAACCTCTTCTATATTAAGTGTGTGTGCATACCATCATAAAGTTAAGATAATATTTTTACTACAACATAGTTGTGTGTCGTCAAAAAGTGGAGTTTGGGGGTCGGGCCAGTCTCTATTGGAATTAATCCCATATGTTCTGTTGTTCACTTTCTGATTTCACTTTCCGATACCCTGTGGTTCAATTGACGCGTAAATCGGTACTAATATATATATATATATATATATATATATATATATATATATATATATATATATATATATATATATATATATATATATATATATATATATATATATATATATATATATATATATATATATATATATATATATATATATATATATATATATATATATATATATATATATATATATATATATATATATATATATATATATATATATATATATATATATATATATATATATATATATATATATATATATATATATTCTTCCAAAAATGTAAGCTGACTGATGATAAAATTAAAGTTATATCCAAGGGTGTTAGTGATTTAAAATTTCTAACACCCTTGGTTATTTAACAATTTGCAATTGTTCGGCTTAGCGATCTTCAACTCATTGGGAATTGCTACTTGCTACATTAAGTAAATTAAAAAAATTTATATATATTTGAATTCATTTTCCTATTCACCTACCTACCCAGTATTATATACAGTAGAACGTCGATATAACACGAGACACATTCCAAGAGAGATCGCTTTAAACCGAATTCGCACTAAATCGAAGTGTTGTTTCAATGGAATATCTTAGTTTGGTACTTGAGAAACAAAATACTAAAATGACTGAGTCTACCCAGATGCACCTCAGCCCATCTAGAATAAACAAAACATGTTTATTTTGTAGTATTATGTTAAAACAAACATTCATAAATCAACACAGCAAAAATTATGGAACGTGAAATGGTCTGTTGACTAGCGATCAGCTGATGTGAAGATGGGGGGGGGGGTGATATGTTTGACAGTTGATGCCAAGGTCTAGTGCTTATTCATTTATCTGTCCTTAAGAGTGACTAAGTTTTTCTCTTATAAAATGTCACTGAACTGACATGTTCTAATTAATTTTATTACAAAGGGCTAAAATTTTTCTCTTGTGCAAAACATAAGCCGTTTATATTCAAATTATCCGCTGTCTTGCAAGGATTCTAGCAATGTAAATTATATTCTCCTAACTTTAATCTGTGATATTATCTGTAAGCCTATAACCACCAAACCCTGGCTGGGAAGATGGGAAGGAGGGTGGGAGGGAGGGAAGTGACATGTTTGACAGTTGGCGCCGGAAGGTCTAGTGAAGTATTTATTTGTTTATTTATGTCCTTTAGATTGAGTTTATGTTTTTTGCTTATAAAATGTCACAGAAGTGACCGGGGAGAATATAATTTACATTGCTGGAATTTTTATAAGAAAATGATTAATTTGAATATAATCATGCTATAGTTTGTACTAGACAAAAATTTTAGTAATCCTTTAGCACAATATTTTGAGTATATGTACAGTACAGCTTTGCCCTTAGGACAGTGTAGCGTGCCCAGAGAAACATTAGGCGCGAATTTTAAAATATGATGCGCCAGATTGACTCGCGCAAAATAAGAAAGATTCGCTTTAAATTAAAACATTGTCCTTAATTGTGGGTGTCGCTTTAAATCAATAATCTTAAATTGAATCACTTTAAATCGACGTTCATCTGTACCGTATTTATATACCCCATTTTAGCGGGGAGTATTTCGGAAAATTTTTGGTGTATTTTCCTCCTATAGCTATAGTTTTCTTAAAACATTACATACAGTATTATACCAGTAAATGTAAGGAATAAATAAAAATAATACCAATAAATAATTTACAGCAAAAAATACTGTACGGTATTGTATTACCAAAGCTGCAAATAAAAGCTAAATGAAAGTTTAACACAGTTGCCATTTGCATATACCTGTATAGTAATGTGCATTGGTACTACCTGTTCACCATAATAATGGTGACGCCTCTGCTGATTCCCCAGCAACCCCCCCCCCCTCTCACCAACTGCCCAGCCATCCTCCCGTACTCCCACTAAGCCAGCTAACTCGCGTACAAAGAAATATATATTCCTGTTGTTTGCCCTTAGGACAACTATTTCTTTTACTTTTTGCACAATATGTATGTAGGATGGTGTGTGCATGTATATCAGTAAAAATAAATGAAGAAAGTTGCGTATATCTACCCGAAAATACGAGTTGAAAAACAACAGCTTGGCCCAGTAGCCTGGTTACAGAGACGAGTTTAACCTGGCTACAATGTCGCCAGCGATGCTAACAGATGTAAATGTGAAAAGAAAGTTATCTGTAAATCTTCATTTGTATCAGGTATTTGTAGATTGAAAAATAAATGTTGCAGGTATGGCATTAATAGATTGTAATGCTAGTAAGAGTTCAGAAATGGTTACTGCTTTGCTTCCTTTGAAGAATTGGGTGTCTGCCATACAGATGTTAATCGTCTCAGGTTATCGTCATCAGTACAGTGCAGAGTAGTTATAGATCGACCATTTATATTTACAATAATTATATTTTAATTAATTAAAAATAATAATGTTTAAGTAAACAATAACATATTTTTAATTCTGGAGTTGGATTAGGTAGAAATTAGCCTACTAGAGACAGCAATGGGGGGGATTCATTAGCTTGCAGGAGACTGCAACTTCACATACAAGACATGGGCCAACTTTTTTTTACATTTTCAGACAAAACAGTGCATCTTACATGCTGTAAAATACGGTAATCACAAGTCTAATATAAAAAAAAAGGTGGAAATAAGAAAATTAAGTGTTGTAAAATAAATGCCAAATGTGATACTGTATGTCTCTTGGCCCACTCAAATATCATGACAACGATGTATTTTCAAGGCCAACACTAAACCACTTGGAAAGGGAGCCACTATATAAGTTAATACCTATGAATCAACCAACCTGAATTTTAGAAATGGTTTTAAAAATCATTGTCTAGCTTTTCCAGCAAAAATCATAATTTTGAGGGGGGGGTAACATATGTAGGCTTATTATACAGAAATCACGTATTGTAGGAGAATCTTACCGGCACGCCATCTACGAAACCAGGCCATTACTACATAAGTGTTTACCCTTCCTTTGAATACTGCGATCTGTGCTTTAATATATTGCTCTGCATATTATCAATCACTGAGCATCAGTCCTATTGCTGTGCATCGCTGTTATTGTTGTGACTCTGACATGTTATTGAGTACTGTATGGATCGTTCAATACCCTGTACCTTTGTGATATTATGTAATGAAGTGATTGCTCCTCCCTCCCCCTCCGCTCTTGTTGGTGGACCAGGTAAGAACTGTTTACTGTATTCCTTTTATGTTTTTGACCTCATGATAATCATTTTTTATTTTGTTTGCACAATCTGTATGAACGAATGTGAGTGCATGTAACAGAGTACAACAAAATAAAAGAAAATTACGAATATTTAGCCAAAATTATGAGTTGAACAATAACATATCTCACAGCTCAGCCTCACCCGCTCTGAGTGCTACTGGGTGGCGTGTTGGTCAGGCGACTCCGCTACACAATTATGTGCCATCTCCACGGATATTATTCCTCGTTATCCCTTGTTTAAGATATTATTTCTCATTTCTGTTCGCTCGGGGATCAAATCACTCAGCGACCTGGTTTTCAGGAATGAATGTACACGATTCTAATAAGGTAATTCCAAAACTTTTGTTTTATCGAAAATAGTCAACGCTCAGGCAAAGTTCCATAATAATGGCATCTTAAGGAGTTTTTCCCATTTTGTACCACATAGGTTTAGTCTATGATCAATGTTTATCATAGTTCATTTAAAAATATAACTTCCTTAGTTCCCTTATCAAACGACTTCCTAAGATCTCCGTTGTTTTCATATCACCTGCCAAGTTTATTCCAACCTTCAACCCTTTTCCTCTCCTGAACACACATTATATATTTCTTGCTCTATATTTTCACAAATAGTTGACTAAATCAAACTTAGTACAAAAAAATTTTAATAGGAAAAAATAAAATAAAAAATAATTAAATGAGACCCTATGTCATCCATTCTCTCCCAAATACTAATAAAATAATATTGTATAAATAAAATATTAATTATATTCTTCTCCCAGTTTTACATCCACAAGGATAACCAAGAAGTACAGAAACTTCTACAAAAAGAAGGAAATAGTAGAAAGCAACAAAAAATTACCAAGACAATTAGAAATAATTCACACACAGACTTGCTCAATTAATGGTTAGATTCACAGACACTCAAACCTACACAAACATATGACATCACAAATGGTTGACTTTGTTCATATAAACTGCAACAAAAACTTACAGCAATAGTGGAGCCATTTCTCCCTGCCCCACCCCATAGAATGATGGGAATATATTTCCATACTTGGATTACCACTTGAAGCACACCAATTATTATATACCCTGAGATAAAAGGAAGTTCTGTTCCTGGAATCTGACAAAATTAGAAAATACATGTTAGCTATCAGTCGTATTAACAAAAACCTAATAAAATAAATTTCTCACATACCTGGGAAAAAATATTTTTTTAATATATCCAGTTATGAGAAAAAAATATATTTTTTAACAAATACATATCAAACAAGTATCACTGTCAGATCTCTTCTCTGTGGTATCCCCTTGCCACACACACAGGATATTTGCAACAAGATTATACAAACTGATGGAGATTATATAATATATAGGGAAAACATTGTGTAGTAAGGAGTTCCACAGTTTTGGTAGGCGAATGTTCTGCAAAATGAAATTTAAGTAGAGAAGGAGGGTGCACGGTGGTGGCACTATTGAGTGTAGTTTAACAAAAATAAAGAATATGGAAGTACTGTACAGTACAGTACAGTAAAGCTACAGTATACAGAGGGACATATAATTTTTCTAAATTAAAATTAAAACTTTATGCATGTAAAAGAGAAACTGTCATATAATTTCATTAAGTAAATATTTAACAAATACCAAAATACTACTTTTTTAATAACAAAATGGTCATGTCTTGTACTGCCACTTCACTCAAAATGTAGCTTACCATCCACCCATCTAAAGCAATAAAATTATTTCAGCAATAATACTTCATATATTTTCCTCATTATTGAGGTGATAAAAGTGAACCCATCCAACACTAGGGCGCCACATCATCATCACCAGCTTCACAAATACTGAAAGGAAACACATGCATACACCATATCCCCACATCAACATCTGGTTGGCTTCCTTGAGCTCAAAAGGTGTGGCAGTAAAACACAGGTATGCAGAACCTCCCCTCCATGACTTCCTTGAACTAAAATGTTAGGCAGTTCACAAGTGCGTTTAGGCAACATGTTTCAAAGTCAAGAACAACATAGGCATGGTAACAGAAAACTGGATGGTTGCAGTATTGTTCCTGTAATTGAACAGAAAAACAATAAATAAACATATAAACTATAGGGCGATGTTTTCATTTCTTTATACATGTCTGGTCAGGATATTTAGACTGCAACTGCGAGAATTAAAAGATTGAAACACCAAAAGTATGACAATGTAAATCTAATAAATATTGTGGAAAATTTATGAAACACTTGACAAACATAAAACAATTGAATGTTCACTCATACTCTATCCTTCACAGTATACTGTATAATAAGCTATACAGAGATACTAAGAATTGTAAAAAAAATGGGGCCAGTAGAACACATCCTGAGCAATCAGAGCTATAAATCTAAAGAGGAAAAATTCATAGCATTAAAAAAAGAAAAACTAATATGAAACAAAACAAACATGCTACACATATGTGAGAGTTGGAGGCAAGGCCCACACCCGGTGCAGCAGTATTAGCAATCATGCAGCAGTGACAACTATAGTATACATGAGGCCGGAGTCACCAACTTACGGCCACTGTGGAGCCATTGCGGCCTGCTCCTCTCTCTACCAGGATAATCTTAAAATTATTAAAGAGTGAAACAGCAGCTGCTACTATCCCAAATAAAGTAGGCACACACTTGACTGGTAACCACATCATTGGAACCTGAAACATGCCATGGACAATTCAACTTGCATTAATAAATACAATCAAATTCACATTATTAAACATTGAAAACTATCAGTGGGTCCCAGAGGCCTGATGGCCATTAGGGATAGTGTGGATACAACTGCACATTAAGCTTTTGGTACACAAGCAAGCAGCATGGCCAGCACTGCACTTGATCATTTACTTTCCCAACTGCAAATCTAGGTGCCCTGGGCATGAACCAGTGACCTTAAAGGCAGGGAGCAAGCATTGTATGTGCTCAGCCACCACACCTCTCAATGATACATGACCACATCTGGTTACCATAAAAAAATAATAATAATTCTAAAATGTGACAAACAGCTTTGATATTCATCAATATCAAATTGAGCCCCCATTCACCCCCCCACCCCCCGAAGGATTATCAGACCAATATGTGGGAATGCTGAAAATTACAATAAATAAATACCCCCAAAATTATAAAAAAATATGTGACAGTCATGCATATTATCCACAACTACAATAATACATGCAAGCAATACCTTCCTATCTTCTTGTACTTACTAAGATTCTCATAACAAGAACACCACTGATGGTGATGTTTGCCAAACCTTCTGAGTGGAACAGCAATGATAACTCACATAAATAAATTGGAGAACGCTGATTAAGTTCAGTCTATACAGGCATCCCTCGAGATACGAAAAGGTTAGGTTAAAAAAATCCTTGGGTGAATTTTTGTATCTTGAACAGAAAAATATATATGAAAAATAGGACTCATTTCCCCAAATGACAAAAATACACCAATATCATACCCCAAAAACATAAAATCAGTTCACAAACAAGAAAAAACTACCTAATTAATGATGATAAATACTACACAACTGCAGTACTGTAATTTACTACCAAACACACTACAAACATTATTCTATCTTGAGGAAAATAGGAAGCTAAAACTATTAAGGAAAATCTAAATCAATGTTTAACACAGCCACCACCAGCACCATTTGCATTGATGCCAGCTGCTTCACGCATGGCCGCCCTCAAGCTTCGCCATAGCAACCAGCCCAGCAGCGTCTGCCAAACCCACAACATTCCCTCCCCCCTTTCACACATAGAAATGTTTATTCTCTTTATGTGTTTGATCTTATGATAGTTATTTGTTTTAATTTTTTTGCACATTATGTATGTAGGATTGTGTGTACATGTAACTGAGTAAAAAAGTGAGGAAAGTTAAGTTTATCTATCCGAAACTATGAGTTGAAAAATACTGTAATCATAACCTAACTCCCCCAACTCATCCTACTAACTCTCGCTGTTGCATGAAGAAATATTTATTCCCTTTGTTTTTTACCGTATGATAATTATTTTTGATGCACATTCTGTAAATAGGAGTGTGTGCATGTACAATATCTGAATTAAAAAAAGGTGAAGAAAGTATGTTTATTAGGGGGCAGTGAAATTTTGCTCAAAGCTGCACTCTTCAGGCATTGTTCCTTATACATATCTAAGACTCCATGCCAAATTTGAAGCTGATATGTTGAGGTTTAGTCTGCCTCATTTTCTACTGAAATTTTTAAATTTACCTACAGTACTAGCCAAACAGCCGCTGTGGCGGTGCAATGTTCTGTTCAGTGTTTATCAACTTTTTTTTCATATCTCTTATTTCATTTAAGTTGTCTTGTTGCAGATGAGTATGGTGCTATGTCTATATTGATTATCAGCCTTTTCTCATTTCATTTCTCAATGTTATGTTACTGTACTGTAATGTAGGGGAGACCTGGGTAAGTTGGCGCACTTGAAATTATTCAAATAGTTACCGTTACGCAGTTCACACCGCAGGATCACCACGTGCTTCCTCGTGTGATGATAAAGAATGAGAAGACCGAGAAATGGAGTTCGAGGATGATGGTGAAAGATCATTATGTCATCATGGTTGAGCCTGGCAATGAATATCTCACACATGTGACTCCCAAGACTGGACACGGAAAGCAGATTGCCAAAACTATTCACGAGTTTCTGGTGGAGAAAAATCTAACCCAGCAGCCCATTGTGTGTGTTGGTTGTGATGGAACCAATGTAAATGTAGGATCAGAAAATGGAGTCATTCATCATCTTGAAATGTTACTTGGTCACCCGCTCCATTATTTCATATGTCAGCTTCACGGAAATGAGCTGCCTTTCCGCGCAGTTTTTTATCACTATGATGGTAAACCAAGTGGTCCTGAGCATTGGCGTGGTCCCATTGGAAAGCAGATCAAGGAGTCTTTGTCTGAGCTTCCAGTTGTCGCCTTCCAGCCAGTCAGTTTCCCTGATTTCCCTGTGTTTAATGATGAAGTGGAGAAAGATCTGTCCTGGGATCAGAAATACCTGTATAGGATTTGTAAAGGAGTTATCACAGGTGTTGTTGAAGATGACTTGGCTGCTATTGAGCCAGGTCCTCCCTGTGTGTCAAGGTGGAACACCTTATGGAGTAGAATCCTCAGGCTGTATGTAGCAACATCAAGACCCAGCCATGAGTTGAAAAGAATTGTCATTACAATAATAAAGTTCAGTGCTCCAATGTGGTTTTACATCAAGATACACCCTTACGTAACACACGGCTCAAGGAACGTATTCCAGTCCCTGCTATATATGAAACACCTGAATAGTGAGGAGGAGACGATAGTGAAGAAGGCTGTCCAGAGAAATGCATACTTCGCCCACACAGATCAACTTCTTCTTGGTATGTGTGCAGATGAGGACATGACTGTTAGAGAAAAAGCTGTCTCAATGATAAGAAAAATTAGAGAGGAGAATCAGCAAAAGGAAGAATGCACTGGCAGATCTGAAGAGGAGGAGGAAGATTCTGATGCTGCTGTTGACGAGAATTTGTTAAAATATACTGATGAGGAGGGTAAAGATGGAGATGGGAATGAGGATGTGCCTCCTGTAGTCAACATGAGAAAGGTGGTGACTCCGAAACTAAAGTGGCAAGCAAAAAACTATCATTCCATGATTAACTGGAGGAATGAACTCAAGACTGGGCCTCCTTACATTGCTTCTCTGTCAAATCTACAGGTTAATGACATTCTTGAGACACCATTAGTGGTGCCCAAGTGGCCAAACAGCACTCAGGCGGTCGAGAGAGGCATAAAAGTGATGACTGAAGCTTGCACTGAAGTGACGGGATACGAATCGAGAGATGGATATATTAGGCAAAGATTATTGTCTAGGAAAATGATGCCAAGGTTCCGCACAAAAAAGAATTTCAATATGAACTTGTAATGATTTTCTATACGGTGTACCTGTAAAATAACATGTGAATTAAATCGATGTCACCCATGTAAAATTTATCATTATCCTGGAAAACATTAAATGACACCTAATTTTTGGTATACACTAAAAGTTGACAAAAAGTCGTTCGCGATGCGGCAGGGTAAGTATGCATGAAATGGCATGAAATTTTGCACAGGTGTTTGTTACAGCCATACAAACGATGCCTGAAAAGTGCAGCCTGCAACTCAAATAAAAGTGTTTTTTCCCTGCCCCCTCATGTTATTATACCCTAAATTACGAGTTGAAAAATAACCATAACATAACTCCTACTTCAACCTGGTAGAGAGTGTGCTAGGGGGTTATGGCTGCCCTAGATGACTCCTGGGAGCACGCTTTCATAACAGGAAATATTGGTGTCAATTTAGGAAATTTGTACAAGTGAATTTTCGTGTCTCAAATGTTCGTATCTCAAGGGATACCTGTATATGCTTAATATGATCCAGCAAACTTTATTTTATTTTGATCAACAAAGCCTTTCTCATATTCTTGAAAAGAAAAAAATTATATGCATGCACTTTAGTCATATAATGATCCCTTTGGGTGTGGCCACCATTATTATTTTCAAAATATTTTTCTCCTTGCCTTCTGTCCCTAGTTTTTTGAGGTACAATATAAATAAATATGAAATTTATGCCTAAAATACCATTATCAATCATCACAATGCTGTATAAAATTAAAATTAGTGGCTATTTGATGACAAACTCAATATTTATATAACAACGTTACAATCATCAAATGATAACTAAAAATGACTATCATTGTGTCCTTACCTAACGTACTGTCTTACCTTTAAAACATATTATATTCTTTGTTATTTATATCAATATACAGTACAGTCCACTACAACACTGTAGAATAAAGGTGTCTTTCCATTACAGTATTGATTTTTATAACAATCAAAACAGCCTATCATTTGTTTTAACTTGGTTGTCTGTTACTGTACTATATAATGCACACCGGACTCCATCCTTAGTTGTTGCAGACATTTGTCTTTATTTTCATGTGAATTATTTTTTAACTTACACCACATTCGGTATTCACTCAAGTTTTCATACACAAAAATTATTTTTGCGTTCACTCTGCCCTTTCACCTTTCAAAACTATACCATCCACTTACAACCTCTTCTCTATTTCAGCCTTTACATAAAGCTATCAAGTTTTTGTCACTCTGCTGGACACATTCTATCATTCTTTTATCTTGACCAAAGAGTATCATCTGATTGTGTTACACTCCATCCTCCCACAGGAAAGACCATATCCTTTTTTTTTTTTTGCTTTTATAAAAAAATGAACAAGACAATTTATAATAATGTATTCTCTAAACTGTTCACATGATGATGCTCTGGCAGCATGTACCTCTCATACTGGTGGCACATAAACCAATCAACATTTTTTGATTCTTTTATAAATTAAGCAAAGCAGTCAAACTTTTTCTTGCATTGAGTAGCATACACTGTTCACTAAGTCCCATAATTCATCTGTAACTGAATTTGCCATGACAAAACTGACAAGGTGAGTCAAACCAGAGACATATAGAATGCTTATAAATACTGTACAGACACCCTATAAATATAAGTGCAAAGTATTATAAAAAAAAATCAAATGTCCTTGAGCATGAGAAAATTTGCAAAAATGAAACTAAGACACTCTAAAGAGGCCAAAAGACAACAGACCAAACACGTACCTTTAAAGACCAAAAACTTGACCCAAAAATAACAGAGATTATGTGAATGGCCATCACACCAAACTGTGCTTCAGTCACATCTATGAAACCAAATCGCAGTGTACCTGAAATGGAGTACAGTAATTCAATTACTGTAGGTATTACATTGCAGTACGTATCAGTTATGTGAGAACAATAAGTACCCCGTACCCAGTAACTGGTACTATAAATTGCCTTTGATATTTTGTTTAATTTGACAAAATATCAATTTTAAAAGCCATATGAAAATAATTTAGATATTTTATTAGCCTAAATAAATATAAATAAGGATAAACAAGTTATTGGGCTATTATTCAAATAGCCAATAATTATTTATGAGCTCCAATTCTGGGCAAATATCATGATTCACTAGGAGATACTGGAATGTAAACAAACCCATGTTACTCGTTTTTAGGCAACCCTCTAAACCTAAATAGACTGTATTTCACTAATTCTTTATTTTCCTATTCAAGGAGTAAAGCAAACATTTAACTGAGTTTGATTGAGTGTGGAGGCAAAACATGAGGAAGATAGAGAAGGGTTGTTTAACCAAACCCTGAGTAGAAAATGTCCAGTTTTTAAGAATCTCCAACTTTCTAAGATCTAGCTCGAAGAGTCTGTACCTGTCATGATGTGCTGTAAAGTCAAACTTATCACTTGTAACACATACAGTAGTTTTTTCTTTTCTGTGTTACTGGTTCTACAGCAAAACCTTGACCCATGAAAGGGTTAAAGACTTCTACTTAGAGAGTGATTGACAATCTCTACCAGGTCATAGCAGATATCCCAATCCAGCCACAAAATATATCAAACATGATTTTATATCCACAAACAATTCAGCTCAAACTTACCAGACACATAAGTTTGCCAGTGGGCACAATAAAAGAGGGTGACAGCCATCATACATTGGAAGAACATCCAGTATGGATGAGTTCCTAGTCGAACAGAACAGCACACACCAATGGACACAAATACTGTTGAAGAAAAAAAAATACAAAATCAAACACTAAAAAAAAAAAAAAAATATATATATATATATACTGTATATACAGTAGTACCCCGATTTACGCGGTCAATTGAACCCACAGGGAACCGCGGAAAGTGAAATCCGCGTAAATGGAACAGCAGAACATATGGGATTAATTCCAATAGACTGGCCCGACCCCCAAACTCCACTTTTTGACGACACACAACTATGTTGTAGTAAAAATTTTATCTTAACTTTATGATGGTATGCACAAACAAGTAAGATAGAAGAGGTTAGGTTAGGAAAAATAAAGGTTAGGTTAGGAAAACTAAAAGTTAGGTGTAACACTTACGTTAGTAGAAGAGATGGGTCGGCTTACGGGGCCTGGAGGGATGAAACTGCCGCGGCTAGGTCAAGCGTCGTCTTTCCTCCCTCCCTCCCCGGGTGGACACGTCATATTACTTTAAACCAATTACAGCTAGCAGCAGAGGGGGGTAGGGATGCATGGCCAATCACAGTCCGATACGTCATATGACGTCAGTGATAACGCAACAGAGACATGCACTGCGCAACCTTACCGCCCGGCTTGCCCAGGCGGAGGCGGGAGGAGGCGGGGGTTGGTTCCGAGGCAGAGGGCAGATTATTGGCCCTCACCTGTATCACTTGTATCAATTGTATCACTATCCACCACAGAGGCTTGCAGGGCCTCTTTGTCAAACCCCCCAAAGTTCATATAAGTCCATATCCTCACTATAATTATCACTATCACTGACTTGGGCCGGCTGTAGTGGGTGGCGGGTGAAGAACTGGTAATGTTTTGATGACTGGGCGACCTTGTGCGCACCATTTTTGCGCCTCTTACACAACATGGCGGATGGCGGGAGGTTTGGATCAAAAAATGGCGCGGCTTGCCAGCCGCTCTCCGCGTAATGGGGTACACGCACCGCGGAATGTGAGCATGTTAGGTTCCGGCAGGGCACCGCGTTAACGGTGAAACGCGGAATGCAGGACCGCGTAATGTGAGGGTTGACTGTATATACATATATATATATACTGTATATATATATACAGTGAGTTCTGCTATAACGCGTGTTTTGACAACGCGAATTTGCTCTAACGCGATTTATGAATTGAGGAACGATATTTGTAAAACGCGAACTCGTTTGCTCTAACGCGATTCCACTCGAACGGTTGTTATGGCTTCAGTTCACGTTCGACATCACATGTTCAATTGAGTTATGTGTTTTGTTTGTGAACAATTGCAGAAATAATGTATGTAATATTTATGTATACAGTATACCTATATATTATAAGTAAATTGTAAAATTTTAAATAAAAGAGAAAATCAAATTACATAGCGTTTTAGACCCGCGCTCTCTTTACATCACACACAGTGTTTACAGTTCACGTTCGACATCACATATTCAATTGATTTATGTGTTTTGTTTGTGAAGAATTGCAGAAATAATTTATGTAATATTTATGTATACAGTAAACCACTCACAAGGTCCTACAGTGACAAGAAAGGGAAAGTGACCTTGACTGTGACCGCCTGTGGCTATTTTTAGCCGTCCTTGTGTTCGGAGGTGGTCAGTAATGCATATCTGTATATTTACTGATCATAATACTTATCTCCTATAAATAATTCATTTGAAATTTATTTTTTGCAAAGAATATTCAGTAAATGACTGCGTTAATTCTTGAAACTACCGACAGTGGTAAATTTAGGATATAAATGATGAACAAAAGTCACGTCATGGATTAGGAGTTTGGTCCTTAACGATCACCATAAATGTACATAAATGTATATAAATTAAAGAAAATACTTGCAGTATATTTAATATATTACAGTATATTATAAATAAATAAATAAACAAATAAATAAAAATTCCCTTATCATCCTGTGTTATATACAGAAATACTTGAGTCCCTGAGCGAGTACACAAAAAGAAAACGGAGGACTAGGACATGTTTTGTGGGCGCTGAAGCATAATATGAATAATATGTAAATTACAATTTACTTATATATATATGTAAATTGTAAAAATTTAAATAAAAGAGAAAACTAAATACGTAGCGTTTAAAGTGTTAAAGTGTACTGTACAGTGTTGTGGCTTGGCTCAATGTTTACAGTTCACGTTCAACATCACTTGCTCAATTGATTTACAGGTATGTGTTTTGTTTGTGAAGAAATACCTGTACAGTACAGTATATGTAAATTGTAAAATTTTAAATAAGAGAGAAAAACAAAATAAGTAGCGTTTAAAGTGTACTGTACATTGTGGCTTGGCGCGGGGTTATGCAGTGTTTACAGTTCACGTTCGACATCACATGTTCAATTGATTTATGAGTTTTGTTTGTGAAGAATTGCAGAAATAATTTATGTAATATTTATGTATACAGTATACCTGTACAGTATATGTAAAATGTAAAATTCTAAATAAGAGAAAAACAAAATACATAGCGTTTTAGACCCGCGCGCTCTGTTTACTCCACACTTTGTTTGAAACACGTGTGAAGTTTTTAAGTGTCCTCAGTGAATTCTGATTACTGTTTCTCCAATTTTGTGACTATGGAAAAGAAGAATATCTCTGGGAAGCACTCTGGTGATCGCATTTCCGGTGGTGATCATAAAAGAAAGGCTATAACACTTGAAGAAAACCTTGATGTTTCATGACTCCTCAGCCTCAACATCACCCTTCTCCCCCATCAAGTTATATTCATATTTTTTCAAGGTAAAGCGAAACATTTACTGTATGATTTCATTATTAGATGTGAATGTAACATTTATTTAGACTGTGCTATCCTTTGTGTTAGGCTAACTACGAAATTTTTTTTTCGATTTGGCGTAATCTGCACCTAACCCTATTTTCTCCATAAGCCCTGTTATTTCTATTACACGAATTTCTATAACACGATGTTTTACAAGAACACAACTATCGCGTTATAGCAGAACTACCTATATATATATATATATATATATATATATATATATATATATATATATATATATATATATACTATAAGTTCCTTAATATCATTTATGGTCAGAGGACATCTATAAACCATTAATGTGTTCTTACCTGTAGAGAGAGAATCACAGCCATGATCAAACAGTTCTCCAAGAGGTGAAGATGTGCCAGTGCGCCGTGCCTGCTTACCATCAATGGCATCAAGACTTTGGTAGGTGAACAGCCCAAGGGCACAAAGGAAGCATGCCCATCGAGGCACCTGCAAAGTAAAAACATTGAAAAAATTTACTTAATACACATAATAATAATATTAATAATAATAATAATAATAATAATAATAATAATTCATAGTAAATAAAATTTATAATAAAAAATAAAAAATTGAAAACAAAATAATAATGATAATAATAACACTGTAATAATAATAATAAAGAACCATAGAGAAATAAAAAAATAAAAAAAAAGATCAAAAGTGAGAAACAAAATACTGCATGTATGTTGTGTTGTCAATAGTAATAGAAACAACCGAGACCCTGCAATTGTGTAAATGAGGCAGAAAGTCAGAACAGCAACCTGGGACTCGGTCAAAATTTTTGTGATGCCATATGGCAGCAGGGTTAATGCCCATCACCACAACCTTTAACTTATCTGAGGTTATGACGTGGTCTTACAGCAACCGTTCGGTCAGTCCATCAACTACAACCATGGGACACCAACACCACGATATCTCCCAGAGAGCACAATTTACCAGCATGCGTAATGCCGGGTTACATATCAGCGAGATCTCAAGGCAGATGGGAGTCTCGAGATCGACAATGCGGTGTTGTTACAGCAGTTTGAAGAGTGGTAATTTAACAGATCTTCCCACATCAGGAAAGCCTAGACTGACCAGTGCAGAAAACAACACTAGCATTGTGGCAGACATTTGCAACCATCCTCTCACCATTTAGAGGTCTCAGCTAGGACAGTTAGGTGACGAATCCATGGAATTGGGAACCATCTCAGGGTTTCTGCTGTTAAGGAAAGGTTCGAAGAACAACACCAGATTTGTACGTCAGTGGGGGGGGGGGGTGTCGACATCGTGTTTTCTGTTCCCAGAGCATTATGCGGGGAGGACCTGCACTTCTTGGCAACTACGGCCGTCTTCACTGCTGGAGACCTAATAACACCCATTACGCCTGGCAGCATGTTTACCATGAAGCCAGGAGCGGCCACGTGACCATAAACATGTGGGGCTGGATCAACCTCAACAGTGTGGGCGAGTTGGCGGAGATATGTTTTTCCTTTTGTCTGTGTTATAAACATATAGATTTTTCATTTCTTTAAAGGTAACATGTTGTCTTCCTATCCTCATGTCAAACACTTTTATTTCACCAAACATTTAATACTCAATTCAACTTGAGAGTGATGTTACATAGTTTACTCAAACCAAATTTTACCAATTGGAACATAGTGCACTCCCAAACAAAAAACAACTGTGTGTGTGCACATTAGCATCAGTCAGAGGAGAGTGCCCACATTGTGTTTTCTGTTCTTTCAAATTACCATAGAACCCTGTAATATGTAAAGTTAATATCTCAAATGTGGCACTTGGTTGTAAAAAAAAAGAGTAGCATGATTGTCAATAAAATGTGACACTGATGATATGTAGGAACGAGAGGAAAAAATTACTTAAGCACCTCAGTCCTGTCGTCCTGCTTGTCTGGAACCATCACCAACCCTCTATTAGGAACCCTCTCTGCTATAGCTTGAAATTAAGTATCTCTTATACCTGTCCTCCTGACACTCACATAAGACAACTCATATAACCATTAGAGGTACATGGTTTAGTTCAAAGAGGATGTGCACATAGACATGACATACACTGGATTGTTCTCATGATCGAGGTGCATAGCAGACTGTGTGTGTGTGTGTGTGTGTGTGTGTGTGTGTGTATAATAATAATAATAATAATAATAATAATAATAATAATAATAATAATAATAATAATAATAATAATAGTAATAATAATAATAATAAACGGTTTATTGAAAAAGTTTGCAGCCCGAAGGCTGAAAATATACATTGGACATAAATGACTTATTACATACATTGGTGTGTGTGTGCTCGCAAATACATTGGTTCTCGTCATTCAAAATAAGTCAAACTAATTATTGATGGTATTCATTGGTTTGTTCCTGACATTGCTGGCAACATGGCAATCTAGGCATGAAACACACACTTTAAACCACAGAGTGATGCTTAAACTATGGACCTAGTAGTTCCATCATATGTGTTCGTGCATGTCTCTCTGACGTTGTCACATAGGCAGGACTGTACCTAATTGAAAATATATGTACATTTCACTGTAATTATTTAACATATTTTTGTTTTGTTTGTAGATAATTAAAGGCAACACTTGGGAGTTTATGGCAATATGGTTTTGACTATGGCACAAAAAGTGAAAGTCATCTAATTGTATTTTGAAACAAAATCTGTGGTACAGACTCAGTGTTGCTACTGTCGTCAAATTAACGTCAGAAGAGTTCCCAATATCAAAATCAATTCACCGTATTGTGACCAAATTTGAGAAAAACAGAACTGTTCTCTACCTGAATTAAAGGGCACACTCTATTAGGGGGTTTGTGGGTAGGTGGAGTTGACTGAGGTAAGGGGATGAAGATGGTAATAAAGGTGGTGGAGTCTGGCCAGAGAGATGTGAGGGAACTAAACTAGACTAGTAAAACTTCTTTAACAGTTTGAGCAAAAATTCCCTCACTTGGCAATACAGCTGCTCCCCGACTGACGAATGGGGTTAGGGACCCAAATCCAGGTCGTAAGTCGAAAATGCTTAAATTATACATAGAAAATCTAAAATGGGTGTCTCTTTTTCTTCTCAGCACCACAAAACCCTCACTTTTAAGCTTGCCAGCCATTTTAAAGTGAATTACAAACGAAAATTTTATCAGTACACAGCACAATCACTGACGTTGGGACTCGAAAATACGTAATTTGACAAAATTTTGATACGACTGAGGTGGTCATAAGTCGAGTAGGTCGTAAGTCGGGGAGTAGCTGTATAAGGGATCTACTGTGAGTCATAAATGTGACTGGTTTATAGATGGTGAATGCGAGTGATTGGTTTATAGCTAATGAAAGGTATTTTTCATTGAACTGTACTGTATATTATGCAAGAATAACAAAATTAGAAACTTTCTATGATATAATGAATAGTGAGCACAGTACTGGTATGCTTTTGTTAAAATCCTAATCAACCTTACCATACTTACGTGACCCTCAAGGAAATGCCAGGCACTGTATTGCCAATCTAGTCTAAGGAATTTTTTTCCACAACTGTACATACACACTACTAAAGTATTGTAGCACATACTAATATTTTAAAAAGTGAAACACTATTATGGATAAATAAATAAAAGGCTTAAATATGCACATACTGGTAAAGATTTTGTAATGCTGTATGTCTATGATTAGTTTTTAAGCAAGAATTATAAATTCTCTTTTCATTCACAAGAATGGGTGTTGCTACTCAACACACTATTCTCATGTTACAAAGATTTTCAAGTTCAAATTTAATTTCAACTGAATAATAAAGTGAGCATACCTTCTTCTGGAGTGATCAAATTATAAAAATATAAGTCCATTGGTAATTCCTACAAGCCCCCCCAAAATAGTAATCAAACTGTATAACATTTCTAAAATTAACATTAATCATAGGACTGACAATGAAAAAAAAATTTACTTGCACCCATTATATAACTTGCCATGGGGACATTATCAAGAGAGCACAGCCAAGGTCAGCCAAGTCAAGTGGAATCACATGTAAGATTTGTGAGAACCTGATGTTCAGTCAATGGTATACCTCCAAGTACAGTCCCCACCCCCCCACCCCCCCAATAGAAATTATTAGAACACATGTCCCATCAAATTGTGTCAATTATATTCTGCAACTTTCAAATACTAAAAAGAGCACCCATGATTGCAGTACCATAACACCAAGCCCTAAAAAAAGACAGCCACAACAGATGACAGGTGGCTACAGTAGAGTGGCCAGCTGTAGGGTAGGGATTTAATTCTTATAACGGACACCATGGCCAATCAGACGGCAATGATAGCTACAGCTGCCATATGATTCCGAGCCTGATAACCTACCCAAATACTCAAATGGGAGACAGCTGGACAAGTGCATCATAATATGCTGCATGATATATGTGTACAATATCTTTGGATCTGCCCCTACATTGCTAAGCACAGGGTAATTTTAATCAAGGAAGGATATGGTGCCCTGGTGGCCATGCTTACTTTAACAATATTTAAGCCAAGTCTATCCTGGACCTGCACTGACCTTACTCACATTATCCAAGAGTTACAATATGTAATGTTTGTTCACAATCTTTATAATACAGTACCACACCAAGCAAAATAAAAAATAAATAAATAAAATAATAATAATAATAATGATGATAATAACACTAATAATAATAATAATAATAACAATAATAATAATAATTTGGGTCTATTGATCAAGTTTATTTTACGTTACAATCTCCCATTAGCTTCCAAGATTACAGTTTCAATTTACGACTTCAGTTGGTAATGTGAGTGAAGAATTGTGCTCAAAATTCTTCTCATTAAAGATACATGTATTTGTATTTCAATCTTTTAAACTTTTTTGAGAGATAAAATTAATCATGACGACATAGAGATATTCGTCGTAGTGATCCTTAATCTGGTGCTCAGCCCAATACATTCTTCTTACTGGCCAAACTGATGCATAGCACACCTCTATACCTGAGTGAATGACTTGATCCATCTAATGTATTGCCATAAATTAACTAAATTACTACAGTATATTTCTACTTAAAACTTGATTCATTCACATACCTCCTGCTTGGCATCTGGGCTGTAGTAAACTAATAGTAATGAAGTGACAATGTTGATGAGCAGGCCAGTGATGGTGATGAGATTCGGAGCCAGTGTCCTGGAACACTGGTCCACCAGCCAGCACCACCACTTCTGCATCATGGGATCCATCAGAGAACTTGAAGTACAAGAATACTTGTGCTCGTCCAGTCTCCGTAACTGCGCGTGAGTTAGCTGACCCATCTTGAAGATTAGAATTCTTTCTTTCCTTTCAAACACTTGTGTTCTTTCAGATTATTATACACTGATTCAGAGTTTGTGTTTTGTTCACATTAAAAAAAAAAGAACGATGCTGAACTTGTATCTCACATCAAAAAATATCTATTATCCACAGTCTTCCATCAATAACCACAGTGTAACACTAAACAACTTCATACCAACCCATCACCTCTAAAACACCATGTGCAATTTTCTAATATTCATGTTCCTCTCTGTTCTCTTCACCACAATATCAATCATTATTATGACTAATGTGAAAGCCACATTATCTTTGCCTTAAGTTGTAGCTATACTTCCCAAAATGATCACTCAGTGTTACATCAAGTCACACCTGAAATACTGAAAACATATTAGTAAAGTCTAGTTGGCTTACACATTGATTATTTCCAAGCTTCCAAATCCTTATTTGTAGGAGATAATGAAATTTTTTTTAAAAATCTGCTCAAATTCACATACATATTGTACAGTATAAACCAACCCATGCTATACTGTATACCTCCTGTGTGTTATGTTGAATACTTTTTTATAAACTTGAAGGTTTTAGTGGTAATCTCTCAAAGAACAACACTGTGAATATGAAACTAAGTCACCAATGCACAACAAACACACTGCCATGAGTGATTATTCTGAAGAGGGAAAGTTTGCAATTTCACACTAAACCCTTAACTGCAGAAAGATGTTGCTCCTCTCTTCAAGTCAGTAATGTACAGATCTGTAGTGATCAAGTACAGTACATGGTAGCTGTATGGATGACCAGTTATTTTCAATACCGTATATAAAGTGACTATTAATATAAAGTAAAATCATTTGACAGATCATACACCAAGTCAATGGTAACAAGTGTTATGGAAAGCATAAAATTGGAGAAAATCTGACTACTGTGTGAGAGTCTGCATCTCATCTGTAAAGACATATGGTAATTTTCAGTTAAGTTTAGATTTGGCTTGGCTGGTTTCAGGAAATTATATTTTCAGAGTTTCACTCTTAGGTTCAGTACAATATACAGTACAGCCATCATGTACTCTATGTATATATCCTTCACATCTCAATAAAGGGGCTTAATGAGAACAAAATTACAGTACACTACTGTACTAGACAAGTGGTCTCCTGGTCCATTTCGTGACCAGGCACCAACCAAGACACAGGCAGTCCCCGATTTAAGTACTGTATGAAAAACACAAAATTAAAAGAAATATATACGGTATACAGTATATATTTTTTTTCTCCTCATTAATAATAAAATACTGGAATTTTTTTACTACTGTACTCGGAAGCTTGCTTACCAGTATTTCACAAACTAACCTTTTTATTCTCTAACACTAGCAATATTCTTAACCCCCAACGCTCGTTGTATTCCCAGTAGGTTACTAACCCCACCGAACGATGTAAGGTGTGTCCTGGTTTTGCTTTCAAATTACTGTAAGTATGCACCTTTATTTAGCTGGGAGTATAGTACAAAGCCTCATGGCTACTAAATTGAGGAATAATGATTTGTAGTAACTGTAGGCCTCCATACTGACTTCCCGAGGTAACTCTCCCCCATTGTCCCTCAGTAACACCTCACCTGCGATGCTTCGTATATGCAGCTACACCTCCACTCGTCTTCCCGCTTCCCCTGACCTCTCCCTACTACCCTTCACTTGTCTCCCCACCACCTGTGACACCTCATCACTACCCTCCATCTTATCTGCTCATTCACCAACATCATTCAACATTATATACCGGTATTTTTGTGTTGTCCATGTTCCTACACATATATTTTTTACCATTAGGGTAATGAGGTGAAACAGTCCACTACTGGTTTGTACAAGTATTTTTATTATACTGACACACTCTAGAAAGTATTCTGTACTTATGGATAAGTAAAAAAACTACCTAAGATTTGTTCTACTATTTTTTTTTTCATCTGGGGGATTACCAGAAGGATTAAGTGATCCACATTTGACAGTCCACTTCACCAATTAGGTGGCTCATATTGGAAATTGTCTCGCATTTCCACACTCCATAAACTACAGTATTCCCTACAAATTCATAATACCTGTACCAATCATTAAGAAAGATTTTTTTCTCCAAATGCTGTACCTGTACTGTACTGTACTGTACTTTTTTGTGTGTCTGGGGGGGGGGGACAATTTGTGTACTTTAGGGGTTAAGTCTACAAATAAGTTTTTAATGTGTCATTAAGTAACTTTCTCATCAAACTTACTGGGAAAGGTAGACTCTTCTTCACTAATACAATCACTCAGCCAGTTGCCTGATTGTTCAATTTTTCCTCTTTAACTCATGTAATATGTGGCAAATTAAATAAAAGATAATTACAGTACAGTATAGTACTCTGTATTCTTAAATTTACTACAGTATGCTAATTATGTACAACAAAGGTGTAGTGTTGTCAGAGAAAGTGGGAAATTTGAAAGTGAATAAAAGTCGGGGTGTGGATGTTGCCTGCAACACACAAGTGAGTGTAAGCTTAGTGTCAACTGACTGACGGCAGCAATCACGCCATGTAAACAAAGCAGCAGACATTTAGGACGATGCAATAACTCATCTTGGGTTGATCGTGGGATTTTCCAGAATGTATCTCCAATTAAAGAACAGAAATTAATGTACAGTATTACCACAGCAATATAGAGAGGGTCCTCACTATACATCGGGGATGTGTTCCAAAGAAAAGTGACTTACAGATAAACCTCAAAATACAACGGGGTTAGGTTACTGAAAACCCATTGCTAGGTGAATTATCATAGATAGGGAGCATTATAAAATGGGGTTCAATGGAATTCATTTCCAGTCAGTCCCCAAACACACGTCTCACAGACAAAACAATTCCTACAATACTACCTGTACTATCAGTACAAAACAAACAACACTCACCACTCCCTGAAGAATAAGCCTAGTCATCATTACATGTCCTTTTCGAGGCTAAGGAAATTATTGTAGATGGAGTCGAGACACACTCCGACTCCCACACAGCCACTGGGGAGTCTCATGCTGCTTAACAATGTCAAGCTTCACCTCAGAGACAAGGCTGTCTTGGATGCCTTGGCCTTCCCAGACATTTTCAAAGTTACACTGCTCACTTCACAGTCACAAAAACAGAGCAAAAGCACTTGTCACAAAAACACAAGAGAACAATGGAAACAAAAACAATGATAGCAGCTGACACTGCTCACATTTTCAAAACAACAGTCGAAGCACATTAGTCACAAAAACACAGAAAATATCACTTCATAGACACCATAACAGTTCAATCTAAATGATAGTGCTGTCCTCTCACTATACAGTATGAGAAAAAACAAAAAGCAATGATGATATGTATTACAATGGGCCTCCCAGCTCAAAAATTGTCTGAGCCAATAGTCATTGAGAAAATAGCAAAAAAATGATTCTCAAATGGTAAAATCTATGTTTCATATCAATATAAACTACATTGCATCTTGTAACCAACACTATAATGAAGAGAATGGTACTGATAAAATTCATGCAAGTCGAGAAAATCATCCTCTTTCAGAGACTTTTCGAGACATTGTCACTATACTGTAATGAGGTTGTATAACCTGATACAGTAACGGCTTTTTGAAAACTAAGCACTTTCTCTGTAAATGTGAAAACAAATATTACATTACACAACCATCACTTGACTTCTCTCACACTAAAAAGAAGTTATTTCAGGGAGTTGGTTAAGCACTGTAATCCAAGAGTTGAGGCAGCCCACACAGAGGTATGAAAATTTAAATGGACACGGCAGTCTCACTGCTGAGATAATACAGCGCATTTATTGTTCCGGTCTTCACTTCCTATGGGCCTTGAGCGTTACCAATTAGTGTATTTGATAGAATTTACTTGCTACTATGACATCAAAATTTTACATACAGGTAATTCTGTTGAAAACTTAACTTTTGGGGAATATTTTAAAGTTTGGTGACTCGGTTTGTGTCGCCGTGAGGTTAGTCTTATCATGAATATGATGCAAATTGAGTCATCATGTGCGAGAGGGTTAAATAACAAAGTGATGTGGTCAATCTGCATCATAGCCAGCACCTGTGATCTCCTGCAGTAACTTCCATCCCTTGTCATGTGAGGTCATAATTCCTGTTACCTTACATCTACAGCCTCTTATTTGGCAGTTCCTTTGAAACGTTGACAATTTGACACTCTTCCGCACACAATAAATTTTTAAGTTTCCGTGACCACAACCACCTTAGTTAATAAGAAAAACAAGCAGCAGAAGTGTTGTTAGAAGACTTCACCAACCTAACCAAAGAAACCTACCTAACCTTACCGAACTTTCTAGCTGTGAGGCTCAACCCTCCAGACCCCCTTGGCATATTTAACAGAAAGAACTTACTATTATAATGGTGTGCCTCATAAACATACACTGGCGACTGGTGTTGATCAGAAATGATTGGCTATGTACCACCCTTTCCCGGCGAAAAAAACTAAGTAGTGTGCGCCAGACAAAGAAGTGTACGCCTAGTTGCCTAATTATCTACCAAACGAAGCAATTTCCATCAAAATGACTGTTATATCAGAACTCACTCATGAAAATATAGTGAGAATATAAACATCAAAACAAATAATGAGTTGGCTGTGAGGTCCTCCATATTAGCCCTTGCGAGTTTATGGATCCCTCCTCTGAACACTGAAAACACCGTACTGAACACCAAAAACATGAATAAGGTAAACATTTTATAGTTTTGTAGTGGATATTTTGCCCTGACCGGCTAAGTTCCTACTATGCTATTTTACCGTGAGTGTGCTCTGATTGGCAAAGTACTTTCTGTTTAATATGGAGGGGTTCTGCTCCCGGCTAGGAAGTTAGTTAAGGTTAGATAGGTTTCTTTGGTTGGTTAGGTCAGGTTTTCTATTAGGTTCAAGTAAATGCTGCATCTTTTATAATGATAAGAACATGTGGAAAAAATGAACAAAATCGAACAACTCCATCTGGTTAAGCATTTATAGTTACACAATGATGGACTCACGGCAAAATATATGCCGAATGCCGCCAGAATCACAGTCAAATATAGTTCTCGCATTGTTCGCCAGTAATCGACGATTAGCCAATCAGAGCGCACTCACGGTAAAATAGCGTTAGTAGGAACTTAGCCAGTCATGGGAAAATGACGACTGCCATAAAGTTTAGGATTTTTAAAGGTAAGGAAATGTTAAGTCAAGTTTTCAAAAGTTTGCTTAGTGTTTTACCCTACATTGTCCATCTACTTAAACAAGGGGTCCGACTAATTACCCAAATGTAGCCACAATGAAGTCAAATAATGGTCCTACATGAATAAATCGGACTGCCAATCACTTCTCGACTAGTATATGGTGTCACAAAGTAAAAAAAAATTGGAAAACGTAATTTAATCTGAGTTAATAGATCGCGTGCATGTACCGAGGGAGCGAGTAATTACCCAAATGTAGCCGCAATGAAGTCAAATGATGGTCCTACAAGAATAAATCGCACTGCCAATCACTTTTCGACTGGTATTTGGAGTCATGAAGTCACAAAAAATTGGTAACTTAATTTAATCTGAGTTAATAGATCGAGTGCATGTACCTAACCTAACCTAACCTAACACAACCTAACAAAACTCAGATTAAATTAAGTTTACCAATTTTTTGTGACTTTATGACACCAAATAATAATCGAGAAGTGATTCACAGCCGATTTACGCTTGTAGGACCATCATTTGACTTCATTGCGACTACATTTGGGTACATTTGGGTAATTTCTCACTCCCTCAGTACATGCACGCGATCTATTAACTCAGATTAAAGTAAGTTTTCCAATTTTTTTTTTACTTTGTGACACCAAATACTAGTCGAGAAGTGATTGGCAGTCCGATTTATTCATGTAGGACCATTATTTGACTTCATTGCGGCTACATTTGGTGGGTCCGACTAATTACCCAAATGTACCCAAATATAGCCAGAATGAAGTCAAGTAATGGTCCTAGATGAATAAATTGGACTGCTTATCACTTCTCGACTAGTATTTGGTGTCAGAAAGTCACAAAAAATTGGAAAACTTACTTTAATCTGAGTTAATAGATCGCGTGCATGTACCGACGGAGCGAGGAATTACCCAAATGTACCCAAATGTAGCCGCAATGAAGTCAAATGATGGTCGTACAAGCGTAATTCAGGCTGTGAATCACTTCTCGATTATTATTTGGTGTCATAAAGTAAAAAAAAATTGGTAAACTTAATTTAATCTGAGTTGTGTTAGGTTAGGTTAGGTTAGGTTAGGTTAGATTAGAATAGATTAGGTTAGGTTAGGTACATGCACTTGATCTATTAACTCAGATTAAATTAAGTTTACCAATTTTTTTTGACTTCGTGACACCAAATACTAGTCGAGGTTAGGTTAGGTACATGCACTCGATCTATTAACTCGGATTAAATTAAGTTTACCAATTTTTTGTGACTTTGTGACACCAAATACTAGTCAAGAAGTGATTGGCAGTCCGATTTATTCATCTAGGACCATTACTTGACTTCATTCCGGCTATATTTGGCTACATTTGGGTAATTAGTCGGCAAACAAGTAATGTTGTTGCTAATTTTATCAGTTTAAATACTCGAAAAATATAAATTTCCGACGGAAACACTACAAAATAGATTATTTTTTGTTTTTTCTTTCACCCTATATGACTCAATATACTGTATAAGGTGTTGGCAACTTCTAAACATTTACCTCAACCTGTCCTACATCCCACACTTTAACAAGTAAAACTGCCATTACAGCACCTAAAACAGCTTGCTTGACTACATGTGTAACTACAATATATTACGGTAATTGCTCAAATTACAGCATATGCCTTTAAAAAATAAGAACAAGTTTCGGCTCTCACATAAGTTGTCTTTTGCACACATTTCAACTAAAGACACAGCAGAGGATGGTGATGAGTCAAGATATATGAGGTAGTAATTTGTTTGAGGCTGAATGTGATGAGGACATCCTGCACCCAAGTCAGCTGATCAAGTGTCTTCCAGGACTCCTCATCAGTGGCTCTCCCTCATACTCACTGAACCTCCTTCCCAGAGTTGACTTATATCGACTCTGGTGTAGTATATGGGGCGAGTGATGGTGGGTGTAGTGCCACCGTGGAACACTACCATCACCTCGGCCACTATCACTCTCAGCTGATAAACAACAACGGAATATGGCTGTAGGTGAACGATGACTGATGTGTTGCGTAGTTTTGTTCCGCTCACGGGATAACAAATAGTTCCTCCACACCATATATGGCTTATTTTAACTTCACTTACTACTAGTTATTAGGTTTTATATTTTTATTGTAATTTGATTATAAGCAACAATTTTTATCAATCAGCAAATATGTTGTGAAGACACGAAAAAATACATAATGTTCCCCCGAAACTAATATAAAACATAACTTGATTTCCATTTGTATAAAAAAATCTTTTTATTTTTTCTCTATAAAGGACGAAATTAATTATACTGCCAGCGAAAATCATACTAGCTCAAATGTTACACATAAGACTCACCAATATACTTTAAAATCAGTTTACCATAATTATTACATTATTACTGTATATATATACTATATATATATATATATATATATATATATATAATTTTTTTCATTTGTTTTCCAGCCAGCGACCATGTAAGAAAATTGTAATATGAAAAATATACAGTATTAATTAAAGTGATCCTTCTATAAAGCCAATTTAACGTTATAAAACTAATGTTACATAAAAGATTAATTTGCTCTAGGTTGTCAGCAGAAAGTAAACAAATGGGACGGATATTATCATATTTCTCAGGGATTCCACTTGACTTTGTTTAAAGTTGTGGATGGAGTTTAGTGTTGCCTCATTTCCGAGTGAGTTAAGAGATGTAGTGAACAATAAAACCCGTTCTTGGTACAGATTAGAATTACCCGTATTACGGTACATCCTACTTCATGTTTCAGTCTCGGGGCAGTAAGGGTGACCAGAGTGAGCAATAGCAAAGGAGAAATACTGTAGTCAGGGCAAGGATAAAATCGTTACTCGACCCGGATTACCATTCTCACACCACGAGTCTCATTTGGTTAGGCCGGCTTAGGGTAGCCTAGCTTTGCTAAGGTTAGTTACCTTGAATTAGTTCATATAATCTTGGATTAGATTAAATTAATTAAAGGATATGTTAGTCTGGGACATATTAGGTGAGATTAACTCGGGTTAGGTTGGGTACAGTGAGATTGTTTGGTTAAATTAGGCTCTGAAGTCAAGGTTACGTAATAATCGCCTGTCTGTTAGTGTAGGAAATTGTAGATAAGATATGAAGTTTATCTCTGTACTGAGAATTTTTGGTAAAAAAAACTGTTAAACTATGGAGTTATGGGAAAAGAAGCAGATAAAATTCTTATGTTAGTGTTTTTTCATTAGACTATTTCTGTACACATTTATAAGCAGTGTGTGTGTGTGTGTGGACAGGTGACGCGGACGATCATATAATAACCTTGGCCTGATAGAGTGGTAACCAAGGCCTGATACAGTAGACCGTGAATGGTATCACCAGCTGATCGTGATGAACTGATTCGGGTCCATGATAAAATCCCAACGGGGTTGTCATCTATCAACACTAACCTAACCTAAACATAAAAGTGTTTTATTTTATATTTTATATATGAGACTGGGGTTTTGTCCGGTCACCAACTGATTCACACACCCTCACGTGACACCCGCATACTCACCACCCACACCCTCACGTGACACCCGACACCCCTCACCACCCACACACCACCCACACACCCTCACGTGACATCCATACTCACCACACACCCTCCGTGACACCCGCATACTCACCCCCCACACACACCCTCTCACCATCACGTGACACCGCACACTCACCACCCACACCCCTCACGACGTACTCACCACCCCACACCCTCACGTGACACCCGCATACTCACCACCCACACCCTCACGTGACACCCGCCACTCACCACCCACACCCTCACGTGACACCGCCTCCACCACCCACACCCTCACGTGACACCGCATACCACCACCCACACCTCACACCCGCGTGACACCCAAGCTACTCACCCACCCCTCACACCCGCATACTCACCACCCACACCCTCACGTGACACCATACTCACCCCACACCCTCACACGTGACACCCCGCCTTCACCACCCACACCCTCACGTGACACCGCATACCACCCACACCCTCCACACCACCCACACCCTCACGTGACACCCGCGCACTCACCACCCACACCCTCACGTGACACCCGCGCGTGACACCTACACGTGACCTCAAATACGTTACTCACCCGCATACTCACCACCCACACCCTCATGTGACACCCATAATCACCACCCCACACCCTCGTGACACCCGCATACTCCGTGACACCTGCATACTCACCACCCACACCCTCACGGACACCGATACTCACCACCCACACACCCTCATGTGACACCAGCATACTCACCACCCACACCCTCACGTGACACCCACCCTTACTCACCACCACACCCCTCACGTGACACCGCATACCACCACCCACCCACACCATACTCACGTGACACATACTCACCACCACACCCTCATGTGACACCCATACCACCACCCACACCCTCACGTGACATCGCCACCACACACCCTCCACACGTGACACCCGTACTCACCACCCACACCCTCACGTGACACCCGCATACTCACCACCCACACCCTCACGGACGTGATGTGACACCCGATACTCACCAACCCACACCCTCACGTGACACCCGCATACTCACCACCCACACCCTCATGTGACACCAGCATACTCACTACCCACACCCTCACGTGACACCCACATACTCTTTACCCACACTATCACAAGCCACACCCTCGCCACCCTCAACATCTACACACCCACCACCCACACCCTCACCACTGTCGCCACCCTCACCACTCACACCCTCGCCATCTACACACCCACCACCTCACCACTCACACCCACACAAGCCACACCCTCACCACCCACGTCCTCATCTCTCACACCCACACAGTCGACACCCTCACCATCTACACCACTCAACACCCACACCCTCATCACCCATACTATCACCACCTACACCCTTACCATTCACACCCTCAACACCTGCGTCCTCACTATCCACACCCTCACCATCATTATCACCCACACTCTCACCCTCATCACCCACACTTACCCCCTCACCACTCACACATACATCACAAACACTGCCTACAACCTCACCACCCACACCTTCACCATCAATCACACCCTCACCTTAATGCTCACCACTCCAATTCTTACCACCCACAACCTCACCACTTTAACCCTTTCCACCCACACCTTCACCAACCACCCCACACCCTTACTCCCTCACCATTCATACCCTCGCCACTCACACTTGTCCACCGCTGATAGGTCTCTCTAATAAACACTAAAACATCTATCTATTTATACTGTAGATAGAAAAAAGCACAAATTTAATGTATATAATGTTTTTAAACTTTTCTCTACAGTACAGTACTTAATGGGGTGGTGTGGCAGTAAAATTAACTATTGGGGTAATTCCAATAAAATTAATTTATATTGGAATTAGTTAATTTTACCGCCACACCACCCCGTTAAGTACCATACTGCGGTGTTCCTCAGGACTCATTTAGTTTAGAACTCGGGTTGAAACACGACGATCTTCTTCAAGGGAAGATGTTGTTTAATAATTTGAGCGTAACCCTCCGCCCCAGGACACAGTCCACCAAACCTCATGAAGCCCATAACCACCCATGATCTATACGGCCAGGCAATAGCTAACCTCCTTCGACCAGCACCCATTAGTATAGGGTTGGTAGAATATGAAATAGTATGACCCTTAAAACACCAATAAATAGGAAAGGGCAGATTGTCTAGTGCTAGTGCTGCCAAAAGCATACAACCAACCAGTAAGGCAGCATCAAGAAAATCACACACAATAACTAGCCCAAGACACAACTTTAACACACAAGGGATTTTGGTAGCACAACTAGCCAACAGTAAGGCAGTAAGCCCACCTCCTCCTAAATTTCTTCAATTCCTGAACAATTAACCCCCTTCCTCCCTTCTCTAATCTCCTTTCACCCTCTTCCCTCTTCATTAAAAAAAAAAAAAAATCCCGAACACAACCCCCTACATTGTATGTAGTAACCTAAACTGGTACAGTATTGGGTAGAACATATATTTTGCGTTGGCTCTAAACCTTTTCAATGGGAAACTAATGTCAAAATTAAAACTCTTATAATTTGAAGGGTGATAGAAACACAATACAACATGATTATATTCTATTAAATCAATTATTTAGTAAAATTACATATAAATTGACAAAATAATCTGAAATATACAAGTTACTAGCATATTTTATTCAAACTGAAAAATATGCTAAAGTACAGTACTTTACCATTCCATAATAGCACTCAGATTGAGCTTTTAATGGCACCATTTTAACAGTGGGTCATTCATAACCAAAATTTATTCTGCTATAGAAGGGTACTACGCTTAAAGTACAAAATTTAAATTTAAAAGATTCAGAGATTGGTTTGGAGATACTGTACTTTGGTGAAATAGAAACTATATACACTGTATACTGTATGCAGTAAACCTTTGATAACTTATAATTTAATATTACTCAGAATGACAGTAAAATATTCAACTGTAAATTATTTTTTACATAACTCTCCATATTCCGAGACACGATGATGCAATCTCAGAATGGCTTACCACGTGTGACCCAAGCAGGACGCGTGGAAGACTCTGCCCCCACTCCACTGTCCTGCACTGAGTGATAACACCAATGCACCTAAGAAATGTTTATTCCCTTTACATTTTTTACCTTATAATAATTGTTTATGCACATTCTGTATGAAAGATTGTGTGTGCATGTAACAGATTAAAAACAAAAAGTAATTACTGTATGTATGTCTAACTGCAGTGCTGGTGTTATTTTTTTGCAAGTTTTCTGACTATGGAAGGTCATTTTGGCCACACACACACACACACACACACACATTAGTACAGTACTCCTACTTTGCTGTCACTCGGAATGGAGTATGAAGATCATCCAGCTATGATACAATGATCATGAGTTATTAAGGATGTCACCTTCGTTGGTGAGCTCTGAGGTGACTAGAGAGGCTGATATGGGACAGGCAGGGTTGTCCACAGATGTTGCATGTGTGGAGGGCTACAGCTAATGCAGGAGAGGCAATTACAGCGTCTTTCCAGCATTGGAGTTTGTCTTTCTTGGTATGCAGTTGGGCTAACTCGAAAGTATTGACACCTTCTTGTGTGGTGCTCCTCTAAGAGTTACGGTGTGGAGTAATTGTCTCCCATGTGGGGGGTCGATTTGGCACTTTTTCATGTTTGTTTTAAAACTATCCTCCTACCTTTTCAGTTGCTTGCCAGCGTTACGTTTACTATTCGTTACGTGACTGTAAAGTAGCTGCTTTGGCAGTCTACTGTCGTCTATGCAGGTAACATGGCCAGTCCAATGTAGCTGTTCAGGATAATGGTAGCCTCGATGCTCCTACAGTTGGTGTCAGCAAGAATACTGGCATTTGTTCTCTTGTCTTCCCAATGAACTCGGAGGATGGAACGTAGACTACGTTAGTGAAAGTTTTCAAGTGCATTTAAGTGCCTCCTGTATGTGACCCATGTCTTGTTGCCTTATAGCAGGGTGGGGAGGACTACTGATTGATATACGTGCAACTTTGTAGATAATTTCAGCTCCCTACAGCAGAAGACACGGGTACGGAGTCTGCCAAAGGCTTGAGATGCACATCTGATTAGATGTTGAATCTCTTCATTGATGTTCGCGGTGGTGGACAGGTAGGAGCCGAGATACTGATAGTGGGTAACATTAGAGGGTAGTACCATTAAGCTGAATGGATGTGTGCATAAGCATCTGCGTAGGTGTTCAGGATCTCCTGTAGATTGAGTTCAGTGTGAGCGACAAGGGTGGGGGTGTCTGCATACTAAAGTTCAGTTATGGTAGCTGCCGACACCTTTGTTCCAGCCTGGAGTCATCTTATGGTGAAAAGACCTTTCATCCGGTATTGGATGGCCACCCCGCCGGCTAAATTGGCACTGGCAGGAGTAAGGAAGGCAGCCAAGAAAATGGAAAAGAGAATTGGTGCCAGTACACACCCTTGTTTAACCCCCATTTGGATGGGGAAGAACTCAGAGTGGGTGCCATTGTGCAGGACACTGCCGTTCATGCCATCGTGGAGTTGCCTCACAATGATGACGAATTTGGTGTGCAGCCAAAACGGCTGAAGGTCCGCCAGAGGGCTTCCCTGTCGATGTGCGCACATGCCCTCACACACACACACACTAAAGTATTTCCACACTAACCAGGCTCGTAAGCCACGCCCCTCTTCTATAGCTTGAACAGCTGATTGGTTCATAGAAAATGTTTGTGTGACTGTCCATTAATTCAAACTAAATATGTTCAAAATTAGATTATCAAAATACAAATGATTTCAAGGCATTAGCACCTCAGAGAGGATGTTAGAAATTTTAAATATTTATCATAAAATGTCAAAGTCAAAGATGAAATTTGCTTTCGAATGAAGTCTTTTCATATTTCTTTGTTTTGTACCAAACATTAAGCAAACAGAAACAAATGACACCCAAAATATAGCACAATAGGTAATGAACTACAGTTTGTATGACTGTATATATTCCAAATCATTTATACAACTGATAAAACTCGATATAAATACATGCAGTCCGGGGGGGGGGGGAGTTCATTGTCAACATACACACCCAGGTCCTTATTACATTCGGTCTCAATTAATGCAGTTTCTTTATCCTGTTGGGACATGTGATATGCCTCCTGACTGTTGATGCGACCCAGGTGCATCCTCTTGCACTTCATGACATTGAATCTTAGCAGCCATTTCTTTGACCATTCTTGAAGCTCATAGAGATCTTTCTGGAAGTCTTCACAGTCTGTTTGGTTCTTAATTTCCTTAAATAACTTGGCATTGTCCACAAACATTTGTATGGAGGAGTGCATAGCTCCTAAATTAAAACAAGGTATCCAAATATGATTACAAAGCCACTTTGTATGTCCACATAATCCATGGCTTTGATAAAGGCAAAATCATGTTATATGTAGATAATAAATTTTAAAATGTAAAATTTTTTGCTTGAAGATGAAAGATAATTTCCATTATCCTCCTTTTCTTGCTCTCTATTTTAAAATAAACTAGTTGACTTGTAGCTATAAACTAAACTGCCTTTCATAAACTCCATGGACTAATCTTGGGTTAACAGAGAATCATTCCAGGAATACAGAATCTAAAAAAAAAATTCCAAACACTTTGTACTCTACTGTTTAAGTCCAGTATTCCCTCAAAACTAACATTCAACATCCATGCCTTACATACATAGACTATGGCAGGGTCCTAACATTTTGTATACCTAGGCAACCGGCTCAGTGTGTCCAATGCACCGTAAGCCAGGTCCAAGCATCAATTTATACCTCTTATGTACAGTATTCTGCTCACTAACATAATAATCAACAATTTTAAGTTTAACATCACCATATACAAACTTGGCAGTAATACCAACCCAATAATCACCTTTGCTATTGATATTCAGGTTGCATATATTTACTCCATGAATTTGTAAATTGCAACTCCTCCCTGACTTACGACCTGCCTCAGTCGTACCAAAATTTTGTCAAATTACGTATTTTTGAGTCCCAAAGTCAATACACAGAGAATTTTCATTTGTAATTCACTTTAAAATGGCTGGCAAGCTTAAAAGTGAAAGTTTTGTGGTGCTGAAAAGAAAAAAGAGACACCCATTTTAGATTTCTATGTATTATTTAAGCATTTTCGACTAACGACCTGGATTTGGGTCCCTAACCCCGTCATAAGTCGAGGAGCTGCATATATAATTTACAAATTCATTAAATATATGCAACCTGAATATCATGTACTGTACAGTATGCTATATCTGGCAATTGGTGCAATATTTTTCTCGCAGGTCCAATTTCAGTTTCCCATATTTTGTTTTTATTAAGGGGTTCGTCCGCCAGAAAATACGTAATTACAGTACAGTACTCCAAAAAATCTCAAAAGTTGAAAAAAATTCATGATTGTGCCCTGAAATCTGTCCATTTTCTCTTAAAAATATCACCGAGGTACTATAACATCTAGGCTTTGGAAAAGATACATTTACACCTATTTATGTCTAATCCTGAGTGCCCCACCCTCAAACTCCCACTTTCTATTTTATATATTATAAAAATTACCGGTATATAATACAGTAAGTACTTGTATAACGTCGTCCCGCTTAATGTTGTTTCAGTACTACGCCACTGAACTTTAACAGACCAAAAATTTTTTTAACATCCAGGAGTTCCGATACTATGTCGTTTTGCTTCGTCACAGACTACATTTTACTGTGCATCACCCTGTCTTGTCTGGCCGTGCTATGCTCTCTATTTTTTTTTTATGAATTTTATTTGAAAAAGCAAAAACACACAACATGGCCAACACTCAAGTAGGTGGTGTGTGGTGGTCAAGAGAGGGGTCCAGAAGATAGCTGTGCTTACTTGACCCCCACTCCCCAGGCAGTGAGGCAGAACTAGGCCCACGGCACCAAGTTCACTATACTCTGGATAAAGCTACAGGTACACTTCCCTGTGTCAGCTTATGGTGGTTGCTGTAGAACTCAAGAAACAGCACAGAAACCAGCAGACTGGTGATGCCACTGCCTGTATTGTCAACATCCTATGACCTCACGTTCACCGGCGGCGACCTCATCACCCATGACCTCACCACCTAACACACCTGCTCCTACAACTTCAACAACACCTACTGTTACTGCAATGTAGACAACAAAACACAGAAAATACATACTTCAACAATTGTTTGCTGGCAAGTTTCCATTGCCACTTATGGAAGATGTTGTGATTATCGTCATGAAGTCCAAGATGAAGAACCTCCTGTCTCACCAACAATGCAAGTACTGTGGTGCTGACATACAGCTGCTGACCAAGGCTAACACCTTCTACACCACCTTGACTGTAATATGACATGGAGCATGGGACCAAGTGCCAGAGGCAATTTTTTTTTAATATAAATTAAAACCTATAATGCCATAAGACTTATGTTTATTTACACAGATTACCTTTACTTACAATAAAATGAGGTATAATGACAGGTCACACTATAACCATACTCCTGCAAAGAATTGCCTGTAACTCAAAACTATAGTTACAGTAAGTCCTCGCTTAACATCGGCCGGCTTAACGTTGTTTCGGTACTACGTTGCTAAACTTTAGAGACCAAAAATTCGTTTAACGTCCCGGTGACTCAGTACGTCGTTTGAGTCGTCACGGACTACTTTTTACCTTTTTCACAATATGTATTTAGGATGGTGTGTGCAGTAAACGAGTAAAAATAAATGAAGAAAGATACTACCGGGTATATCTACCCAAAAATAAGTTGAAAAACATGTACAGTACTTAAGGATTCCAGCAATGCAATTTTTATTCTGTGCCATTGTATATGATAAAAAATTTAAGCCAAAACCACCTTCAATCTTGCTGGAAGTGCGGAGGGGGAGATGTATTATGACAGCTGGCGCCAGCCCGCTGGCCAACCAAGGTTACCTAGTGGTACTTATTTATCTGTCATGTAGAGGAGTTTTAAGTTTTTCTCTTATAAAATCTCAATGAATGTGACTTTATAGTAATGCATACAAGCACCTCACCAGGCATCACACAAGGAGTTTTGAATTTATGTACATGTATATGTAATGTATTTCATGGGGCAAAGGGAGGCTCAGGAACGTAACTCCCATATTTTATCTATTTCTTAAGGGAAAAATTGATCCGTTTAACGTTGTTTTGCATAACGTCGCGTTTTCAGGAACATAACCCCGACGTTAAGCGATGACTTACTGTACTGTTATTTGAATTTCAACTACAGTACAGTATGCTATTAATTTTCATCCAAATTTAAAAAATAATATATGAGTGTATAGGGCAATGACAGGGAAACATTCTGGTTGAAGTCATTTCTGATATCTCAATTAGGTACAGCAAATTTTTTTTTTACTTTTATGCAAAAAGTATTGAGAATAATCTAAAATAATGACACTACTCCTTTGTTTTTCATCAAATGTGTTTCCAAAACAGTCCTCATAATATGTACAGCTACAATATGATCAAGAGAATTTTAATATATCTTGTTTGGTTATAGAGATAAAAAAATCAAATTATAGGATCACTGTAAAACAAAACATATGCATTTTTTCTCTCAGAAACTATTTGGCAATTTTCATTCAGACTTACAGGACCTTTGATTTATACAATCCCACATAACATATCTAAAAACCAGACAAATCCCCCCAAAAATAATTGCACCTCCAAGAATAAATGGCGGATAAACCCCATAAACATCTTTGTAAAGGCTTCTGACAACTGCCCTTAGGCGGCTCAGACATGCTGAATCAAGACATACATCTTCTGCCTGCATAGAAGGAAATTTATACCATTAATTTTGATATGGGAGACAAGGGAGACCTTCCAAGGCATAGTAAAAGTGATAGTAGTGAATATGGTGACTTTCCTCAAGATTTGACAAGTGAATCTAGTAATTCTGTCCAGGATAATATAAGTTACATATAAGTTACTTCGTGTTTTCTTCTCTCCAATACTGAAGCTGGAATTGAAATTTTCTTGGAAAATTCTGAGAAAATTTTCCCAATACCCAGAAAATTCTGGGGATGGGGGAATTTTTTCCGGGTTTGAGAGATGGAAATCAGGCGCATTTTCAGGAAATTCCGAGAAAATTTTTCCGATACCCAGAAAATTCCAGGGATGGGGGACTTTTTCCGGGTTCGAGAGTCGTTTCATTTCCCGGAATCTCTCATTCCCGAAAGTGCTCTGCACCAATTGTTCTGGCTAATGGAGATATCACTTGTACAATACAACTTCAGTATTTTGCATACACCAGGGACAGTGATGTGTAAAATTCAGATTTTTACAGAGTATCCATGGGCTACCTTGACAACCCACACAAAAGATGTACAGTATAAACACATTACCAGCTTGAGATTCACTCACACATAATGCTGATCATTCTAATAAAATTTTTACCGTGTCCCTTCTCTACCACTTTCTGCCAGGTTCTTCTATTACGTTGAGATTTTTTTTTTTTTATAAAAATTACAAAATACTACTGTATACAGTACATTAAAGTATCTTGAATTTTTGTAAAAATATATTTATGCTTTGGGGTTGCATTTAAATCTGATGCAAATTTTCCCCAAATAGAAACATATTTAGTGCAAAAACCAAGGCTCTATTGTATACACAAGTAAGAACACTGTAGTTACTATAATAAGTAAATTGGATAGGCAAAGTATTAAATTACAAGGTAGACATAGCCATCCGAGTTGCTGCTGTAGTGTCCAACTTCAATATGCGAACTTTAGTTCTTGGAAGGTGACGTTTCACCACTGTTTCAAGACGCTGTAGTGTCCACAGATTAGCACTACCATCATCACTACTTGTAAAACCAGAATACATCTGAAACATTAAAAAATATTAAAAGCCCCTTCTGGTCGTACAATAACCCTGCTTTCATTTAAAAGGCAAGGAGTACCCATTTGTGATACAGTGATTTATAGCTTTGTAATTTCATAATTAATATTTTCCAACTGGATAAATTGAGAGAAAATTTATTGTTTCCATATAAATGTTCACATACCTTTGCTTTTGTGGGACACATTTCTATGTGGTCAATCTCACAATGAGATTGAATATCTTGAGTTCGTATGGCCCACACAATCTCATCAACATGACGCAGAGTTTCTGTTAATGCTAGCATGTTGCCGTGCTGTGTGCTGATGTCCCCCTGAGAGTTAAAATGATTATCATAAATCAAAATGAATTTGGTCACACACACATGTGTGCAAAGGGTTACAAAACACATATACAGTATATACACAGCCATCCATACAAATAAACACCTGTCTTACACATTAGCACACACCCACACACCTGAAACATAATATATGGTCAATGACTCAGAGAAGGATGTTGATATTCACTGTCCTCCTATTACTTGCAAATAAAATCTAATCTACCTGTATTTTCAGTAATGGCAGCTACCAAAGGGAGTCATTTTTTCTATCCTGCAAGGGTGTATTCCCCCAAAGAAGAAGAAGAAGAAAAAAAATAGAATAAATATAGAAAGATTATGTACTATTGTATATTTGTCATAAAACTACGGATGAACTGATACTATAATATAGCCATACTTACATCCTCTGAAGGTGCTGGTAGGACAAACAACCGTTCAAGGGGGAATATTTTTTTCAATGCATATCCTAACTTAGGACCAACAGTGAAATTGAAGAGACACAATCGACGGAGTTTGTAGAGCCGACTCAAGGCATCAAAAATGATAGCATCATTAACATATCCTCCGTCCTCAAGCCACAGTGCCCTCAAATCTGCGTTTGCAAGAGAAAACGGAAAGTTAATCTGGCAATATAATAGTACAGTACTGTCTTTTTGTTCAATCTTGCAAATCCTTAACCAAGCACAGTGCAGAATGGTCAAAATCACAAGCAAAACCTGATTCTTTGTGGTCATCTAATTGCTCTCACTGCTGCAACACAGGGTAGCAGGAATCATGAGAATCACAGATATTCCCTCATTCACTGTCATTAATTCTTTAATAGATGCTTTGAGTACAGTATTGAGTGAGATCAAAGCATCATTGACACCATTTCTACGGGTTAGCTAAACCAGGGGTAACTGACAACACTTCACCAAATTAAGCCCCACTAACCCTGTTTGGCCACAGGTATAATCCTTGTTTCCTGGATTGGAGGAAAAGTCTTAAAAACTATGTTATGATGATCCTGTTACTGTATGACTTATACTATTCAAAAGAGGAGATGCTGAAAACACTCAAGTATTTAATGAATTACTCTGCACGGAATAACCTACTTTACAAACAAGAAACAGCCAATGAGATATGCATTATGAAACAATAAAGAATAAATAAAGAACTAACTTCTCATGCTGCCAATATTACTCCAGGTTTGTGCAGAAAAGTTTTTGACAGGACCAACGTGAAGAGACATGAGGTTAGTACCAAGGTAAGGCCAAGAAGTCCCACTCAAGCCTCTCATCACCTGCAAATATATAGATCATTAAGGAATTGAAAATGTATAATGAATCAACTTCAAGCTTGAGGGCTTTAAATTCAAAGCAAATTGAATGAGGTTTTTATATCCCATTACCATTTTTATTGGACAAAGAGAAGAAAATTAGATATGACATCCATACCAAGGAACCACCTTTAATTGTCATACTTACTAACACTCTGAGTTTCTGTAGTTTGATAAAATTGAAGTTTGTGGTTAGGCAGAAACCCCGTGAAGAGCCAATTCGCAACTCCTCTAAGTCTGGGGCTTCCATCAGGTAAGCTGGATCAAACCTGTAACAATTCAATAATTAATGAATTGACTAGATTTTGCATGGCAGAAATAAGAGTACCAAAAGAATGAGAGAAAGCAAGTACAGTTCCCCTGTATAAAGGAGCAGGTGATACAAATGAATGCAGGGAATTAAATGGCACATACCAGTATTATTAAAAAAAAAAAGATAAGAGTGCATTAGGGGAGAAGCAGTGTGGGTCTAGGAGAAGAATGTTTACATCCAACTGCATGAATAAAATATTTTGGGAAAATGGGAAGAATTAGTTACTGTCATTCATGGACATAGGAAAAGCATATGATAGCATTTACAGAAAACACATTGGAAGGTTACAAATGTATATGATAAATAAGGAGCAGTTGAATGCCATTCAAAGTTTTCAAATGGAGAGAAAAGCACGAGTCAGTAGGGTGGTTTTTACTTACTGCCATTTTCTGGGTTGCCTGCAAAACACATCTAATTTATTGGAATCACATCATCTGTTTTCTTGTGTTATCATCACCAGTCATCATCTATTACAGGCAGACCCCAATTTACTGTCACACAACATTACACTTCCTTTCACTCGGGGGGGAAGGATCTTTCGCCATCTTTAGATGAAGCAGGTCCTTAAACTTAGTCAAGCCATTTCTGACTCTTGCAACTTGGCAGGCTTCAGCACCCCTACATCACTCATCATGTGACCCAGGTAACAGAACTCATCAACACAATCCAGGGACATATCCCAATGTTGAGTTTCATCAGCTTTGCTGTGTGCACATTTTTACCTGCATTTACAGAATATTTAAAGTCAGCAACATCCTGCAGTCTGCCATCTAGGCAACTGCACTTTTTATATACCCACCTCTCACACTCATTGCACATCACTGAGTTGCTACCTTTCTTATCAATACTTTTGTTTTTGCCACATTCACTCTTAGGCCTTTTGCCTCTACTCCATCCTTCCATCTTCATTTTTTTACTGCCATTTTCCATGCTTGCATGGATAAGCTGTAATTATTTGATGGCAGCTGCTGGCTAAAACCAGAACGTAATGTCCCCCCCCCCATCCCACTAACCACCACAAACCCAGGGTGCCAGCCCAGAAAATGCAACAGAAACCAGGGGATGGGTACAATTCTGGTGATCCAGTTACCATTAGGCATGTTGAAGCAAAATTTTATGGCTGGATGCCCTTCCCAACACCTCTTCAATACTATTTGTTATCAGCACTAAGTCATCACTATACAACAACTCCCAGGGCGAGACAGCCCTAAGGTCCTATGATATTGCCCCCAGCATAGGCGAGGGCTCAAGACAGACCCCCGATGAACTTCTACCTCAAATTCCTTACCATTTACCGCATTTTATGGCACCTAAGGCGCACTTTTTTGACTGAAAACTGGCTAAAAAATTAGCCTGCCTCCTATATGTAAAGTTGTGGTCTCCCGTAAGATAATGAAGCTGACAGATGGTGTTCAGCAGGTTAAATTCTACCAAACCCAACTCCAGAATTAAAGTTTTTTATTGCTTACTTAAACATATTATTATTTTTTTAATTAATTAAAAAATAATTATTGTTAATATAAAAGCTCAATTTATAACAAATGTACTGATGATGATAACCTGAGATGATTAACGTCCATACGGCAGATGTCAAACTCTTCAAAGGTAGCTAAGCAGTAACCATTTCTGAACTCTTACAAGCATTACAATCTATTAATGCCATACCTGCAACATTTACTTTTCAATCTACAAATGCTGTACCTGATACAAATTAAGATTTACAAATAACTTTCTTTACACATTTGCATCTGGCATTGTAGCCAGGTTAAGACTCATCACTGTAACCACCAGGCTACTGGGCCAAGCTGTGAGGTGTTATGGTTGTTTTTCAACTCGGATTTTCGGGTAGATATGTGTAAATTTTTTCATTTATTTTTACTCAGTTGCATGCACACACCATCCTACGTATTGTGAAAAAGGTAAGAGAAATACTAATTGTCCTAATGGCAAACACATAAAGGGCATATACAGTGTGTGTGTGTGTGTGTGTGTGTGTGTGTGTGTGTGTGTGTGTGTGTGTGTGTGTGTGTGTATACAGTACTATATATATATAATATATATATACTTACCAGGTATCATATGAAATTTAAGAATACATAATAACTTTCTTTTAGTTAATTTTCCACCGGCTGAGGGACTGTGTGCTGGTAGAGGCAAGTGTACTTGTCTTTAGGTAATTTGAGGAGGAAGTTTCATGGTGATTGTAGGAGAATGAGGACACAATGATAGTTTCTTTGTAGACTTAAGAGCATTGTGAGCGTCAGAGTATAATGAAATAAGTTAGTGAAGCTTGTATGTATACTAGTAGTAAAAAACTGCTCTTACCATATTTTCATTTTTACTAATGGGATTTTTTTTTTAATTTGGTGGCTTTGGACCATTTTTGTCATGACTGAATTTTCTTAGTCAAATACTCAAAGTTTGGGATCTGCCTGTACTGTGCTACAAATACAGATCCCTCATTTATTGAATCTCCATTTTCAGGAAAAAATAAAAATAAAAATCACACTAAATTCACTATCCATTTAACATTACCAGCACTGATATGTTCAATGCTAAGAAATCTACAAAACTGTTAACACAGTACAGTACAAATTAAATAATACCACACAAAAACAAATTTAGCTTCACTACAACAAATACTGTACTGTACATACTTAGCAGTACCCGACGCTGAGCGAAATTCTGTAGCACAAACTTTAGTGAGGTATTTACAGCTTGTGAGCATCATCTGCAGGACCTCCCCCTCACAATGGGGAAGTATTACACTTCTCAAGCAGTGCATAGTTCCTAATGCATCAAATATGTCTTTCCAAACCTCTTTGTCAGTCTTCTTTGTTCCTGGAAAAAAAAAATGGATTAGTGACTCCTGTATTTTACGGCATAAAAGATGCACTTTTTTGTCTGAAAAATGGTTAAAAAAAATAAGCCTGTGTCCTATATGTGACGCTGCAGTCTCCTGCAAGCTAATGAATCCCCCCGTTGCTGTCTCCAGGATTAAAAATATGTTATTGCTTACTTCAACACATTATTATTATTTATAATTAATTAGAAATTAATTATTGTAAATAAAAAACTACTCTGTACTGTACTGATGAAGATAACCTAAGACGATTAATGTCAATATGGCAGACACCCAATTCTTCAAAGGAAGCTAAGCAGTAACCATTTCTGAACTCTTACTAGCATTACAATCTATTAATGCCATACCTGCAACATTTATTTTTCAATCTACAAATACCTGATACAAATGAAGATTTACAGATAACTTTCTTTTCACATTTACATCTGTTAGCATCGCTGGTGACATTGTAGCCAGGTTAAACTCGTCTCTGTAACCAGGCTACTGGGCCAAGCTGTTGTTTTTCAACTCGTATTTTCGGGTAGATATACGTAACTTTCTTAATTTTGTTTTTTCAGTTACATGCACACACCATCCTACATACATAATGTGAAAAAAGTAAAAGAAATAATGGTCCTAAGGGCAAACACATAAAGGGAATATACATTTCTTTGCACACGAGTTAGCTGGCTTAGTTGGGGAGCAGGGGGTTGGCCCGACAGTTGTTGTTGTTGGTGGTTGTTGTTGGTGGTGGTTGTTGTTGGTGGTGGTTGTTATTGTTGGTGGTGGTAGTGGGGCGTTGCTAGGGAATTGGCGGAGGTAGCATAGCCATTACTATGGTATGCAGGGAGTACAGTACTATATGCAAATGGCAACTGTGTTTAACTTTCATTTGGCTTTTATTTACTGGTTTGGCAATAGAGTATTTTTTGTTGCAACTTATCTATTGCTACTATTTTTATTTATTCCTCATAATTACTGGTACTGTATATATTGTTTTAAGAAAACTATGGATACAAGAGGAAAATACTTCCTGCTAAAATGGGGGAGTGCGTCTTATATGACCATACATCTTATATGCCGTAAGATACAGTAATTTTATGACCACTCTACAGTATAGTGACTGATGTGAACAAACAATACACAGTACATGTTGAGGATATAAATAGATAGATAAATCAATAGCATGCATCTGGTTTTCTGCAATTAAAGCTACCATTACTAGACCTCACAAAGAAGCCCATGGTATTTAAGCACCTTCTATATTATTCATGATAAGTTTATGATTTTGATAATTGAAAGAAAACTATGAAGTCTTTGAAAAAGTTTTTTCACATTAGACAAAGAATAAAGGTTATAAATGAAATTTCTGAGCCAGATTGATATGCCTGAACACACCAGTTCAGTCACAGTCAGTTCGATCACACATCACTTTGATTACCAATATTGTACTGTACATTATACAGATCTAATACAATACTGTACTGTACTGTACACCAACATAGAGTACAGAAGTGTTTAGAAGATAAATAGAAAATATGTTTCACAAATGCTTTTTATATTTTATTTATTTATTTATTTCTATACAGTATTACATGTATACCAGATAGCTATCACCCAAACACTTCTGTAATTTCAGTCCTGTCTAAATCTATTTATTTATTTATTTAATAATATGCCACTCTACATACAAAGTTGTGATGCAACTGTCATTTCAATTATTTATTCTCCACAAAATAATATTTCTAATACCTGTAGTAAAAATTACTTTAAATATTAGTAAGAGAAAAACAGATCATTTAAAAAATTTACAAAAGACAAATTACAGAAGTGTTTTGATGATGTCAAAATAGATATATTGTACAGCAGTGCTGTACAGTTACCTCAAAGAATTCCTTTACTCCCTGTGGTGACATTTGCATAAATGTGGCAGAGTCACAATACTAAACTTATGAATGAATTGGTAGTATTATAATGAAAGAGCTGATTGGTGGACAAATTCAGTTGCTGAATGTCAGGAGACAGGGATGGGGTGTTCCTGCCCGAGAGGTAAAATTATAAGGGCTGCCCCATCGCCATACTATCGTGTTAAATATATAATCCTCCTCATCCTGTTTTGTTATCTCATGACGACTCTGAGCACCCCTGTGCAGACAATCTCCACTGCTGCCACAATCACAGCACCTTACTCACACCACACTCCATAATACAGGAATATTACTATCCACATTTATATGTAGAGTCTCTTCTGGTCCATATACTATGCTTGCCGGTTTCCCACGATTAAAATAAAGCTCATAGATTACACTGTACAACTACCTATTAATAGTCAAATATTCAGGTGGTGTCACTGTGGTAGTGCTGGTTTACTGTGTGGGTGCTTGGTCAAGGGTAGCCAGGGTGGGGGGACCTGATCAAAAGTATTCTGTAGTTAGTATGTTAATGGATGTATTTTAGTTTTGATATAATCTTATGTGTCCTTTTATGTCTCAATATGAACTGACATTTCACACCTAATCATTAAGAGCTCTTTACTGATAGATATTAGGTGCACCTTCAATGTAGGGCTATGGGACACATTTACAGCAACTTACGATACATTAATATTGCCAACATGATATCAGGAAATATCTGTGTTTATATATCGGGTCATCTACATATGCTTTCATTTATAGATTACAGTATTAATAAATTGACAAAATAGGCCATAATAGACCAAAGGATAGGCTAGCCATAGCCTCTTCTCATGACGTAGTCGCTTACAAAGTAAATCAAAGGAAAATCTTAAAGTCATCAGTCTTGCAGTCACATTGACATAAACTTTGATAAGGCTTAGCAACAGACAGATTTAGCAAATGTGCAGACATTGTATGGTGGTGGTATACCGGTTAGCACACAAGTCATCATTGTAATTTGATTTTGTAATAATTAACAGAACTTCCATAATGTTTAAGTTATATACACACATAAAAGGTTAATTTAAAAGTAACCACATTTGAATACACCTGCATCATGCCAAGACACTGTAGCAAATGCAGGGGGCAGCCCTCATGACTAGTAGACCTTCTCCTCCCTTTTCCACAATGCAAGGATATTTGACTTCACACCACCTCACCCCCAACACCGCTGTCCACTGTCGTGCTTATAATAATAATAATTAAAAATAAAAAAAGTGAGGGTGGGGACATTTTGAACTATCTCTCCATCATTCCAATAGCCTCCAATAACTATGCATAAAGAAAACACACACACACGCACCACCTAGTTATTATATACCATATTTGTATCACATATGTTACTTGCATATTATTTGTCAATTAAGTGACCCCAATTATGTAACTCTATATTTTCAGCCTTCAGGCTGTCATGCTCTTTTAAAAACCGTTAATTATTATTATTAGTAGTATTTATTATTATTACACACACACTCGAGTTAGGCTTGTTCAAAAGAACGAGCTCAGCAGTCTCTTCGTTGGACTGGTAAGGTCATCTATGTGACATGCTTGCAAGTCAGGCGGTAATTGACACATGGTTCTGTGATGTGTGGCAGCACTGCCAAGCTGACAGTGTTGTCAAAACATAGGTCTAGAGTTGCTTGAAACACTTCATAATAATCAAGTTGCACTGCATGTAATGCCATGAGGTACAGTATTGGTAACATTTAATCATGGATATATTCATGATTGGTGCCTAATGTTTATCATGATATCCATGATTGATGCTCAATGGGTTAATATTGAGTTTATATTCCAACAACTATTTATCATTTCTGCCAAGGAAAATTACATCTAGGAATCTTTTCCACCAATCAGCTCCATTGTTACAAGACAACTACAGATTCATTCATATTTTACTTGAGTATTGCGACACTACCACATGTAAATAAAAATCACCATAAGGGGCAAAGGAACTCTTTGAGGCAACTGTACGTGTAATACATAAAAATAAATAAATAGTATAAAAAAAAATTTGTAAGAAATATCCTTTTGTGTATCTTCTAAATACTTTTGTATACAGTATTGGTATCATGTATTGGTTCTGTATCTTGGTGATTGAAGTGGAGTGTGATCAATCAAACTGGTTTGTGATTGAACTGGAGTGTGATTGGGCTGGTCTGTGATTGAAATAACTGTGATCACACACAAAATATCTAGTTACTGTTTGAGAGTAATTACAGCTCCCCAGTCAATGATATCTCACTCTGGGATATAATAGGCAGAGCTTGTGTACCCCCAGCTTATCTGTGATGACTACTACAGGTTAAACATACAGTACTTACTCAGTTCTTCTCCAGAATCCTTTTCTTGAACACCTTTTGTTATTCTCTCTCTTTTTTTTGCTGGAGCTTCATCATCATCACACTCCATCTTCTCCTCATCTTTTTCAAATTTCTGCATGTCTTGTATTTCAGCAACTCCATCAGTTTCTGAAGTTGACTTCTGAGTAAGACTATCAGGGCTTGGTACTACCTCAGCTGTGTCCTCCTCTTGACCATCAGAGCCACTTATAGTTCCTCTTGTCTTGTCTTGTGTCTTCATTTTAGGTGATGCATTAAGAGAAGCACCTTGTTTGATTTCCCAAGGTGATCCCTTCATGTTTTTATCCCTGGGTGACTCTGAAGTACATGTATCATCAGCACTCTCATTTTCTTTAGTATCTTTCTCTCTTTCTGACAAACCTTTGCTCACTGATGATGGGGTTGAGGGGCAAGAAACAGTGATCTCTCCGAGTTCTACTGACTGTTCTCCTGAAGGAGCACTTAACTCCTCTCTCTCTTCTTTGTTGTTCTGTAATAAAAGTGAAGTAAAATTAACAAGATCATCTATCTACCGTATAGAAAACTACATATTGTAAGACAGATTTGAACTACAGTAATACCTCGCTACACTGAACTTATTGGGGCAGACCCCAGTCCTGAAAATGGGGAAAAAATTCTTTATGAGTGGGGGGTGGGGTGTCTGGATATAACACTGCTTATTTGGACTGCTTCAAGAAAAAAAATCTGTTACAGTACATGTATTGTTATAATGGTATTAGTGCACTTCAACAACTAAAGACTTTAAGTGCATATCAAGGTTAGTAAACCACTATTACATCAACAATAAAAAAAATTGAGATTAACTCTGGGTTGAAAATTAGACTAAGTCTGGTTGTTGACAACTGTTTTCAATGATGTGATTCTTATGTACTGTAAAGTGTTATATGTAAGTAACCACAGAATTTGCCTCATGAATAAAGAAAAAAATTAATACTGTACAGTACTACAGAGATAAAAATAAGAATGTAGGGGTATACAGTACTGTAATGTGTGTGGGAATGTATTTGGGCGCAGTAGGTGGAAGGTAGTGCGGGTGGGTGACTCCCACCCTCAGGATCCCTTTAACATGTCTTTATGCAATTTCACCATAATTCTCATATTATTTATGTTTGTTTGGTGTCGGGTTGATTAAATTTTATTGTAAAATAATAAATTTTCCCGAAAAAAAAATCCCACACTCAAAAGCAGGTGAGTCATTGAGTACAGAAGTATTAAATTCCCAGTCACTTGTTTACAAAAGGCAAACAGCTGATCAACCTAGCTCCTTCACCAGCACTCTCCATCTCTCATGCTTACCACAACATGTCTTCAGCACTTTGTAAATAGTATTGTAGTGTATTATCAGCATTTAATAAATTATATTTTAGTGTATTTATCAGCACTTAGTAAATAATGTTGTAGTGTATCCTTTATCTAAGAGTACAAGTAGCTAAATCGAGCCATCATGTATGACTCATAGGTAATAAATAACATGATTAAGAAGGTATATCCACATCAAGTACTGTACAGTATGTTATAATAACCCTGTTGTAAGCAAATTTACTGAAAGCTCTCTCTTCTGAATGCATCCTGAGTGAATCCTTCTGATACAGCTTATCCTTTATTTTCAAGTAAAATTACAAAACATATACAGTATGCCCCCAAGTTCGCGGATTTTTACTTCGCGGTTCTCGGTTATTCGTGGATGACACCCTGGATGTACCCAAGAATGTCTGTGGGTAGTTTTAAAGTTGCCGACATTTTCGCGGCTGGGACAGGGAGCCATTTGTTCTAGAGACAGTAATTTCCTTTACCTGTATTGTAAATATGTGTGTGTGTGTGTGTGTAGACACACATACAAATAAATAATAAAGGGAAAATACTCTCACAAATAATCAGAAACAAATTTATTAAAAATGTGAGTCCGTGCTTTATTACAGTGCAGTAAAGCCTCCGATAACAACGGTTCGACCAACAACTTTTCATATTTAAGACCCTAGTTAATTTAGGACCCAATTCAATTTACGTCCTTATTTCATTCGTATTTATGACTGAAATATAATAAAAATAAAATAAAATTACATTTTCATATAAATAATAACTAAATCCCGATATGTACTATATAAAAAAAAATTACTGTAAAAAAATGAAGAGTGCCTTGCGCAAGAAGCTGCCTGGCTAATGAGTGGAAAACAACAGTCGGAGCTTGGCGGGCCTTTTGTTTTCACGCATCTGGAACAGGAATAAGAGAAAAACTTTCTCAGATTTCTTACAGCATTTTTGCACCCATATTCAACATGAGCAAGAGATGGTAGTTTTGTTTCAAAAGCTAGTAGAAAGTGTAAAAGCTTAGCCGAGAAACTTGATGTGTTAAAACGATATGAAAAAGGTGAGAGGTCTGTGGATATTATATGGAGCAAGCAATGAACATATTTTCTGAAGTGGATCCATTAACAGAACAAAGCATCAAAATTTAAATAAATGCAAATGACCTCTACATAAAAATGTACTGTATAATGAGAAAAGAAAGCAGCTGTGCAAGGTTCTTTCGACAGCTTTATTATTCGAAGACCTAAACCATCAACTTCAGCTACACCATCAAATTCAGCATCATAAGCAGCTTCAACATCAACTTCAGGTTTAGTAACAGTTTCAGCAACAGCTTTATGGAAAGCTACAGCTTCAGCTAGAGTTGAACCTGATGACTTCGTCATCTGAGTAAAAACTCGCACAATATTCATTGGCTGTCCTTATGTTTTAGACTTTACCACCATTGGTGAGTAGAATTTTTGTTTTACATTTGTAAATATTATTTAAAACATATATGAACAGTAAATATGTATTGCTTTCATATTCATACAGTGGGGTATGCTATAACGAACGGATCCTACTACGAATATTCTTATAACGAACGTTTTTACCTATAAAATTGAGAATGCTATAACGAACGCAACTCCTACAACGAACACGGATGAATACGGGACTATTTCGCCTGGCGCATGAATATTGTTGTACCGCGACCCACAACAAGAGCGTCAGGCGCCATCTTTGTCTCATTGTATAGCCAGTGCACCACTGTTATTGTTGAAATTTCGTCTTTTGATGTGGAAATAGTTATTTGTATAAATATTTTGTTATACAAGTGTACAATTGTAACAATGAATTGTCCAAAGAGAGTGAGAAAGCTCATAACTCTTGAAACTAAGAAAGAAATCATAAAGAAACGTGAGGATGGAACAAGCATTGCGAAACTTAGTGATGAGTATGGGATGGCTAAATCGACTATATGTACGATTTTGAAGAATAAAGAGGAGTTGAAAACTGTGCAAGTGGCTAAGGGAATCTCTAGACTTAGCAAAGCAAGGTGTAATGTGATTGAGGAGACGGAAAATTTACTCTTAGTGTGGATAAAGGAGAAAGAAATGGCAGGTGATAACATTAGTGAAGCTATAATTTGTGAGAAGGCCAGACAATTGTTTGAGGACCTTAAAGCCAAGACTCCCAGTGCAAGTGATAGTGGTGTGCCAGTGTTTAGGGGTACCAAGGGGGGGTTTACTGGTTTCAGAAGGAGAAATAAATTACATAGTGTTGTGAGACATGGTGATGCTGCTAGTGCCGATAAGGAAGCAGCTAAGGAACACCATGACATTTTTTTTAATATTATTAAAGAGGGAGGCTTTGTTTCTCAGCAGGTATTCAACTGTGATGAAACTGGACTTTTTTGGAAAAAAAATGCCTCGCCGTACATACATTACCAAGGAAGAAACTTCTGTCCCTGGTCATAAGCCAATGAAAGACAGGCTTACCCTCCTTCTTTGTGCTAATGCTTCTGGTGACTGGAAAATAAAGCCACTCCTTGTGTACCATGCAGAAAACCCCAGAGCTTTCAAAAACATTAGGAAGACCCGCCTTGGTGTTATGTGGCAGTCAAACCCAAAGGCTTGGGTGACCAGGAGTTTATTCTCTGAGTGGGTGATTGAGATGTTTGGACCCAGTGTTCGGGAATACCTCAGGGAGAATAATCTTCCACTGAAATCTTTGTTGGTGATAGACAATGCACCAGCCCACCCTCCTAATTTGATGGTTTAATTGTCAGAGGAGTTCAACTTCATCAATGTGCATCTTCTTGCCACCCAACACAACACCTCTCATCCAGCCCATGGATCAACAGGTAATTTCTAACTTTAAGAAGCTGTACATAAAGGCACTGTTTAGAAAATGTTTTGCGTCCACTTCAGGTGATGTTAGTTTGAAGGAATTTTGGAAGAGTCACTTTAATATAGCAAACACTGTGTTTTTAATTGCCTCAGCCTGGAAAGAGGTTACTCTGAGGTGTCTTTGTGCTGCTTGGAGGCCATTGTGGCCTGAATGTGTGCTTCAAAGAGACTTTGAAGGCTTCGAAGAGTTAGAAGAGGAGGCTGTTGTTCATGAAATTGTGTCTCTGGGCAATTCCATGGGCCTGGAAGTGGATGATGATGATGATGATGTTGAGGAGTTGGTGGAAGAGCACAGTAAGGAACTGTCCACTGAGGAGCTGCTTCAGCTTCACAAAGAACGAAACGAGACACTGAAGCGGAGCTTAACTTCTGAGGAGTCAGGGGAGGAGGACAAGGAGGAAAGCCGCATCATTCCAGCCAAAGATCTCAAGGATGCGTTTTTTTGCTGGAGCAAACTGTCTAAGCTTGCTGAGGATTATCATCCTGATGTTGGTTCTGTGGAAAAGGCCATCAGTGTGTTTAATGACAATGTTATGAACTACTTTTGGAAGGTCCAGAAATCAAGGTTGAAGCAGCCAACCCTGGATTCCTTCTTTAAAAAAGTAACAAAAAAACCTACAGACAAAGTGCCTGTAAGACAGTCACCAAAGAGGGCTAGGAAGGATGACTCCTCTCCTTCCACCTCTTCTCCATAATTCTCTCCTCCCCCCTCCCCCTCTGCCTCCTGTCCTGCATGCTGAACAACACTAAGGTAAGATAAAGTACCATATTTTTTACATTTTCCACAGAATTTTTTCAGTGTTAAGTGGTTGTATTTGGGGACCTGGAACGGATTAATCCTATAACGAACGAATGCTATAACGAACGAGGTTCTAGAACCAATTAGATTCGTTATAGCATATCCCACTGTATGTAGAGAAATGACGATATGTTTTCACATGTACGCACTTACTGTTCATACGTTGGCGTTCCCAATCGTCTCACTTTATTTCTTTACCATTAGTGATGAGCTACTTCTAGCGTTCCATTTATTAACATTAAATAACATTACTTAAAACATATATTCATTTTTTTACATTAATTTTACTACAGCTACAACCAGGGTCTTATTTTCTTCATCGTCCCAGACTCCCGGCTGTAAACAGAAACGAAAACAATGGCGTCCCATCTCTTGTGTGACCATATCATTATTCATTTATATTGTATAAAGTGCATTCAGAAATATTATTTAAAGAATATAGCTTGCAATTTCCATTAATTGTATTGTTTTGGGGGGAAAAGAGGGTAGGTATAAAACACACAAAAGATATGAAAAGGTCACACTTGGGAACACATCTCATTATTATTGCTTTATTTTAATGGTAATTAATGATTCGCGATACGATGATTCACCTTACACTGCAATATTGGAGGACACATTACCGCCGTTATTCGAGGCTTTAGTGTACTTTATTAATAGAGCACGGACTTGAGGGTAGACAGTCACATTTTTAATAAATTTGTTTCTGATTATTTGTGAGAGGATTTCCAATTATTATTTATTTATATGTGTTTTGTGTGTGTGTGTATGTGTGTCTACAAACACACATATACAATCCTACAGGTAAAATAAATAATTGTCCTAAGGGCAAACACATAAAAGGAATACACATTTCTTTGTACACAAGTAAGCATGAACCCCTCCCCCCCCCTCCCGGTCTGCAAATGTTATTCACGGATTTGGTGATTTGCGGCCATTTTGAGAACCTAACCCCCGCGAATTTGGGGGGCCCCTGTATTGTATTTTTTTTCATTGAAGAGGTTATATTAATCATGATGAATCATTCACCATAAGAAGCTGATCATACGCGAATATAATATTGAATCAATAAACCTGGCGAATGTGGTAAACACCTGGTCCCACCCACCCCCAGCCTGTTTACAGTATATATATGCAGCATCTTACCTCTCATACTTAGTAGTTCTCATTAGGCCTATGGCAAATCTGATTAGACCACTGTACAGTATTCAGTGAGCATGTGTTGTTCTTTTCATAAGAATTATTTTTTAATACATTATTTCCAATTTCTTAAAATGGGTATCATACATTATTTTACCCCTTTCTTAAAAACCTCAAGCAGACATGGGGTCTATTACCGGGTTTCTATTACTATTACTTTTAATTTTGCTTTATTATATTACTATTATTATTACTTTAGTTATCACCTATTGCTATTACTTGGTCATCAATTACTATTACGGTACTTTTGGTCACGAACTATACACAATCAACACAGCCAGTCACCACACTTCGTGCCAGGAGTTGCAGGAGCTATGGTTGCCAGACAGTATTTTTCTTGCATAATCATCAGTATGTTTCCATTTTATTTACATTTTGCAGTCATATATTCTTGTGAAAAATGAAATAATACAGATATGCAGGGATTTTTGGTGTGTTACAAGCATGTTATGGTTGGTTTTGTTATTCTCTTGTCAAAGCAACCTGTTGAATGCCAGTGGCAATTCAGTAATTATGATTTTTTTTGGACAACCTAAGAGTAAAGGAAGTGTCTGTAAAAGAAAAGTAGACTAATATCTATTACTGTAATACAGTATTAGTATTACAGCCAAAAATTTTTGATCTATTACTATTACTTTAAAACTTCTGTAATAGTCCATTACTATTACCTCATGTCTGCCCTCAAGAATCCCTGTTAAAACAATATGTACTCTATACAGCACATAAAAAGTTCATGTAAATGAGTGTAGGTAGCGAGTTGTGGCACACTGATATGGTACAGATAAAGGCAGGACTCAGACTGAGACATACGCCACGTGACACCCACACACAGATGTTCAACCGCATGTATGAACACACAAACCATCTGGACTGATGCTGGATTTTCCGGACTTCATAAAATATTTCTGGTGAATAGAAGGGCAGTCTGGAAAACATCATAAAGGTTATACAGTACTGCAAGTAAGTTATGCACCGATACTCTGTATATGCTGGTAGGTTTTTTCCTGCAAGGAGCAGGATGGCTGTATTGTAGTCTGAAGCAACACACTCCCTCTCAATGTTTGTTGTCATTCATGCTCTCTGCCAGCAATAACAGATGACTTCTACTGTTGCATTACCATTTCACAATACAGCCCTATGATTTTTGTTATCATTTGGTTCACCCATTGCTTTGTCACACAGAATCATCCATCAGAATAAATACCCCTGTACTGTATACCATACAAAAGTACTAATTTTGTAGGAATATCTTCACATATAAGATAAGAAGACTGACTGAAGTGACTGTAAGACACATGTATGATACTGTTTAAATGCTTTCATAATAAAAATAAAAATAGAGAAAAATAAATAATGCAAAAACATCACTCTCCCTTTAGTAAATTTCTTCAGTACTGTAGAGCCTTGACTCTCATTCCATTTTTAGTTATATTGTATCATGAAATTCAAACAGCATCCTTCATAATGGCAGCAAATACAAAAGCTTAAGTGATACATAAAAATAATATAATTGTTTCTCTCATACTTTATGGTCCCAAATCACCTTACCTTAATGTTCTCTTGGCTTTGCTTTTCTCTGAACACCATTTTCCGTAGATCAATATTTCTTGTGTTGCGTCTCTCCAAGAAACGAGCTAATTCGTGCCAATCACGGACACATACATTTCGCAAACGAACTGTCCCCCACTGAAAAAGAAAACAGACTAAAAATAGAAGGCATTTTATTTTAAGCTTATACAAAAGTAAACATTTATTAGCTTAAAAAAATTTCACACATTTTCACCTGAAATCCCAAGTGTAATACTCTCTCAACGGTGTTGCTTCTTTACAGTATTTGTTCATCTCTCCATCTTCATGCCTTCAAGGTACTGTTTATCAAAATCTGACTCCCTTTCCTCTAGTATAGCAAAGTTACTGCTTTTGTAAATATTAATTTTAAATTTTCTTAAATATTCTCACATATTCCTTCACCACTGTTCTTGCCTCTTGCCAATTCTGTTATTATCACCATATCAGCTGTATGTAGCAAGTGCTCTTACTACACATCACTGCCAACAGCCTCTCATATCTGATCATAACTAAAACACTGTATAATATTACACACTCCCACTCTGTACCAAACCACTCACTTACAACACTTTATATGTCTCTTTCTCTTTCTCATGTTCATAATATTTTCAATATTCTCCTTTCCTCTTTAACTTATTTCACAAATTTCTTATTGCAATCTAATAACTTTTTCTTTAATTTTTTTTCATATCACATTATTTTCTCTACTCTATAGCAGTAAATCTTTCTTCCAAATTAACTATAAAACCTTAAATTTTTGACCTTTTGATTGACTTTGTAAATTCCTAGAGCTGACAACACATCATGTACAACTTCAACATAGTCAGGGGAAAAATTTTCTCATGAACACTTACGAGAGACGGGCTATATGCTAAATCTCGCCACAGAAGACATACTCTGGATGCCATCAACAGATCCTTCACAGACAGGTACTTGAAAACACGAACAAGCACCCGGTAACTCTGGCTCAGATCACGAAGGAAATACTGACTTCTCGACCGTGTATGACTCTGGAAAAATGTGGGGTACATTAGGCTTGTGAGTAAATACTACATCAACAATAAGATATGGTGAATACATATAATTAGGGGAAACTATATATTAGAATCTTAACACTATAAAATATTAAACAATAAAGCTCAAAGTAATCAAAAGTACCTACTTCTTTATCTATCTGCCTGTCTTTCTATCTATCTTCCTTAAAATTAAAAAAAAAATGTTCTACTGTTTATTCATATATTGTATTCCATAAGCATCTATCAGACTACCTCTCTACTGATCCTTGTACCTAACTACCTTTTAAGAAGTTGTTCTCTTTATATGAAGTACACTACTGAGGCACATGTATAATCTAATCTGTCTCCTACAGTTGGTGTCTTCTTTGGTCTCTTTCTATCTTGCCGATTTTGGGGGGGTACATGAAGATTAGGCACCCCAGCTTATTTCACTTGATATTAACCTAACCTAAACCAAACTAAACTAACTCATCCCAGATAGTAGTAGAGTACTGTAATCTTTACATAATCCATTATTTAATCATGCAATATGGCCTCCCTACTGCTGCCTGATTCTCTTAGCCATCCTTATGTCTCTTACTTTAAACCAGAATTGTAAAGTAAATAAATATACTTGAGTACTGTGGTCAAGCAACTTTTTGGGAATTCACTTTCTAAAAAGTACTTAAATTTTTTAAGTACTTTTACTTAAGTATAGTTTTCTAATACCTTTACTCTAATACAATTGAAAATACAAAAAGCGGTAAGTGTTACATGTAAACTAAAAATAAATTTTTAAATTAATTAATCATTAACCATAGCAAATGAGTTATGTGAGTGGAGCTATGAAGGGTACGGTGTGGGTGTGGGGAGACACTACATGGTCACATACCTAGAGGTCTTGTGAGGTGAGGTGACGTCAGGTAGCAGTGGCCAAGACAGCAGACTTTTCCTTTGATCCTCTTATGTCCATTGGCACCTTGACCACCCACCTTACCTATCCCCCTCCCCCATCGAATCCCCTCTCTTCTCCCCCACCTTTCCTTCAGGGGCTTGGTCTTCCCATTAGACGTCAGTTGGTCTTTGCATATACAGTAAACCCTCGATAACTCAGAATTTCATAGAACTCGGCACGGATATGGTCTTGGAATGTATTATAGTATAACTCAGGAAATGCTGAGATATATAAAATTATCTGGGAAAATCTGGTATATTTGGCCACCTGCATCACCTACCATGCCTCTGTGTCACCTACCATGCCTCAGTGTAACCTACCATACCTCTGTGTCACCTACCATACCTCTGTGTCACCTACCATGCCTCTGTGTCACCTACCATACCTGTGTCACCTACCATACCTGTGTCACCTCCCATGCATTTGTGTCACCTACTATGATGTTTCTTTTTTTGTTTGTAGTGTGATAAGTGTTACTCTTTTACATTTTGTAATTAGATGTACAGTCAGCAATGAAATGTTCTGCCCCCCCCTGTTCTAATGGCCTCTGCAACGATCACTGACTGAGGCCACGTTAATTTGGTGAGGTTGGTATTTCTGGTTGTGTGATGCATTGTATAACCAGTATGATGTATTTTTTTATATCACATATAATTAATACAGAGAAATTAACAAGAATCACCCGCGTAAATGAGTGTTGTTCAGAATTCTTGGTCCGGTGTGTCATATTGTATAACACCATAAAGGTGCAGCCCAATCAGCGATTTCTCCCACTGAAAATATGAGGATCATGGCCACTTATGGAGAATATTTTGATTAATATTGAAGAGTTGGGGGCATGTAAGGCAATAAAAAACCGTAATACAATAATAAAAATAATTCTTCTTTGGTAGTATATTGGATAGGACCTAAAACAAAGCGTATGGCGTGAAAGAATTGAAAAGAATTGCACCTAGTTGAAACCAGTTTGGCTCCGCCCATTTTTAAGTGGGAGCTGTCTGATTTCATTAGCTGTTGGTGACTTTGGTGTAAAAATATTGATAATCACTCCAATATGATTAAAACTTGATTATCATTATTCATAAGATACTTTTAATAAGGGTGAACAAGTTGATTACAGTTCTGAAAAGTGTAAAAATTAAGACTTAAACGAACCTGAAATTCGTCGTATTACCTGTACAAATATGCGAACCTAGCCGTGAGAGAAGCAGCGTACAGCTCTTCTGTTGGATGTTACGTGTGGTTTCATAGTCTGGGAGAAATTACCTTTTACTTTTAGTCCTTCAGTACTTTATGAATTAGTTACTTTTTTACTTCTACTTGAGTACTGTATATTGAATTTTACTTAAGTAACAAAGTCCAGTACAGTACTGTACTTTTTACAACTCTGCTTTAAGCTTAAGATCAGATCCCTTTTGTTTCCTTTCAGTGGTTTGGAGATAATACTTCATTTTAAGTTTCACAATCATACAGTACAGTATACAGTATTACCACAGGCAGCATTCACAGGTCAAATATTTTCATGAGACAAAGTGACATACTACTTTTGACTGAGGTCCCACTTGACTCTTCTTTTTATTCCACTAAACTGATAATAGCGTAGTGGACCTCTCCCCTACAACCACATCCGCATTCCAATGCGACAATATCCTAGCAACTAAGTGAGCTGTTCACAGGGGGGGGGATCGCCACCTGCTATGTCTTCCCTAGCAACGGAGTCAAGAAACCGGCGAGTTCCCACGGGTTTACTTCCGGCTGCTGTGTATATAAGCTCGCAGTCTCTCCAGTGAGATTCATTCTAACCCACGTTCCTGAACACGCAACACCTCCTCCAAGCAAGCTCTTCGCTGTCCAGCCCTCATTCAACCTGGAGGACAACAACATGCAACATCTCCTCTAACGAAGCTCCTGCACGTCTACCTCCTTCAGCACACTATTCACCGAACGTATCTTCCAAGCAAGCACCTCACCACACGGCATCTCCAGCACCAGACTGTCTTTCATATAATATATTTTATATAAGAAAACCACCACCTAGAGTTTCCATCCATCCCATCCTGAGTGCTAGACACATAATATCACGTAACCCTACAATAGCATAATCTAACCCCAACTGGCCTATAACTGTATCTTACACGACTCCTCATGTTTCACAATGTTGACATCCATGAGCCGAGATTTTGTAACCTGGTGAACATTACTCTTCTCTGGGTCCAATACCTTTTTACATAACCCTTTTATTTGTTCCTCTTAGCTCTAGTAATAATGACTGCAATTTTGCCAGGTTTAATGAAAAATGGAATTGTGAGCAAAACAAGTAATATATGTATGCAACATTGTTACCTCAACTTGTGTCACTCTCGCAGTACAATAAATGAAACTTCTTACAATTTTAGCTTTTATTGCCAAAGAAGTGGTTTATAAATCAGAGTTTGTCAAGCAGGAAAGAGGTGCTTAACTAGAATATGTCTGCAAAACACATTCCTGCCAAGGTGAAAACTTAATCTGGATGGCTCTACAGTGTCATCAGAGGAGTACAAATAAAGAAAGATGTAGTAAGTTGAATCAGTGTGTGGCCAAAGCAGAGAACTGATAAGAACAGTTAAAGAGTAAATGAGTAAGGTAAAATGAAGAAGAGGTCGACACAAATTAAAAAACTAGTGAAAAAATAAATGGCTGGAGGGGTGTTAATATGTTGATGCTTTGTAAGGAGAAAAGTTCTTGGAGAAGATGCACAAGCTACTCTGTGGTCACTGAAAGATGATGTATTAGCTAACTGTACATAAAATGATAATACTTACTTTTGCTGTTGAATTTTGCTGTTTTTCTTGTGACTTTTCTTGTGGGTGCAGCCTAACGGGTGGTCCCGGCTGAATTAAGGCAGCAATCTGTTGTTGTTGTTGTACCGAGCCTGGGACAGACAACATGAGAGGGGTTGAAACCTGCTGCTGTTGCTGCTGTTGTACAGAACCGGACAACATAATGGAAGCTGCAACTTGTTGCTGCTGCAACATGAGAGGGGTGATAATTTGCTGCTGTTGCTGCTGCAACTGCTGCTGCTGTTGCTGCTGCTTCTGCTGTTGCAGCTGCTGTTGCTGCTGCAGCTGCTGTTGTTGCTGCAGCTGCTGCTGCTGCTGCAGCTGCTGCTGTTGCTGCTGCAGCTGCTGTTGCTGCTGCAGCTGCTGCTGCTGTTGTTGCAGCTGATGTTGCTGTTGCAGCTGCTGCTGCTGTTGCTGCATAGAGTTTAACATGAATGGTGCTGTTGTAGTATGCTGTTGCTGAGGTGAAGATCCAGCTATCATGAAAGGCATCTGCCCACCAACAATACCAGGTGGCAGTAGTATTCCTCTAGGCATCCCTAAATGAGGACCTCCTTGTATTGGAACCATCTCTCCATTGGCGCCAGTACGAACAAGGAGGAAGCGTGCAGCATTAGATCCTGGGGCCTGTAGTTGAAGCAGCTGATTCCCAGCTATGTTGGGGTGAATTCCTCCCATAACACCTGCACTGTTGCTCACCAAATTTGCAGGGTCAGATCCTACTAAGGGTAAAAAAATTCAGGTATCAATTAAAATTTAAGATCTTTTAATTTGTAATAAATTCTAATTAAAAATAAATAACTGTACGTATAAGGAAAATTATCAAACAAGCGGTGGTCTGCTGAATGTACACTGCCTCACACTTTTGAGAGAGAGAGGGGAGACTTGGTCAGGATTGCATCCAATTCAGTTTGACAGGCCAAGCAAGAAACAAACAATCAAAAAGAGAGAAAAAAACACTTGTCATGTATTGTGTACATATTTCAGCTTCCTAGATGAAAAGGTGTCGGAGAGTACAGTAAAATCTCGATGATAAGAGTAGATACGTTCCTTGGAGTCTGCTCGTAAAACGAAAACTCTTACAACGGAGGGAATAATACATGGGTTAAATAGGGATGGGTTCCCTTGCACCGAGTATAGCGATGACAGTAAATAAATGTGATTCAGTACGAACGGACAAACTGGGATAGCAGATTCAAACACTGGAGAAGGTGACTGGGGGGAGGACGGTAGGGAGGTAGGGGAGGGGTGCATGGCCTGGCTGAGTGGCTCACAAACACGTCTCTGCGCATCTGGCTGGGGGAGGACAGTAGGGAGGTAGGGGAGGGGTGCATGGCCTGGCTGAGTGGCTCACAAACACGTCTCTGCGCATCTGGCTGGAGGAGGATGGTAGGGAGGTAGGGAGGGGTGCATGGTCTGGCTGAGTGGCTCACAAACACGTCTCTGTGCATCTGGCTGGGGAGGACAGTAGGGAGGTAGGGGGGTGTGTGGCCTGGCTGAGTGGCTCACAAACATGTCTCTGCGCATCTGGCTGGGGGAGGACAGTAGGGAGGTAGGGGCGGGGTGTGTGGCCTGGCTGAGTGGCTCACAAACATGTCTCTGCGCATCTGGCTGGGGGAGGACAGTAGGGAGGTAGGGGCGGGGTGTGTGGCCTGGCTGAGTGGCTCACAAACATGTCTCTGCGCATCTGGCTGGGGGAGGACAGTAGGGAGGTAGGGGCGGGGTGTGTGGCCTGGCTGAGTGGCTCACAAACATGTCTCTGCTCATCTACTGCACAAGAGACGTCACAGACCACATCACTGCTTGTTCTGCCTACTCGGCTGGGTAAACTGAGCAACACTGTAGCCAAGGTAGACTCATTACAGCAACCACCAGGCAGGCTACTGGACCAAGCTATGAAGTGTTATAATTTTTTTTCAACTCGTATATTTGGGTAGATATACATACCTTTCTTCATTTATTTTTACTCATTTACATGCACACACCATCCTAAATACATATTGTGAAAAAGTAAAAGAAATAATTGTCCTTAGGGCAAACCTGTACTCAAATGTACAAAATTAATTGCTAAATTTTTTATCTCTTTTGCAAACTATGGAATGTTTGTACTCAAATTAATCACCATCTTACAAGAATTCCAGCAATGCAAGTTATATTCTGCCAAGTCACTTCAGTGACACTTTATAAGCAAAAAACTTAAACTCCTCTACATGACTGATAAATACGCACTTGGTAACCTTCGCCGCCGGCTATCAACACCTCGCCTCATCCCCACCCCCATCCTCCCAGCCAGGGTGAAGGTGGTTTTAGGCTTAAAGTTTTTATATTATAAAATATTGCTGAGTAGACTTTGCAGAATGTAACTTGCATTGCTGAAATCCTTGTATGATAGTGATTAATTTTAGTATAACATGACATAGTTTGCACAAGAGATAAAAATTTTAGTCCTTTAGTGTAGTACATTTGAGTACAAAGTGTGTCCAGTAATATGTTGCCCAAAATTATGGCTTTTACGCAAGAAAAAGTCTGCAGTATAACTAACGCCAGTGGTCACTGTACTCACTTCTCGTATCGTCAAACAACATCGCTCGTATCGCGAATATAAGGTGCAAATTCCTTAACCTCGTATCATCAAATTCTCATATAAAGAATGCTCATATAAGGAGATCCCCTGTAGTATCATTAATTGTAGAAGTGCTATTACTTTAGTCGTAAAACAAGGAGTGTTGCTTCTTTAAGAAATCAGTAGTGGAATCAGTAGCGATATCACTTGTTTTGTTGGATCTGGCGCTACTTTTCTAAGAAACATTATTAAATTATTTAGGTAGCTGAAAAGTAAGGTTCTTAAATGCAACAAAACTAAAAGTTTAAAGTTTGGTGTTTTATTTGTGCTATTTTCCATGAATTGTATTCTGTGTTCCTTCACTGTTGGTGTGCACAGATGCCTAAAAAGACCAGCACCAGTGGCAGCAGCAGATATAGCAATGCTACAATTTAAAATCAGTAGCAACAGTGAGAGTAGCCCAGTTTTTCCTCCCAGTAGTGATAAAGCAAGTAGAGATGATAGCATGCCCAGCACTGATGATATCTCTATAGTACACCTGATGTTTCCTGAGCTTACTGATACTGTACAGTAGCTAAAAAAAGTATCAGACAGGGTGGGGCCGATGACATCAGAAATTATACGTACAACTCGTGATGTCTCGAGAGGGTTGGTATGAGTGTCTTCACCCATCCCAGAGGGTGATTTGGCATATGGGAATAAAATAAATGGTTAGGTGATTGCTATCACATAATATAAGGAGACAACACACATGTCCCAATACCTATCGTCCATGGTCTCATATTGTTTTACACAAAGTATGCAGTTACTTTTTATAGCTACTGTACATTCAAACTAATGCAAGTAACCTTAGCTGCACAGGGCTGTCCTACTGATCTATCTATCTACCAATATACCTTATAAATACTGTACAGTAAACCGTCGAAGATCCGGACCCGGGAAATCCGGATTTTGGAAGATCCGGAAAAAAAATTTGGGGGGTTCTGGACTAAGAAACCTCATGGAAGTTTCCCTAAGGAACATTCCCAAACCAGAGCAAAGAACATTTTAAGCCCGTGGGCGCTGCTTGACCCGTCAGTTGCTTGGACACAGGTGCCCGAGGAGGTGGGAAACATAAACAGAGTTGACAATTGTTGTTTGTGGGAATATTATTTCACTCACTCTAGTAATGATACAATGTTTTTTATTATGTTATCATAGGTAAATGCATGGTTTATATAAGGTAATTTGTTTATCACTGCATTAGTACTGTATTTTTGGTGTTTCTTATATCATTTATTATTTGCCGGAAAATTCGGACAATCGGCTTTTCCAGACAGTTGGTTCCCCATTTTTGTCTGGATTTTTGAGGGTTCACTGTATATATGGTACCAATTTCATCAATTTATCTATTTCTCAAGTAATTTTTCCTCATAACTACCCCATGAATATAATGGCCATGACAGAGAAGCCTCCATCCCATTCTCTCTAAGCATACCATCTGAAACTGATCTATTCTCCTTATACCCTCGTGTAAGTCTGACCAGGACCAAGGGGAGAAAATAAAATACTACTGTTAAATCAAGGGAGATAAAAATCCTTCATGACTGTATAAGACGTGATCCAACCTAACCAGATATACTGTACAATGTTATCAAGAGATCCCTAAAATAAGGTACATCCAGCTTATATTACAGTACTCACCTTGTTGTACACTCTGACTCTGCATACTCTGTATTGTTGTTGTTGCAGTATCACAAGGCTTTGATACTTGTGATGCACTAAATATTTTAGCTGCTGCTTCCTCCAGACTGTTGGGAAAATGGTACCTTTACTGTTCTTCATATAATAAGAAAACTAAGCATATGAGAAAAACAGTATGAACTTTTGTTATCCATGACTTATCAAACATTACGTATTCAAACTTATCTGACTTACTCATAAAATATTAAGGATTCAAATATTACTCATAAAACATCAATTATCCAAGATTTATATATGAAACATTTCTTATCAATGCCTTATTGATAATTATGGTGGCAATGAAACAACTAAGAGAAGCTTCAACTTTAAAAAGTTATTCTAGCAATAAAAGAATTCTTAATATCTAACAAGAAGGATTTTTACCCTTTATAGCCTTGTGAAGGAGGTGTTGTGGGGGGCGTGAGCGGTGACTCTGGTCGAAGATTTACGTGAATATAATTCTCAATTGATATTTCCCTGTCCATCTTGTCACCCTCGCTTTCAGAGTCTTCGGATGCCGGGTCATAAGCCAGAGGTTCAAATGGCTTAGGTGGTACCCAACTGCTCGCTCCAGCAGTCTCCTTCATCTCTCGGTAACAATTCTATGGAAAGTAAAAGTTACAGCTAACAAGAGTGAGATACAAAAGGTAAATGATGTCATAACATATAAGAGGTAAATAATGTCATACAATACAACTGGCAATGTATCTGCATCCTTTATGTTTTTGACCTTATGATAGTTATTTCTTTTACCTTTTTGGACACTATATATGAAGGAATCTGTATGTAAGATTGTATGTGCATGTAAGTGAGAAAAAAAATTAATTAAGTTAAGTCTATCTACCCGAAATAACGACTTGAATAAAAATCATAACGTAGCTCACAGCTCGGCCTGGTAGCAAGAAGGATAGCGGGATATAACTACAGTGATGAGTCTAACTTGGCAACAATACCATCAGCAATGTTAAGTACAACACTTAAATAAGCAGACCACCACCCTCAGCTGTGAATTCAAAAAACAAATTGAATGATGGGAGCAATTACCTTAAGGGGAGGCAGTCAGGGCTCACAACAAGGGGTAGGGAAAGGTGGAACAAAAGATGTGGGCTGGGGATTTGTTATGATTATTGACCGAGAATGGTTCTTTGCCCATCTCTCTAAGATGACTGCCCCAGCTGACTCCCGGGGTGGGATTTGGATTTTTGCTGGGACAAAAATTCATATAAGTGGAGTAATCTTTTGTTAAATGAAAAAGAGGTGTTAATTTAGGAAATTCATATTCGCAGATTTTTGTATCTCGAACATTAATATATACCGGTATATATCCAGGCTAAATTGGCACTATCTCAACTAAAAAAGGCAGCCAAGAAAATAAAAGAGAGTTGGTGCCAGTACACACCCTTGTTTAACCCCCATTTGAATGAGGAAGAACTCAGACTGGGTGCCATTGTGCAGGAGACTGCTGTTCATGCCATCGTGGAGTTGCCTCACAATGGCGATGAATTTTGGTGGCCAGCCAAAACAGCTGAGGGTCCACCAGAGGGCTTCCCTGTTGACCGAGTTGAAGGCCTTGGTTAGGTCGATGAAAGCCATGAACAGGTCATGACGTTGTTCTCTGCACTTTTCTTGTAATTGATGGGCAGCAAAGATCATGTTAGTGGTGCCACGTAATGGTCTAGAAGGAAGTTTTCCGCCTCAGGAAGAAGTCTGTTTAGGAGGACTCGGACAATAATCTTGCCAGCTACAGACAGCACCGAGATCCTGCAGTAGTTGCCACAGTCTGACCGGTCTCCCTTGTTCTTATAAATATTGACGATGGAGGTGTCTTTAAGAGCTTGGGGAATTTCCTCCTTCTCCCATATATTCTCCAGGAAAATGGAGACGGGTGGTAAGGAGAGGTCCTCCTGCTTTATACACCTCGGCTGGGATTCCATCAGGTTCTGAGGCTTTGTTATTTTTCATCTGTTTGATGGCAGTAGCTACCTCATCCAGGAATAGAGGATAGCTGAGTTGGGTCAGCTCTGGATGCTGGTGGACCTGCTGGGTAGTCAGGACATCCACATCGGTGTTTCAGTTGAGCAGTGAATGGTGGTGCTCTTTCTAGCACTGAAGGAGGCCTTCGTCGTCTTCAATTAGGAAGTTACCGTCGGATGAGCGGAGGGGGCTGCACCACGAGTGATTGGCCCATATAATATTCTTGTGCAATTGAAGAATTGACGTATCTTGTGCTGATCTGCAAATTTTTGTGTTTCACATGCTTTATTTTTAAACCATAGCATTATAAAATATAGAGTGAGAAAGCAGAAAGGTGGGGTTGATTAGAGAAGTGGAGTGGAAGGGAATGGTAACATGCATCAGGTGTTGCCAAGCTTTCCTCAGCAATTGATCTCCAGCTGACCTGGGCATGGGTCAATGACCCACATCAGGGCCTGGGGGGCAAAAATATAACAATAATAATAATAATAATAATAATAATAATAATAATAATAATAATAATAATAACTAACAAAATCTAAAAAAATATATATATATATATATATATATATATATATATATATATATATATATATATATATATATATATATATATATATATATATATATATATATATATATATATATATATATATATATATATATATATATATATATATATATATATATATATATATATATATATATATATATATATATATATATATATATATATATATATATATATCTCATGATAATAATAATATGTAAAAATGAAAAATGAAAGAAAAAAAGATCAATACTGCAGTAAATGATGTACTGTATGTATGTTGTGTTGTCAAAGTAAGAGAAACAATTGAGACCCTGCAATTGTGTGTAAATGAGGCATAGTCAGATCAGCAACCTGGGACTTGGTCAAAATTTTTGTGATGCCACATGGCAGCAGGTAATAAATAGTGAATATTTATGCAGTGAGAGAAGGTCACTAGTGCCAATGGTAAGTTTACAAGTTGAAGAAGTTTTTGTATGTTGTATGTCTAGTGAGAAGTGATTGGTGGACTTACAAGGTTTTTCACATTAACCTGATGATAAGTGATCAGAAGAGAGATAAGTGTTCTGCCTCATAAATTTATGTAATTACTGTACTTGTGTATTTTATCTGGAATGATTTTTTCATGTTCAATAATGTTCTTTTAATTATGTACAGTCCCCTTCACTAGTGCATTTACAGGGGTTTGTCATATGAACATTCCACAATTTATTATCTTTGAGATATTTGTTTTAATATTGTTTTAATTTGGTTCCATAGTATGTTTACTATTGTTAGTTTCCTTCTGTCAAATGTAAACAAACACAGGGCTGCCACACTACACAAAATCTGACGAGTCCCCGTAAACACACTAAAGAAGGGGACTGAACATTTCAAATTGAAACAGAGTACAATATCAATATCCATCTCATTTTTTAAGTGCATTCTTGATTTGAGGCCTTTATTGTGATTTAGATAAGGTAACATCCAGATTGATAAATTTGTTTTACCATTAATCTACCACTCAAACTTAGAATACCTTGTTTTAAGAACAAAGAATAGGGACTATTAGTTCAAAGCTCTGGTTTGTTCACCATACATGGCCTGTTAGGGGCAATATGGATACAGTACACTGTGCACTAAGCCTTTCAATACCCTATGAGGAAAAGTAGCCAGAACAGCACTTGACCATTCATGGTTCAGTACATGGGGGTGAACCATTGACCCCTATAAGAGGAGGTAATTACTGTATCCACCCAGCTTTGTTGTTGTACTGTAGCTATGTAATGGAATTTCATTTACTAAAAGTTATGACACTTACTACTGTACTCTTGGTATAATATATATGAAAACTCTCCACATCTATGACCATAAAACCTGAATTATTAATATATTTCATGAGAGTATAGTATTAACTCATGCACAATCATTATCAAAATGTTCTACATTTACATCCTCAATTTTTCTCTTACTAAACCATTTTTTCTTCTCCACCTGGTAAGCTGTCTCCTGTTATACAGCATTTACTCAATATGAAATAAAACATAGAAAAATAAGACTTACTGGACACAGGAACTTGGCAGCTCCAGCCTGGATAAGGTTAACTGTGATAGGTGACATGAAGGTGCATTCTGGATGAAAGAGGCACAGACACTTGACACAGTGAAGGCACGGCACCATCCCACCACCCATAGGACAGTGTCCTGTGCAATGGAAGGTCCGTTGACGAGCCTCGCCTGTTAACCTGCAAAGATTAATTGATGAAGAATGGGTATCATCATCATCTTAATTATAACTAAGTAACTTAAATTAGATTTTGGGAAGTTTTCTACCTTTTATGACATAAATGAAAGGTTTACAAATAATATGAATGAATGTCAAATGAGGAAGAAGTACATGCATACAGTAAACCCTCACTTTACGCGGTCAATTGAACCCACGGCGGCCCGCGTAAAGTGAGAAACGCGTAAAGTGAACAACATAACATATGGGATTAATTAAAATAGAGACCGGGCCGACCCCCAAACTCCACTTTTTCAGACACAATACCTACGTTGTAGTAAAAATAACTTCTTAATTTTATGATGGTATGCACACACAATTAATAATTAAGAGAAATATCAATAATATTAGGTTTTTTAACACTTACATTCGTAGAAAAGATGGCTGGGCACACGGGGATGGGGGGTTGGTTCCGAGGCAGAGGGCAGATTACTGGCCCTCACCTGTATCACTTGTATCAATTGTATCACTATCCACCACAGAGGCATGCAGGGCCTCTTTGTCAAACCCCTCAAAGTCCATATACTGTAAGTCCATATCCTCACTATCATTATCACTATCACTGACTTGGGCCGGCTGTGGTGGGTGGCGGGTGAAGAACTCGGTAATGTTTTGATGACTGGGCGACCTTGTGCGCACCCTGCTCGCGCCGCTCTCCGCGTAAAAGGGTACACACACCGCGGAAAGTGAGCATTCCGGTTTCTGCAGGGTACCGCGTAAACGTGGAACGCGTAAAGTGGGACCGCGTAAAGCGAGGGTTGACTGTAATAATAAATGGCGGTAAATGTTTGAACTTAAAACAATGATGGTTTGTGCCTAAGCTCTGTGATGTATTGTTGCCGGCAAAACTCTATGTGCCCAATACACCTTGCATGAACATTCTAATTTGACTCTTCTTAAAGTCTGCTGACAATCTGTGTGAATGGTATTTGATGTAGCGTTAAATACTGTAATATTTGATGGGTGGGAAGGAAACACGGGGTTGAGGTAGTTTACTTTATTACTCTAACGTTTCGGGCAACACAGAACCCATCTTCAGAGAGAATATAGGTATGGGTGAGACTGGATGGGGCCTGATGAAAAGTTTGTCAAAACACAAAACAGATGTACGAAGACATAACACCTCAAATTCTATAATACAGTAAGTCGGAGCTACGTTCCTGAAAACGCAACGTTAAGTGAAACAACATAAAGCAGATCAATTTTCCCCATAAGAAATAGATAAAATATGGGAGTTACGTTCCTGAGCCTCCCTTTGCCCCATGAAAAAAGTTACATATACAGAAAATCGTTGCCATTTCTATGGAGAATAGTATATAGACCTACAGTACTAAGTTTGTATTGGTACTAACCGATGGGCGGAGGTGGTAGAGCAAGTGTGTGGTGGGTAGTGAAGCGAAGGAGGAGGATGGCGGGAGCTGAGGAGGGTGTGAGAGGAGGGTGGCGAGTCACCGAGACTCTGCAGCTGCCTCCTGCTTCTCCTGCTCTGATTGGGGTTCCTCCGCCGCTGGTTGCTCCTTCTAGGCTGCCGGCTGTTGTGAAGAAGCTCCTGCCGTCACACGATGAAAAAATGAATCCAGTGTTGACTGCTTGGTGCTACTCACCTTCTTTTCCTTAAAGATCTCGGTGTAGCAACCAAGACTGTCCTCAATTCTGCGTCGACCCTTTGAACAACGTTCTCTGTTTGGGTCGTCATCTAGAAGCATTTGCATTGCTTGCTGGAACATGTTCAATGATTCTACCAACCTCTTTGAAGTTAGCGTTCGCTGAGGTTCTTCTTCGTAGTCAAACAGGGATCTGGCCTTATGCTGGAAAACCATAAGGCTCACAGGGGCATTGCGTTGATTCTGGTCCTCCATCCACATTGCCAGCATCTTTTCTACCTTCTCTATCACAGTGCTTCAGGTACGAGCCGTCTTAGTAGCACTCAGAGAAGAACCACATCCAGCACTAACCTTAATCTTGTCAGCGTTGGTCTGAATAGTATGCACCGTTGTGGGGGTTAGACCAAGCACAGCGGCTATGTCCACAGCACGTTCCCCTTTTTCAAATCGGGTTAATACATCCATTTTTGTAGCAAGGGTAATGGTCATACGTTGCCTCTTCACTACACTATCATCAGTAGCACTTGATGGGCGCTTGGAAGCCATTTTGAATGGTTAGAGTACAGTTTTAGAGCAAAAGCACATAAGGACGCACGAATGATGTGAAGTCGTAACAGAGACTGACTTGGCGTCGCTTGGGGACGCTGTGACGTTCTGTGAGTGAGGGCAGCGCGCCGAGCCGAGAGAGCATAGCGCAGCCAGACAAGAGCGGGTGATGCGCCGTAGAAAGTAGTACGTGACGACGTAATATTGGATCACCGGGACGTTAAACGAAATTTTGGTCTCTAAAATTCAGCGATGTAGTACCGAAACAACGTTAAACGGGACGACGTTACTTACTGTACTTGTATATTTGAAACAATGTCAACATTTACCAAAGTGGCAGAATGTCACGACTATCCATAACGGGTTTGATAAGGGGACGATAAAGGCCAAAGAAGCAGCCTATATTTGTAGAAATAAAGTAACAAATCATAGGCAAGGTTTTACACGCTGGTTAAAGAATGACGCGGACCTAGCATTGACGTCACGTAGAAGTAGTCAGGTCAGGTTAATGCCAGTGAATCAGGCTCTGACATGACAAGGCATCCAGAAAGGTGAGGTGCATCCGGGGTACATAAGTCTTTGACTTCCTCCACTTGTTGTACTCTCTCTGAAGATGGGTTCTGTGTGGCCCAAAATGTTAGAGTAATAAAGAAGGTTCCCTCAACTCTGTGTTTCCCTCTAACCCATCAGATCTGTACAGGTATCGCTTATGATAGGCCAATCAATCACTCACTCCTTTTTTAACAACTTTGTCATTCAAATTACACATGAATGAAGGTATTAATTACTCCTTATAAACACCTTCACTTAAATGTTGCAAGAAGTTGGTAATTTAAAGTAATGTATATAAGTATCACTTACATTTTAGGACACGCCATCCTCAAGGTGCCAAAGACCTAACCGTATTCTAAAGCTGTGTGTGTGTGTGTTTGTTATATGATAATCTTCTACAGGCAAAATTACATGGCCTTGAATCTTGCAGCTCAGCATGAGTCAAAGGCCCTAATCTTTTTAAGGATGAATATCAGCACTCCAGGACAAGTGAAAACAATGGTACAGACCACCAAATTCACCAATTCCATGTAAAATATCTAATGTGTATTAACTATATGTCATGAACAGCTGTGTGGACATTTCTACCAATTAAAAAAAGGCCTAAATTTATTGAGAATCAAAGACTGGTGTCAAAGAATTGAAGAGTGAAAATACTGATCACATTGTTAAAGCACAGAGAGTGGAGATGAGTCACAGTAACAACTCTTCAGGGGATCATATTTGTGTGTTTGTGTGTGTAAAGATGTTTAGTATTACAGTAACTTAAACATTCAGTACACAAAGGTATTCTCGTGTGTTCACAATATACAAGTTAGTACAGTATGTTTACAGTATATCTCAACACCTGAATTTTTTAACATGACAAATTTTTAGGCAAATACAGTACAGTAAACTCCCATTAGCCAGAACACTTCAGTAGCTGGAATTCAAATTGGCCTGGAATTTTTTTGGAAAAGCTTTCTCAATTCAAGGTCTGTGAATGAGTTTCCGAGTTGATCTGCCACATTTTCTGGAAAAATTCCGGAAAATCTCTCCAATTATTTTTTCTGGGTCTTGGAACAAATTCCGAGGATGAAATAATGTGCAATTTCTGGAAAAATTCTGAGAAAATTACACCAAACCTTTCTGCTTCGGGCCTTGGGACAAAGGCTGTAGGTTTGCATGCTGCGATTGGCTAATGGAGTCATGTAATAGGCTGAAGCATCTCCCAGCTTATTTCCTCTAAGCCTAGTATCATCACACACTTAGTTCATAGTCCTCTGCCATTAAACAAAGTTGACCCCCCCCCCCTCGCTACTGTTTTTGCATAAATTTACGTTCTGCAGTTCTGTTCTGGGATACAATCGGCTAAGAATACCGTGTTAAGACATAAACAGTGATTACAGTTGTTTAGAGAACTGTACATTCAGAAGTGTGAAGTACCATATGTACAGGAATAGGGAAACACTAGGGCACCCCAGTAATTCCCCACCCCGACAATGAGTGACCTGACATTGCATCAGGTCAGTAATATGAGACCACTAATCCCCCATCCCACTTCCACTGCAAATGAGAAAAGAACTTGTACACAATGGGTGGCCTGGCATTACATCAGAATTCAGTAACATGACTCACTAATCCCCCCCCCACCACCTCCATTGCAAGTGTTAAGATATAGAAAGTTATTACAATTATGTATTACATTCACCAGAGTGGACAGTATACCTACTGTAGGCTCAAGATTACAGCATCTGCAGGTGAGAACATATACAGTACAGTAGTAGTAAACATTATTTTGTTTATTTATAATACACTGTAGTATTGTATATTATACTTGTTCATTGGTATTTGCATCAATAAATACAGGTTTATGTCTGTCCATGTGAGATGCGCACACGAGTTTAAATTCTTGGAAAACTTTCCCCTGTGCAGGGTGGAAAATTCCAATGTCTTGGCTGTAACACACAGCTCCATTCATGCCTCGCACGCCCATATAATATACAGTACAGTATATATTTTTTAATATATTTATTTAACCAATCTTTTAGAACTACTCAGGGTTATTTTGGTAAAAATGGTGTTTCTAACTTAGTTAGAACTGATTTTATAGACTCTGGTATCAACAAATCTTACATTTTTTCAGAAAAAAAAAATAGAATCCTCATCATTATTTCTTGTCAAAATATTTTAAGGAAACAATTTTGCAGGGAATTTATTCAGGATCAATATGGCACCCAATTCATTTCTCAAACACAATTAGAACAGATGCAGTGAATAAAATTTTTTACATTTTTATGCAAGCCGTAAATATTTTCGCTCTTGTCCACAGTCTAAATGTAATGGCAGAGTGTTTGTCCATGCGAGATGAGATGCATAGTTTACAGTTGAGATGAGATGCATAGTTTAAATTCCCTGACTCTTGGAAAACTTTCCCAGCACCCAGAAATATTCCAGCAATGTGGTATAGTGTCTGTCCGTGTGTGATGCATAGTTTACTCTCAAAAACTTTTCCTAATACCCAGAAAAATTCTGAGGATGTGGAATTTTTTCCGGGTTTGAGAGAGTCATCTCGCTATCCGGAAATCTCTCATCCTTAAAAGAGCTCTGCACCAATTATTGCTGCTAACGGGGACATTACTTTGCACAGCTCAGAATAAACAACTTTTAAACACACAAACACATATTTGCTCCTAACACAGTATTGTGCCAACTGTAAACCCCTCATGTGACCACGATTACAATGTCTAAAAATTACCCAAAAGTGAATGCCACATTAAGCTTAAACTCACATTGGTGTTAATATTTTGGATGTCAATTTTCGTTCATTGCAGATCTTGGTAGTGTATACAATATGGCTTTTCGAAAATTTATTGGAGGCCTCCTCAGTCTTGGCAGGAGCTGGCTGAATTGGTCGCTGAGTTGTACTGCTCCCCACATTTGTTGGGCTTGCTAGGGTTATGACTGTGGGAATGGAATGTAAAAAGTATATAATGGTGTAACTTCACATATATATCCATTAATCCAATAGCTAAAGCACATGACTGTCACAGACAGTTAGCAGGTTGACTGGTAATTGACAGTCAGCTATGTCCAGTGAGTAAAACTTAATTTTGGGAAAATGGAAGGTAATACATAAGTGCCCATGATGCCTTCACTGAAACAAAACAAAAAAAATACAAATTCCAATCTAATTATTTTTTCTTTACAGCAATACCATAACCACAGTAGCCTTAATGTGACAGGATAATGTTAGGCTTGGTAAGGAGAATACCAGTTATTATTATATGATATTCTCAGGTCTAATATAAAACTTCAGAGGGATACTCATATTAACAAACCAAAATCAAATATGAGAATTAATTCAGAAGAAATTATAAAAAAATTTTGGTAACATAATTTGCCACACAGTATACATGTTCTCTGCAACAAATACAATTTAAAAAAAAAATTACCAGGCTTCCAGCTTTTGTTCACTGGAGTTCCAAGAGTAGTCGAGGGTGGGATGGGTGATGTGCATTTTGGCTGAGTGTTCGGGACATTTATTGGCTTGACTGACACAGGAGTATGGGGATAGGCTCCCTTGACCCCTGGGCTGGAGTCTGTTCCTTTTTTCAAACTCAGTGGTATCTGAAGTACAATTTAGAAGAGAATATTACAACACAGCAGGAAGAATGCACATACTGTAGAACAAGGAACAAAATTCAAAGCTGTATGAGTAACATACAGTATATGTAAAATATGATAAATTCTTAAAATCATTGGAGTTTTACAAATAAAACAACCACAAAACTCAAGATTCCAACTTGAGGTAACAGTCCTGTGCCACAGAAAGTCCAAGGGGAAATCTATGAGGATGATCCTAAGAATTTACTCATGACCCCATGATGATCCCAGCAATCATATGGCTTGATACCAAATTAAAGTTTCTCCCAGTCATCACCGGAATACTGATCTTGTATTACTCACTACAGGTTAGTGGAGGAGAAGATACTCGGAGCTGTGATAATTCACAAGAGGGACAAAAATTCTACACCTCATTCATCTAAATGAAGTTGAACAAGTGCAATGACAAGCTGATGAATAAAAACTAAAGTATAAAATATGTATTCACTATAAAGATATACAAATCCATGTTGTGAAAGAATAAATAATACAGTACAGTATTATAAACAAAACTTACAATAGGTGTGATCTTCATTCTGGCTCGTTTTACAGGCTTTTCACTAGAAATTTTGGGAGGCCTTCCCCTTTTTTTCTTTGGTGGTGGTGGTGGTGGTGTCTGCATTTCTACTTGAGCACAGATGAAAGGTTCAGTCTTAGGCACATCAGTGGGTGTGGCCCCCACACTTGCATTTGGTGTGCCTCCCGCACTTGCAGTTGGTGTGCCTCCCGCACTTGCATTTGGTGTGCTTCCCGCACTTGCATTTGGTGTGCCTCCCGCACTTGCATTTGGTGTGCCTAATTTTCCACGATTACTACCTGTCTGTAAGATAATATTTACATGTCATTAAAAAGAAAAAATCTCTAAGCATAATTTCACGGCCAGTGTTGATCATGTACAATTAACCAATCCATAAAACAATTAAATGTTGATGACTGTAATCCAACTACTGTATAAGATTGTACAGTTAAGTAAATGGGTCCTATGCATCAACTATTGTAATCTGCACCACTCAATATGTCATTAATGTTGAGATATTAAGTCAGAACGCTAATTCACCTGTTGTAGGTAAACAAAACTACACCCACTTAGCACCTGTTAAAATTAATAAAAGTTATTTAATTAGTTGCCAATTCCTGAGTCATATAGCCACATTGACAGATTCACTAACATATTTTTCTTTTCAAAATAGTGGCCATGAATTCACACATATGAAAGAATGACACAATCAACTTGTATGAATTACAGGAGTTCCTAAAGAAGCTAAAAGTATGCAGAGATTAAGCAATAAGTCAGTTAATGATCTTCTAACACTTTGGTCTTGGCTCAACAACTACTATAGGAGAGATGTGATATCATGTGGGGTTTCTATAAAAAGAAGAGAGACCCTACAGGTACCCTGGTTGTCATACTTGCAATAAATGTTGCAGCCATTGAGCAGACTCCAGTCATACTGAACAATAGAATATGAGCCACCTTTTAGTAACTAAAAACTTTAGTTTCAGCCCATGGTCAGGTGATATACATCAGTCACTTACTGTTAACATTTGGGTAATAAAATTATAAACACACATCTACTGCTGTTCCTCACAAGAGCTACAAATATTGTAGTCATCCTCCTCACGCCCCTCCGCTTACCATACTTCTTGAAGCATGGCGAATCTGTTCATACTCTTCACAAACTCCTAAGGGCTCTTTAATCCATGTAAAATTATCCAAAGTGAGATTTTTTATCCCTTGTCGGAACACTGAAAAATAAAATAAAAACAAGATTATTTTTTCTTTGAGCCTTTAACCAAACAACACGCTTAATAAAGGTAAAGTATCACATGAGAAGCTTAGTAGGTTCGTCTCACGGTAACCTGAGACTTCTTTATAATTAAAAATGTCAGTGCAAAAAAAAAATTCTTTATAATTAAAAATGTCAGTGCAAAAAAAAAAGAAGTTCACAAATAAGTGAATAGTTCATCTAACTTATTTTCACTTTGTTTTCACAGGTACAAGACAACAATACAGGGGTACTTACAGTAATCCTCAATCTCCACTCTTGATCGTAGTTTCTTGCCATTTGGAGCATAATAATATATATCAGCTTTGGTACTACTCTTATTAGGGTCAACAGTTGCACGGAACACAATCTCACGCTTCCATCCTAATAAACAAAGGGATTTTTGGGAGTTAGTTTTGTACATGAAAAATTTATTAAAATAACTTTATATATAATTAATATGAATCTCTGTTAAAACTGTTACAGGCAAAGAACTATACATTAAGAATGAGCATGATGTATGGTATGGTTTCAATTCATCATGAAGACAATATATATACTGTACAGTGGTCCCTCGGTTAACGAACGGTTCGATTAACGAAATTTCGGTTAACGAATTAGCTCCCATAAGGATTTTCAGTTCGATTAACGAAATCCTTATGACAAACACGTTTTGTTGTACGCATCAGCTGATTGGCCAGTCGGCCAATACAGTAATCAGTTCTATGTTTACATTCATTTCCAGTGGAGTAAATATCAAGAAAGTTGGTCTCTTGAATATTTCTGCATTTTTTATATTAAAATTATTGGTCATTCTGAAATTTAGTTGACATATTGATAATATATACAGTACAGGGAACAGTTTTTGTGTGCCAATCAGCTAATTGAATCACCCAACAATGCTTCTCAGTTTAACTTTGTTTACAGCGGAGTGAACATCCAGTTTGTTGGTCTCTTGAATATTTTTGCATTTTTACATTGAAATTATTGGTCATTCTGAATTTTTTTTTAAATATTGATAATATATAGCGCAGTGCAGTGTTGATTTAAATAAAATAATCTTGAATTACACCTAGTGAATTTAAAATTTTATTGGTGAAATGACAGCATCAAGCATGGGTCCCCTGAAAGGTGATTTCTCCTCCATCCCCACTTCCTTCTCTTCTCCCTTCTCCTCCACCCCCACTTCTAATTCCCATCATCATCATCAACCAGGAACCTTCTACATACACACCACAAAGTAAGTGTACTTTACTGCATTTTTTTTTTCTTACTTTGTATGTACTTTTCTGTGAGCTGGAACCAATTAAAGCAAAAAAAATTCATCAAGAGTAACCTGGAGTCCGAAACACTAAAGTCCAGGAAGCAATTGTTCAGACTCAAGGAGTTATAATTTGTAATGAATGTTTTGAAATAATGAAATTAGTGTTTAAGAGAGAAAATGTGGTGTCTTAAGAATTGTTTACTTATCCTTTTTGCCACTGGTCAGCTCTCTACAGTATGCCCTTAGTGTAAGTCCATTAAATATATCTTTAATGTTTCATTTCTTAGAAATGTATTACATATTTTTAATTAGTTTACTAAACATGACATTCAGTTTAATAATAATTGGAGACAATCAATCAGCTGCTGAAAGCCTAGACTGGCCAACATGTAGTAGGTAGTAGGCAGCTACCAAACAGGGAGGTACTACCGCCTGGGAAGATATTGGAAGCATAATGTGTTGTCTAATGGTAGACCCTGCTGCCATATGGCATCACAAAAATTGTGACCAAGTCCAAGGTTGCTGATCTATCTTTCTGCCTCATTTACACACAATTGCAGGGTCTCAACTGTCTCTCTTACTATTGACAACACCACAAATAAAACCGTCCTCATCCTTGATCTGTTTTATTCATTCTATTTTATTCTCCTATGTCAGTCGATATTAATACTGAAGCGGGGCCTTCTCGGATGAGTCCCACTGGTCGGGAAGGTTGTGGACCCCAGGGCCGACCTGATCATCATCAAGCTACTGGGGCCTCAACTGACGCCACCGTGGTTGCTGGAGGATCGGCTTTTTTCACACTTCATTTTTCCAACATTCACGGACTGAGATCCAATTTTTCTTCTGTGGAGCACCATCTATTAACCTCTTCCCCCGACCTCTTACTACTCTCCGAACTTCAACTGACCAAAGCAGCTTCACCCAAACCTTTTCAAGTCTCTAACTACAACCTTTATACTTACTTCCATTCTAAGGGAGGTGTATGCGCCTACTGCAACACACGTACACCTATAGCCCGACTCACGGATCTTGAATCTCCCCTTTATGATGTCATCTGGCTCAAAATATCTCTACCTAGTGTGACTATTTTTCTTTGTTTCCTATACTGTTCTCCCAACTCTACTAACTATTTCAAACTCTTTGACTATCTCACTTCTTGCCATGAGTCGTTGCTATCCACACACCCCAACACCGAGATCCTCTACCTAGGGGATTTCAATGTACTTCACAGAGAGTGGCTTGGCTCTGCAAGGGATGACCCAGGTGGAGCTGAGGCACTCTCTTTTTCCTTACTTAATGATTTGGAACAAATAATCAAACACCCGACACGTGTTCCTGATCGACACGATCAACTTGCTAACATTCTTGATCTTTGTTTTACCTCTAACCCCTCACACTATCCATACTCAATTTTTGCCCCCTTAGGGTCTTCTGATCACAACCTTATTTCTATTAAATCAAACTGGGCACGACCACCTCCCCCACCCCCCTCTAAACGTCAACTATGGCACTATCGGAGGGCAAGCTGGCAATCCTTGCGAGAATTCTTCACCGACTTTCCTTGGGATGAATGTTGCTTTTCCACTCGGGATGCCTCGGTATGTGCTGACAGCATTGCTGGGGTTATACAGGGCGGTATGAGTGCATTTATCCCATCTTCTACCAAAACTTTCACATTACAATCATGGTTTGATCGCTCCTGCTCTCTTGCTTGCAGGGTGAGAGATAGGGCATATCGAGCAATGAAACTATCTCCTTCTCCTACTACCCACACCTCTTTTATTACTTCTAGGAATCGTTGTAAGGCTATTCTTCATAGGGCCAAGCGGAATTTTATTAAAAGAAAGACCGCTGTCCTGACTAATTCTTCCTCTAGTAAATCCTTCTGGTCCTTAACTAAAAACATCTGTAACAACTTCTGCATGCCATCTTTTCCTCCCCTCTTCCGTCCCAATAACTCTATAGCCAACTCTCCCCCTGACAAAGCCAACCTCTTTGGCACCTTATTCTCCTCTAATTCCACCTTAGACGATTCCCACTCTATCCCTCCTACCCCTGCACCTCCTACTGAACCTATGCACTTTCCTATAATCTCCACTTGCAGGGTTGCCGGTGTGTTATCCAGGTTGGATGTGAGTAAGGCGCATGGACCGGACGGAATACCCCCTCGTGTTCTGAGGGAGTGTGCTGAAGCCCTGGCCCCTGTGCTTGTTTGCCTCTTTCGCCTTTGGCTCAAAACCCAAACTTTTCCTTCTTCTTGGAAGCATGCTTTGGTTCAGCCCATCCCGAAGAAGGGTGACCATTCTAATCCCTCTAACTATCACCCCATTGCCCTAACTTCATCCCTCTCTAAGATTTTCGAAACTATCTTGAACTCCCATTTTCTCCATCACCTTGAACGCCTTTCTCTTTTGTCGGATCACCAGTATGGCTTTCGCCAGGCGAGATCTACTGGTGACCTGCTCTCCTATTGCACCCATCTTTGGTCATCCTCTCTTAGGGATTATGGGGAAACTTTCGTCGTGGCTCTCGACATTTCCAAAGCATTTGACAGGGTATGGCACAAGTCTTTGCTATCTAAACTTCCCTCTTTTGGTTTCTCTTCCCCACTTTGTTTTCTCATCTCTAGCTTCCTTGAGAACCGATCCATGGCAGTTGTTGTCGAAGGATCGATTTCTCGCTCTTTCTCTACCAGTAGTGGCGTCCCACAAGTTTCTGTTCTTTCACCAACTCTCTTCCTTCTTTTTATCAATGATTTACTTCACACTACAACTAATTCTATCCATTCTTATGCTGATGATTCTACTCTTCATTCTTCCTCACATTTTCCTCTTCCTCCTAACTCTCAAACTAGATCTGTTTCTAGAACTGATATCATTACTTCTATCACCGCGGATCTGTGCAGCATCTCTGAATGGGGAGGTACAAACTTGGTTGAGTTCAATAGTAATAAAACTCAATATTTACCAATTATACTTTGTAAATTAGATGATCTCCCACCAATTACATTTCAGGACGCTATCATCCTCCCAAATTCTGAAATAAATATGTTAGGCCTTACCATTTCCTCCAATATGTCCTGGAAATCACACATCCTTAGTATAACTAAACCTGCCTCTCGAAAGTTGGGAATGCTGTACAGATGCCGCAGCTACTTCACTCATGAGCAGTTGCTCCAAGTATATAAGGGATTCATTCGTCCTAACTTGGAGTACTGCTCTCATATCTGGGGTGGCTCTTCTTTTGTCCAACTATTAGATAGGGTGGAATCTAAGGCATTTCGTCTTATTAACTCTCCTCCTTTAGTCGACAATCTCTCTTCACTTTCTCTTCGCCGCAATGTTGCTTCACTCTCTCTCTTTTACAGGTACTTTAATGGGCAATGTTCGGTGGACTTGGCATCCTATGTACCGCCGGCAAGGCCGTGGGTTCGCAACACACGTCTTGCCCGCGGTGCCCACGGTTTCTCTGTGGATGTCGGTCACACGAGAATAACCCGTTTTAGTACCTCCTTCTTTCCTCACACAGCCAAACTGTGGAATGCTCTGCCTTCTTCTGTGTTTCCATGCTCTTACAATCTGTCTCACTTTAAAAAGCTGGTTTTCCAGCATCTTCGTGGTGTAGATTAATACAGTATAACTTTTTTTCTATATTTACAATTTCTTTCCGGTTTTTTTTTTGCCCCCCCAGGCTCCATTGTGGGTCGTTTGACCTGTGCCCAGGTGGGCTAATTCCCGTAAAAAAAAAAGAAAAAAAAAACCAGCATCTACACAGACCAAGTACGATTCATCTCACTCAGAATTCTGTTGCTCCATGAGTCACCTGATTCTGAACAATTATAGTTTAGGAAGCAGTTGGGGGACTCCCTATAGTCACTATCTAGAGTACTAAAGTCTCCCATCAATGACACCCAAGACTACAATTACCACCAAAAACAGTAGCCAATAAACATCAGACTGTATAAATAAGGGGTGAAAGAAGGTTGAGGAATACCATATGTGAAACAAATCAGTTGTAAAATATATGGCTATGAGAGCTACTGTAAGGTAAAGAGCTTCATGTTTTGTGAAGATTACAATGATTTAAGAAATTGCACGAACCATTCAACTAAAAAATAAGAGAAGGTACATGAACACTAGCAGATAAAAAAATATGAATTACCTTGTTCAAATGCCTTCTTACAGTCCTCTAAATTAAAAGATTTTTTCAAACATTTCCTTGGTCGAGTGGCACGAACTGTTGGTGTCCCTGGGGACTGTAGAGACTTCTGACTGAGGGTTGAAGGAGAACTCCTTTCAAGTAAAGCTGAAAATGAAGCAACAATAAGTTTTCTAGCTCAAAAAAGTCGAGTCTCCTGTTCAACATCAAATATTTTCTGTAACAAACACAGTAAACATTACATTAAAGCTGAAATGTACAACAACTGATAGCAATAAGTTCAGAAAAGTAACAGGGACTGTATTCAGAATGTAAAATTCTAAAATTATAATGAGAAATGCATGAAATGGATACAAGTACAGTACCTAAAAATAATATGGTACTCTATGTTAAATCAACACATAAATTTGGAATTCAAGAGATAATGTAAGAGTGTGAAAAGCAGAGAAAACACAACAGACATGGTACATAACAGAGACTACAACAAATAACTACAATACAAGAATTATACTGATTAAGAACCCTCCAAAACTGTATTTTGACTATTGATATAATATGAAGTAACTGTACACTAACCTTTCATACTTATGTGGAAAGGAGTCTGGATAGGCTCCAGACTACTTGCTCGTGAGCTACCAGGTAATGACATACTGTCTTTCTGATCTTCAGGATCCACAGAGTCAGTCTCACTGGTGGCAGGGATATCACTTACATTTTTGTCCATATTCCTATTTAGTTCTGTAAATGAAAAACAGTGTCAATGGTATGAGATGTAGTAGTCTATGTGAGCCATGTATGTACTACAAGGAATGACAATAATTAATCTATAAAAGTTATTCAGATTTGGTTACTTACGAGGCTAATTTAATCAATACAGTATTCTCCTCAAAATACAAGAGTACATCACCTCCGCTATTTTCTTCTTCCTCCTCCTCTTCTGAGTCAGTGTAGACATCTTCAACCCTCACAGGGATCCGTCCTGAAGTCTGGGACACTGATCCTCCTCTTCCTGATGATGCAGAGCTAGTAATATCTGCTACTTTTGATTTCTGAAAATACACATTTTGTTCAGTATGATTTCAAATTTAATATAAAATACTTCAATTAATACCTGGTGATCTTGATGATATTCCCTAACAATAATCTCAATAAAGCAAATACTGTATATACAAAAACACACACACACGTATGTAGGCACATCCTGAACAATTAACTGTACAGTTATCTCCAAGGGATAGCTAAATCACAAGAAAACTGTCTTTTTGACTCTACACAGACAAGCAACTATAAATATATAAAACTGATAGTATAATCCACTATAGAGTATATGAGAATTACACCTTTGAGACTTATGACAAGTAACTAAATATATCAAGCCACTTGGTATGCGTACCTTAAAGAGCACGGTGTTTTGTGTGTCTGAGTCTGTGTCTGAAGTATCGCTGGCTTTCTCCCTCTTCGGTGTCTCCACCTCCCGAGCCTTTGACTCTATCATGTCAGTGTCTGTATCGACAACGACATCACTGCTATGATCCTTGTTGTCCAAAACTTTTACACCTTTTTCTTCTACTTCTATACATTTAACAATTCTTTTTCCCCCTCTCTCCACAACTTCAGCATTTTTGTCTTTCTTCTCCTCTACAGAAGTATCTTTAATACCCTCTATCTTTGTGCCCCCACCATTTTCTTGTTTATACTCCATAACCTCTGTTTCTTGTTCTTGTTTATGCACTACACCTTGTTTAGTCTTTACAACTTCTCTATTCTCTCTCATATCTATACCCATATGCTTCTCTTTCTCAACATCTTTTTTCTTGACTTCCTCTGTTTTGAACAATGTAACATCTTCATCCTTTCTTTTAACTCCCATTTCATCCACGTCCTTTAACTCTGGGGTTTCAGCATCCACATCTTCCTTACCTTCTGTATTGGTAATTTCAGAGCCCTTTTCTTCCCTCCTGAGTAAAACGTCAACATCCATCTTCTTCTCTTTCTCGGGAGCTCTGAAACCATCACTCTCTTCCTTGTCTATACATTCCATGTCTTCGTCCTTATCATCTTGCTTCGTCTCATCTTGTGCCTCAATAACATCTGATCTGCTCTCCTCATCCATGTCATCCATCTCAACTGCATCATCTTTCTCTGGTGATCCAACAATATTCCCTCCCTCTTCCTCTTGTACTGATCTTAATTCATCTACTTCCATTGGCTCAATCTTATCTCCCTCTTGAAGTTTTTTGTCTCTCTCTTTGGTCTCCATCTTTCTCTCTTGAACGTCTTCCCCTCTCTTAGTGTCTATATCTTTCTCTTGTAATTTGTTCTCACTTTCCTTGTTTTTCTTCTCTCTTTCTGGAACTTTTTCCTCTCTTTTAATCTCCATCTCCCTCTTCTTCAATTCCATCTCTTTATTTTCTATCTCTCTCCCCTTGTTCTCCACCTCTTTCACATTGTTCTCCCTCTCTCTATTATCCTCTTCTTCCTCCTTTTCTTTTTTCTCTATTTCTATATCTTTTTCACTCACAAAAGTTTTTGCTTCCTCCTTCTCACTGTCTATTTCCTCGCCAGTGTCATTTTCACTATCTTCGTCATTATTGCTGTCATTTTCTTCACTGACTTTTTTTCCTCGTCTGACAATGATAAAATCTTTGCCTTCCTTCACCACACCATAATGATCATGATCATCATTCATAATGTCAGCACTTCTTGAAAAGGAATAACCTTCGAAGTCTCTGCCATCCTTACTATCACTCTCTGCCCCATAATAGTCAAGACTAGACTCACTTTTGCTTAATTCTTCTTCATCATCATCATCATCTGCATCATTATTGTCCTCCTCTTCATCTTCATCGTCATCATCACTGCCTGCTTCTACATTCTCATGACTGGAGCGACTACCGGGAGTAGTATTTAAATCCTCATCCACATCCTCATCATCATCTTCATTGTTGAAGCTTTCCTTCGCTACTCCAGAAATGAAACTCAGAGATTTTGCTTCATTTTCCTCTTCAGAATCATTGCTGTCTTCATTAAAAGACAGACCTCCCTTAGGAAAATTTGTGATTGGTATTTTATCTGTATGTGTCATGTGAAGAAGCTTGCGAGGCGACGATTCAACTTCACTGTCTTCAGAGTCTGATGAGGAGCCTGAAATATGTGACCCAGGTGGTGGCGGGGGTTCACCATTGCTGTCATTTAAAGATGTTGGTGCCAACGCTCTGAATGTCACGGGTGAAGGTGGTTCATCGTCACTGTCATCCTCCGAGTCAAAAATACTGGGAATTCTTTTCACTGGGCGATTCTCAGTCATGCTTACAGATTCTGAGGAAAAGACAAAAATTCTAAAATTTTTAATTAAGTATGTGTAATTGCTTGCTCAGTATATAATGAAGGTCAGATTCGTTTAAATCACACCCAAATACGGTCAATTTATAGTCTTGCACTGGTCTTTCTTTCGCTGTTATTAATATGTATTTCGTAATGTTCTGACAATTCTAACACATTTTTCTTTAAGGATATTTCCACCGGAAATTAAGGATAACCAAGATATTAGTTTTCAATATTATTATATTCGCTCAGTCACAAGTTTCGCCATGTCTGGCAGAGTAGGTAGTATTGCACCGGTCTTTATTTTGATATTAAAAATAGGTTTTTCCTATGGTAATTGATGAGTTTCGAACGAATTTAATTTTCATTTCCGCCGGCACTCACTAGTTTTTGAGATTACCCCTTCTCTCCCTCCCCCCCCTTCCCCCAACAATCATAACGTAAAAAGTTGGATTTTTTTATCGAATAACAAATAAAATACCAACCAACCAACAAAACCTAACCTAACCTTTGTTCATGCCACCACATCTTACCTTAATCTGAAAAATACTCAGGTTCATCTGGGTCGTCAATGCACATGCATTGTAGAAGCTTAAGAAGCGAAGACGGAGGTAAGGAGCGATGCGTGAGGGGGTGTCAGACTCCGCCAAAAGTACCAGACATGGCGAAACTTGTGACTGAGAGAATATAATAATATTGAAAAACTAATATCTTGGTTATCCTTAATTTATGGTGGAAATATCCTAAAAGAAAAATGTGTTAGAATTGTCAAAACATTACGAAATACATATTAATAACAGTGAAAGAAAGACCGGTGCAAGACTATAAATTGACCCAAAATACACTGGAAAATCATATTGGTCAATCCATAGGGACCCATGTCCGAAAGTAAAAATGGTAATTTTTCGTTAACCACCCATCACCTTTTTTCACATGAAAATTATTATTTTTTGATAGTTTTCTTGCTGTTTTAGATAATTCTAACATTTACCTTTGGGGCAAAACTCTTTTTTTTTTTAGTTAGGTTAGGTTTTCTTGGTCTTTTAGATTATTATAAATGTCAGAATCATCTAAAACATCAAGAAAACTAATGAAAAAATTTAATTTTCACGTGAATAAAGATGATGGGTGGTTAACGAAAATGACCGTAAAAATTTACCAAAAATTGCATAATTTTTATGACCGATTATAAATCCAAAGAATATGTGGAAAAATGAACGAAATCAAACAACTCCTCCTGGCGGTCCGACTAATTACCCAAATGTACCCAAATGTAGCCAAATATAGCCGGAATGAAGTCAAATAATGGTCCTAGATGAATAAATCGGACTGCCAATCACTTCTTGACTAGTATTTGGTATCAGAAAGTCACAAAAAATTGGAAAACTTACTTTAATCTGAGTTAATAGATCGCGTGCATGTACCAACAGAGCGAGGAATTACCCAAATGTAGCCGCAATGAAGTCAAATGATGGTCGTACAAGCGTAATTCGGGCTGTGAATCACTTCTCGATTATTATTTGGTGTCATAAAGTAAAAAAAAATTGGTAAACTTAATTTAATCTGAGTTGTGTTGTGTTAGGTTAGGTTAGATTAGGTTAGGTTTGGTACATACACTTGATCTATTAACTCAGATTAAAGTAAGTTTACCAATTTTTTGTGACTTTCTGACACCATATACTAGTCGAGAAGTGATTGGCAGTCCGATTTATTCATCTAGGACCATTATTTGACTTCATTCCGGCTATATTTGGCTACATTTGGCTACATTTGGGTAATTAGTCGGACCCCCTCCTGGTGTTATCCATCAGCCTCAGTATTACCTACAGTATTTTTTAAACAAAACGCAAAATGCAAAACTACGTCGGATTAATGTATTTTTTATTAAACTATTCTACAATTTACCAAACCGGAAAGACCTCAGGAAATATAGTGAATTACACACCTGAGCCAGATATAAAGAATTAACTTGAAAATTAACCATCAATATTACTATGACGACATACGAGTTAGTGCAACAATTTCTTAAGTGGCACTGTATCATCATAAATATCAAGAGACAGGTAATAAAATTTAAACAGATAATTGTTATAATCTTCAGGTGTTTTTAGTGATAATTCGTCATTCATCATTTACGTATATCAAAATTCCTTATCCATGGCTTCACAACACTTGGCTCTGTGATACATGTAATCCAATTTTACACAACCACGCACACAAACCGCAAAAAATACTTACAGCCGTTAATATTAAATTGCGTAAACATATAGCCACTGATGAAGGAAGTTGGAGAATTATATCAAGAATAACGTGTGTGAGCGAGAAGAACAACCAATAGTTTCCTGCACCACAGATGGAGCATCATAGTGACGTCATGACTATAGCTTCAATTACAGTATACAGCAAGGACTAAAAACATACAGTATTAAGTTGTGACGTCATGACTATAGCTTCAATTACAGTATACAGCAAGGACTAAAAACATACAGTATTAAGTTGTGACGTCATGACTATAGCTTCAATTACAGTATACAGCAAGGACTAAAAACATACAGTATTAAGTTGTGACGTCATGACTATAGCTTCAATTACAGTATACAGCAAGGACTAAAAACATACAGTATTAAGTTGTGACGTCATGACTATAGCTTCAATTACAGTATACAGCAAGGACTAAAAACATACAGTATTAAGTTGTGACGTCATGACTATAGCTTCAATTACAGTATACAGCAAGGACTAAAAACATACAGTATTAAGTTGTGACGTCATGACTATAGCTTCAAGTTACAGTATACAGCAATGACTATAGACAGTATAAAAACATACAGTATTAAGTTGTGACGTCATGACTATAGCTTCAATTACAGTATACAGCAAGGACTAAAAACATACAGTATTAAGTTGTGACGTCATGACTATAGCTTCAATTACAGTATACAGCAAGGACTAAAACATACAGTATTAAGTTGTGACGTCATGACTATAGCTTCAATTACAGTATACAGCAAGGACTAAAAACATACAGTATTAAGTTGTGACGTCATGACTATAGCTTCAATTACAGTATACAGCAAGGACTAAAAACATACAGTATTAAGTTGTGACGTCATGACTATAGCTTCAATTACAGTATACAGCAAGGACTAAAAACATACAGTATTAAGTTGTGACGTCATGACTATAGCTTCAATTACAGTATACAGCAAGGACTAAAACATACAGTATTAAGTTTTATGATCTTCTCTTACTACACTTTTATGGTGACACTTAATTGCTAATCCCAATAAACATTTGTAATATTGATATTGAAAAATTACAATGATGAATATTATAGCTTTGTCGGCTATCCATGGTCAAGTTTTTACTATTTATTATTTTGTCTATATTCATGCTGAATATAGTAACTGCATAGTTTATAAACATGTTTATCAAACTTTATCCAGTTGTTAACCTGTATGATAACTTTACTGAGTGATTATTATTATTAGTAGTAGTAGTAGTAGGAGTAATTTAATTTATTATATCACCCCTTATCAGTATACTATAAAAGGGACTTAGAAAACTTCCATATCAAGAGAGATTAAATATACTAAACTTGCATTCCCTAGAAAGACGAAAAGTGCTGGTAGATATGATAGAAGTATTTAGGAGGGTGAAAGGAATCAATAAAGGAGGTATAGATAAAGTTCTTATATCCTAATAGCAGGATAGGACTCATAGCAACGGATATAAGTTAGATAAGTTTAGGTTTAGGACGGAGATAGGAAAAACTGGTTCACAAATTGGGTAGTAGAAGAGTGGAACAAGCATAGCAACTTTGTAGTAAGTGCTGGGACGCTGGAAAGTTTTAAAAGGAGGCTAGATAGATTCATGGACTCCAATTTATTTCAGGAAATCAAGAACCAAGCGGACTGTGAAAAGCTGCAGAAAGATCTCTGTGAGCTCCAAGAATGGTCGAAGAAATGGCTGCTGAGATTAATGACTGAAGTGTGAGAGGATGCCCCTGGGGCGTACTAAGGTAAGGAGGCATATCATATACTTTACTTACTTTTATCCTCTTCACCACTGATCGGCTCGTTAGCTGCTTGGGCGATCGGTCACGTCTCTGATTACTTTTCCTTTTCTTTTATCCTCTTCACCAAAAGATTGGCATTTAGCTGCTTGGGCGATTGGTCACGTCTGTTACGCACTGTTAGCAAGTACTGGGCATGCACCGGCTCCAGAATGTACCTGAACTTGTTCCAGTGTTGGTCAAGTCTTGTCTTGAAAGAGCTCACACTCGGTGTCGTCACAACACTTTCTGGTAGATTGTTCCAAGAGTTCACAACTCTCACTCCGAAGAAGTTTGCCCTCACAGTTTTCTGGACTTGCGGCTTCTTCTTTATTGAGCTGTGACCCCTTGTGGGGCGAGCGTCCGCCAGCTCCAGTAAGGACACTCGATTGAGTAGTGCCCCTTGAGATGCTTATACACCTCTATGAGGTCACCCTTTTTATGTCCCAACGGGATGAAGAAAAAGCACTATTTGAGACTGAATGTGAGAAGGACCTAGGTGTGTTTGTTGACAATGAGCTGAACTTCTCGGGCCATTGCGAAAAGAAGGTAAATCGGGCAAATAAATTATTAGGTCTTAATCAGAGACGTGACCGATCGCCTAAGCGGTTAATGAGCCAATCAGTGGCGAAGAGGATAAAAGTATAAGAAGGTCGTTCAGATATCTAGACGGTCCGTCCCTCGTAACGATCTTCAAGAGTGAAGTGCTTCCCCATCTGGAGTACTGTCACCCCGTCTGGTCCCCGAGACATACTAGGGACTGCCAATTGGTTGAAAATGTTCAAAGGAGGGCCACCAGACTGGTGCCTGCCCTTCGGCACCTCAGTTACCCTGAGAGATTGGAGCGCCTGAACTTGCCTAGCTTATACTACAGACGGGCAAGGAGCGACCTAATTGAGGTGTATAAGCATCTCAAGGGGCACTACTCAGTCGAGTGTCC